GCTGTTAATTAGCACTCCATATGCAATCCCCAGGAGAAGTGGCTCGCTACCGCAGTAACGCCAGGACACTGCCGTCGGAATGGAATTTTATTTAAAATTCAATTAAACCACTGTTCAGTGGTGTTTTTCTGTGGTACGGTATTTTAATTAAAAACACCCCGTAACTTTCCCCTTGAATCTCTTTTTACTTCGCTCACTGTTTTACTATATAACAACCATTCGCAAAATACCTTAAATTGTTGCTATATTAATTTCTAATTTTCTCACGCATCGTGCCGGCGTTTCGAAATAATTGTTTTTTTTTTTAAATTTGAATTGCGCTGCTAATTTCTCGTAAAATTTAGCTTACGGTGTTCAGTAATAATTTTCTAATGAGGTTGTATATAAATGTTTTATAAAGAATATCCTCAGTTTGCCGTTTATATGTTATTTTTCTGTTTTTCTTCCTCAAGTGCCGGTTGTGAACTTGAATAAACTGTCAAGTGCCGGCGACTGGCTGTATACACCCTGTAAAACGGCCATGTTCGAGCATTGGAGCATTGTGCGCGTGGGGCATGACAATGTACGGAATTTGTCTCGCCATGCAAAAGGGCAATATACACACGTAGTTGGCATTTTTACGACGGCGGGATAGTGGCCACTGGAGCCGGGCATAAAGTTGCCGGTTTTAACGCTCGTGCGAAGAGTTAATCGATCGTATTGAATAGCGTTGTTATTATTCCCGCCGACTTCCGCTCACCCAACGGCTAATTATACGGTACACGCCAAACCTCTCGACATTCACCACCGGGACGAGCGATCAGCTTACAAAGTGGAATTGTTTTTTCTCCGTTTTTTTTCTCCATCAAATCTGGGTTCACGTCTACATTAATCCATATAAAAATATTTTTCTTTAAATTTCAATACAAAATATCATTTTGACGTGGCTTAAAGAAAGCCGCAGTTAAATCCAGTTTTATAAAAAAATTGTTAGCAAAATACTCATCCAAAAGAAACTGGCAATATCTGCTATATAAAACACGTTAACTTCAATTATTATCATCAAGGCTTATAGGCTAAATAAACCGCAATTAAGTCCAACTTTTACTATCTCCAAGCAAAAAAAATCCTACAGAAAAAGCCGGTATCATTTTTTATATAAGCTAAAATTAATTAATACCTCCATGCCACAAGTTTAAATAAACGGCAATCAAATCAAACTTATATTATTTTTCCAGCAGGAAATTACAGAGGAAAAATAGCCGGCATTTTTTTATCTGGTGATGCTGTTTTTCATCGGGGATTAAGTGGGTTGCCTGGTCGCGAAACGGCAGCACTATATACGCGCTCTCGCGCTACTCTCCCTCGCTGCGGCAACTGGGCGCTCGCGGGTGCCGGCAGGGCTGGAGCAGCGGAAATGATGATGATATGGCTGGAGCAGCTGGCCATCTCCATCGTTGAGTCGGATCAGTAGGAGGTTAAAAACAGAATAGCAATTGCCATGTCCCTATCCCCCGCTGTGGCCGGGCTGTCATTTTCAGCGGGCTATTATGTCGCACAGGGAGCTACAAGGGATCCGCGCCACCATGCGTATACCGTCCCTCTCTCCATTTATATATATGGGATGTATATACGTGCGCTCTGCATTTGCGATAAGAGAGGCCCGGCTGGATCGCGCCGCTGCCCATAGCGCTACTGGCCTGTCTATGATAATTAATGCCTCCTTCTCCGCGTACAACCGCCAGATTTCCCCAGTATGCAAGTTCCAGGCATCCGCGCATTTATTTCTTATCCTTGTACATATTTTCTTAACATTTATCTCATAACAGCCAATTTTATTTTAATTTATTTTCCTCTTATTGTTTTCTAAAATGGGCTATTTCTTTTTCAAACACGGGCCATTTATTTCCATTAATTTTTTTTTGAACGGACATTTTTTTTATTTCATTTAGTTCTTTTAAAATGAGATTTTGCTTTACCATTTCTTAAAATGTTTTTTAAAACGGGAAATTTCGTTTCTAAATTCTCAAATAAAATGTTTCAGTTCTGTCCATATAGAATTAGCATGAAATGCATGTAACGAATGCATAACACAGGCTTCGACTGGATTTATTAATCGATGCGGCAGTTGCACAGGATGCCGGCGTCCATAATTAGTTTAAGCCGGTTGGAAAAAGGAGAAATAGATTAACAATCGGATATATCCGACTATATATGCTGTGTAGCTGGCTGTCTCTCTCCCCTTAATGGGCCGGGAATCAGGCAGGATAAAAAATGTGCAGCGACATTAAGTTAGGTTGATGGAAGTGCGCTGCGGGCGTAATCTGGACCTGATGGCTCACTGCACGCCGGCATTGGCACAGACCTATACGCAGGCCAATACACTCACGAACACACACGGCAATTTGATTGACTCCAACTCATTGATGCGACAGGTCAGCATAAAGGTCATGGTGTAAATGAGGCGGAAATGCCGGGGTCCTGTGCGCAACGGCTAATGTATCGCCGTTGGATTAATTGCCACACACACAGTGTATTGCAAAGAGAGAGACAGAGAAAGAGCGGAATGCAGTCGTGCAGACAGTGAACCGTACAAGCCGTAATTATCTATTTGAAAATCAGTTAAGCATCCGCAAATTACCGGCTTGCCAGGTTTCCGGTACCAGCGTTCCCCGGCTCCGCGCGCAAATCCCGGGCATGTTAACACACAGTAGCAAGTGTAAACACTGTGTGCTCAGTTAATCGGCTTTCAGGGTGTTGTCAAGCGGATTATGAGTGGATTATTATGCTCGGCGACAACGCTACCTTTTATCCGCGTTTATGTGCGCGCTACATACATTTCACTCGGCAGCCACAATTGGCACGTAATCAAGCAGCACTTGATTTTCATCCATAAAAGCACGAAGCTGAACAATTTATTTGGTACGAGGAGAGCGCGGGCCGGGGAAAAAGTAGAGTAATCTGTTTTTATCACTTTTCCTGCCAGTCAACACTCATCAATATACGCGCTCAGAACCATTAAAGCCCCACTGCCACGCGCATCGATCGCCATGCACGCTATATTGACGGGGCGAAAAAGCGCATCAAAAATTTATATAAATGTAAACGATATTTATCCACAAAACTTACCCGACCCAAAGGCTTTTCTATACCAAACAAAAATATCACGACGATCCTGGCGGTGTATGATTTCCACTATTATACAACTCCGTTAAACTGGAAATATTTTTTTCCAGATGTAGAGATGAAAATATAATTAAATGGAAAAGGTCATGGTAGGATTTCCGGGTATAATGAAAATCTTAATTCCGCGGGATAAGAGGCCGCGTTGACCGGACACCGAGAGACAATACCATGACCACTTGAGCGGGACATGGAGGGGGAAACGAGGGCGCGCGATACACGGGGATAAACCCATAGACAAATCACCCACCACAACCAGCAACACAGACAAGACGATTCCGCGGCGATCAAAGCCCAAAACAATATTAGCTACTGTACAAACGTTTGAAGAGGAAGTCGTTCAAGTTGCCATATAATACACACACACACTGTAAAAACCGGGGAACGAGAGAGCCTGAATGCGCGCGCTCTACATACACACACGCGCGCATCGGGTTATTGATAAAACCGGGATTGGCTGGGCCACACGACGGGCAGCGCTTTTGTATTACGCACAGCGCGCGTACAATTGAAATGTTATTTGCTGGTTGCCGCGCTCTCGCTGGCGTCGCTTTATTGAAAAATCCCGGCATGGGTATACAGGCAACGCGGGCGACGCGTGCCGCATACCAAAACGCGGGAGCGAGGATAGTTTTTCCCCCATCCAGGATTGACAGGCATCCCGGGAGCGCGTGCGCGCCGGGGATTTGTGTATGATAAAGCCTCCCGCCAATTTGCATGCCGTGGATGCGGCTTTGTCCAGGGTAAATCTAATTTGGGGATCCGCGGACGAAAGGGCGAACGTGCCGGTTAAACAACTGCCGTATGTGTATAAATACCGCGCATAAGCAGTTGCGGAGAAAATCCCGCTCCAGGAAAGGAAGAAAAAATGTATAGAACGCCGGACTGACAAGGGCCTTGGCAGTGGCATATGTGTCACAATAGAGATATGATGTAAGCTGTACGTGCATGTCGCAGTAAATGCGCTTGGAAGTAAGGGGTCCATTAGCGAGATTACCGCGGGTTTTTGCTTTGACCAGTCTTCATTTTGTCATTCGGGAAAAAAAACTGACTTGCGCAGAGAAATGAAGTAGTCTTAATTGATCTATACTTTTTTTAATACAGCTCGGAATCACATACAAACGGCTCATATACTCGAAAACTTCGTCTCTTTGCCGCTTCCTCGGGAATGAGAGATTTTGTGTGTAGCGGTTATTTCCGATGAAACATTGTAATGTTATAGTATGTATATGTATGTTTGTTATACGTATGTATAATATGTATGTATTTTTTAATACGCGGTTCACGAAATGCCGTTGACTTTTATGGTGCATGGTTTGGTACTGCATTTGAAACGGATACTTATTTATGGTGTACGAGTACATGTGGAAGCTTGAAAATTGTATTTACTGGAAATAGAACCAGAAGTTTGTGTGGTGAAAGTTAAAAAAAGTTAGCACGCTGGCTCCGTGGCTGACTACAGTAAATCATCACAGCACGGACCACTGTGATATTAATTTTTAGCAGTATGAAATAAAGTATAAACTTACAGAGTACCTTAGCAAAAGCTGTCGGCGAAGTTAGTGAAGGTCGGAAATAAACCTTTTGAACAGAAAATTTCTACACTTTATCGACAATAGCCAGTATACATAACAACATGCCTGCGCTGATTTACACTAATAAAAATGATCGAATTTAAACAGAAAATGAGTGAAATAAAAATCACTGTCTTCTTGCCCACCGGCTCGCCATAGCCCAGAACGATAAGCACGTTTCTACAATCTACGGTCTACATATTTTCAGATGGTTTACTCAAGATAAATGCGAACCTGCCATCTGCATGAGCATTTTTATTTTCAGCACTTCGCAATCCCGTAATCGCAGTTAGATCTTCTAATATAACGAACACGCTTTGAGTTTGCAGTTATTAGGTTCCTATTTTATACAGTTATCATTCGATTCAGTACAGACTAGGAGAAGATTGTTTCGCACGGAGACTGCAGTTAATCACAGACCGAGAAGGGAAATTCTGCATCGTTCCGTGGCGACTGGCGTTTGAAACATCGCATTGAATCGGATGCGCTCCGTTGCTGGTCGCGTATGAGCAGGAACATGCATCTGCACGGAGACGACGACTACCCGCTGTTGGCATGGAACGCCGTGGACGTTCTCGTCGACGGACACCTGCAGCACGGCTACGTCATTAACAAGGCCCAAGGTGGCCTGATTATTGATTTCCGTTGTTCTGCGCAACGTGCGCAGTTGATCGAGTACGGACGCATCTTTCGTCTGACTACCTTTTCGAGCCTAACCGAAAACGTGCCGCGGACAGCGGTGCAGGTGCTGTTGCGCCGTCCGCCCGACGGCGCGTTGATCTGGTATTCGGGAACGGTGGTCAGCCTGGGATCCTATTCAAATGACGCTTTTGAAACCGTGCAAGTGCAGCTGCCCCACGGCACAGTTCAGGAGTGGGTTCTCCGCGGCCAACTGTGTCCTCTGTCCTCGGTGGTGAATCTGGAGAAGGGACGCGTCGAGGAGAAACACTTTGTGCTCCGTAGTTGTCACTTGCCCGCAGCTTTCTGCGCCGATGGGTCGCCGCTTCTCGGAGAGATCTTCCAGTGGCAGTTGACGCGACGATTCGATGCCAGGAGCGTCGCCTTTAACCGTTCGACGCTGTGGTATTTGCAGCGTCAGTATGCCAGTCCAGTGACAGCCCGCCAAGTGGTAAATACGTTTGTCGTAATTGGCAAAGCTTCTGCTCTTTCTGGTCTGTTATAGCACGTTCTACGTTAGTTGTTGAACGATTTTCTTTTACCATTAGTTAATAAGAAAACGCAGGCTTAAGTACTTTGCTGGATTCATTTCTTAGTACAATTTAAATAACACACCCTTGAACGATCCGCGTTGAAAAATCTTCCAGTGGTCTTCCAGTGGTCTTGATCTTCCAATGGCGCGTGCAAAAGCGTTTTCTCGAAAGTTACGCGGGTGCCAACCCACATGTTCAGTGATGTGTGTGGCTTGTTAACAGGAAAGCGTCTACGCCTGGGCGAAACAACAAGAAGCCAGTGGCGGCACATTGTGCACATCCCGGACAGCGCAGCAGATACTGCGTCGAGTAGCTCAGCAACGAAATGTTGATGATCCTGATGGAGGAGTTTGGCCGCTACCGCCTGAGCTGGTGGTAGCGGTCTTCCAGTCGCTGGATTCCATCGAACGGTTCCGCTGTCGTCGTGTGTGTTCACTGTGGAACAGTATTCTTACCACGGAAGCATATTTCCCCGACGTACGAGTATCGGGCATCGATGCGGATTACGAAATGCCTTTTAATGCTAACGACCTGTTTTGGGCGCCGGCGGGCCTGCTAAAATGCCTCAGCCACACCACCACGATGGTGGTTATTTCGGATATGACCTTTTTCTCCTGCAAAAACATCCATCACCTGTTCCAGCACATCCTCAACGCCAGCCGCGTACAGACGCTGGTGTTGCGTGGCTGCGGTAACCCTGCGGCCGAGAACGTGTTCCAGGCCGTGGCGGATCTGGCTGACTTGATCGTGCGATGCTGGCCGACGTTCGATCGCGTTATACTGAAGAACTGCAGCATCTGTGATGCCGATCTACGGGCAGTGATTGCGCAGCGTTCGTTCAGCACCCATTCGTACATGCGGCAGGATATCGCGCTGCAGTTGGTGGATCTCATGGAAAACAGTCTGGCTGTTGAGAAGCAGCTGGACCGACCGGCATTGGCGGAATGGATGGCTGACGTTGTTGCGAGAGGAGCAGATTGTTAAGGTCATTCGGGTATGGTGTATGTTTTCTTTGCTTTTAGTTGATCGGGAACGAATTGTGGGTTTGCTGCAGGATCTGAATTACTACCAGAGTTGGGATCCTCGCCCGACGACTGCCTACCGCGGGCGAATGTGGACCGTGTCGACCATCTCCGATTTGGATGTCAGCCAACTGACCACATTAACTGCCACGGTCTTGTGTCTACACATTGCTTCAGCCGACTGAAAGACAATACCGATGTGTCATTTAATTCGTAATGCACCGGCCGACCACAAGGTCCACAAGTATTGTTATAAGAAGGAATGCAGAGACTGTTTTTTTAAACGGTTCGTTCTGTTTATTGACTGTTCTGAGTTCTGACCAGTACCATGAGTGCAGCATAAATATGCAGTTTTATCGGACTTTAGTTGTGGTTCTTTATTTGCGGTTTGAGTTTGAGGCTGAGCCTAATATGTAGTTCGGATTTTGCTGGGCCTTTTCGTAATTGTAGCCTAGTTTATTATACACTGGGCCTCGCTGCGAACGATTAAACAGTGTACATTGTACTGGCACACTGCATCAATATTTAGCGTACAACTGAAACTGAAATCACACTTTAACACAGTCACATCAGCAGTTTCTTGTACGGTATGGATTTCCACTTCTATTCAGTGTAATCCATGAAGCATTGTTGTTCGTAGCGCATAATTCTGATTTCTGAATGAACACTTATCACATGGCTCTTTGCTGAATGCGCTGCTTGGCCATTCACAAAAATTATTTATTAATATGTGCTAATGAATGCTTGCTAAATTTAACAATTAGCGAACTTGTTTTTATAATGCGCATGGATTATACTAATGGCATGCAACATAAATCAAGAGTAATCACAAAAATATGCAACCCATGCACTGTTGACTGATTGAATAAAACGATTTCCTTCCTTGTCGCGTTCTGCAAGCCTTCATCGAGGCACGTGCCGATGAATACCCGGCCAAAAATGTACAGCGGCACCTTCAACACTGAAACGTGCGCCGGTTCGATAACGGTGCGTATACAACTGCACCTGTTGCCAAGGGAAAAAACAAGGCAGGCAGGAAATGCCGTGACAAAGCAGAAGTCATCCAGCTGTGACTAGCAATAGCGGTGTTAACGAACAGCACTACAGTCTTGTAGTACGAGTACTCTTTTGACTTTTCTTCATTCACGATTGACTTCTTAGCAATCAGCTGTGCAGTTGCAGTATCAAAACCATCCACCGGTGGCGTACAAATGTCCTATCTCAGCGTTTTATCAGCGTACGACTTGTACTACCGTACAACGCGTCTGCGTGCTTGAACACGAATCAATCAGCTGTTTTACTCTCTCTCTGGCGCTGTAGTATTTTACTCTTTCTCTCTGGCGCTGTACTGTTTTACTCTTTCTCTCTGGCGCTGTACTGTTTTACTCTTTCTCTCTGACGCTGTACTATTTTCACTCTGTCTTAACTTTCTCAGTCGTGTGTGTGTGGCCACTGATAACCAAGCGAGCAATGCAGGCCAGTGAACGACGCTTACCAAAACACAAAGACATGCAATCTTATCTCCGTTATCACCGCGAATCCTCACCGTGTTCCACTTGATTACATCCGGAAAAATGTGAGGCAATTAGTCGATTCTCCCATTTCGCTGCAATCCAATGTTCCCGCCATGTTCTGGCTGACGGAGTTTAAAACGCGCTGGCCGCTGCTGTACACGGTGGTGGACCGTTTCCTGGTCTTCTTCGTCCTCTTCCCCAGCGTCGTGGCCTACTGGGCGTCCATCTGGGCGGTACTGGATTATCTCCTCGCCGACTTACCCATTGAACCGCTGATCTGGGGGTACATTGTCGCGGGGGTGTTCGTCCTCGTAGCTCTCAACTGTTTCCAGTATGATCTCAAGGAGCACTTTCAGGAGCCGCACGGGAATGTGGTGAACATCATCGTCAAGCGGGTGTACACCGCCGTGGCCGGGTGCGGGAATTTGTTTCTGTGGAAAGGTTGGTGGGCACGACTTTCTCATGTCATTAGCTTGTGTTCATATGCAGATTGCATCGGGCGCTTTGCAATTGAGGTTGGTAGTTGGTACGTGTTTAGTGTGTCAGCGCTCTGGTACGGTGCAAAGTGCGCTGATTTTTTGGCGCGCGTTTACCAGCGGCTTTTGAAAGAAATGCTTTATGCGGCGCTGACAGGATTAATAAACGGTTAATTTGGATGGTTACGCTGCGGCCTCGTGTATACATTATCATCGTATTTGCACACTTGTTGGCACTGGATCAACATTTGTTCTGGTTTTGATAGTATAGTCTGACTCTGCGATAAGGAGTTCAATCAAGTCTATTTTGTCTAAATATTTTCTTAAAATTAAATTATTTTTTTGTCTTCGGCATGTAAAAAGTAAAAACGTTTCGCTTTTAGTTCTGTAATTTTACAAGTTTCATTCGTAATACGATGATCAATGATTCAATGCGTTCGTTCTTAAAAATGTTGTAGTTTTTATTCAAAAATATTTTTATTTACAGCTAAAAATGTCTTTATTTCCAAACCGAATTTTATTTCAATTTGTCTTTATTTTAACCAGATTTTAACACGTTAGTAACGCGATGATAAATATTATACTTCTTAAAATTTTTAACTTATAAACTAAAATTATTTTATATCGTAGCAGTATTTATTTCAGTTTTCATCTTTATTTTAAGAAGATTTTACCACGTTGTTAATGCGACGATAAATTTTATTCTTAAATATATTTTTATTTTAATTGAAAATGTTTTTAATTTCTAATTAATAATTTTTACCATGATTTTTCTAGTGAAGTTTGTCCTTCTTGTAATGCTGGGTTGTTCTGGCAGGCGTATGGTGGGCGCAGGACTACTACTCCGGGACCAGCGTGGCCAGCGCCGTCTTCTCCATAGTCATCGGCGTGATCCTGCTGATCTTGCTGCGGTGCTCGTGCAACGGGATCGCCGTGCCGCTCGGCACGGCCTTCGATGAGCATGAACAATTTTTTATTATTCCCACGCGCTTTCAGAAAAAGGTACGTCTGCGCACGATTTCGTTAAATGCACCAGGGAATTTCTCGACCTGGGAAATCAATTTTAATTATGAAGTACTGTAGTGTGACCGCATTTGCACCTTATGGTAATTTGTTGGCTATTGCCATTTAGTAAAAATAAAACAAAGAAATCTATCGGTTAAATTATCTAATAAAACAGATTTGTAATGAGAATTAAAATGTTGTAATAATAAAAATATTCCATTCTTTGTATACTTCTTTTATTTCAATAGCTGGATAACAATATCAAGGTCTAGTTACGATTAAACAACTTAACATTCTCAACAGTGCCAATCACAGAAGCCGCGTTACCACGTTGAATTGCTAAGGAAATATAACTACCTTCCATTCTTAACTACAATAAATTATTCTACATATTATATTCTATTTTGCATTTAAATTTCATTTGGTTATGAATTAAATACTATAGTTAGAGTGAACTACCTAAATCAATAAACCGAATTGTAATAAACAGATTTTATTATTATTATTTTATCATAGTAAATCAAAGTGTTCCCCTATTAAATATCTGAATTACTGTTTCGTATTGCATTTATATTTTGCATTTTTAATTTGCCGAATGATATAAAAAATAAAATATGTGGGTGCATCCTATATAAAATGTAAAAAATGGAATATCCTATATAAAAATATATGGGTGTCGTAAGTTGAAATTGCGCGTTGCTTTTTACCGACAATGTTCCTACTGTGCAGAATGACGAACGCTGCCTGCTCCTGCTGGACTCCCTGTTCTCCGTGGCCGTAGTGGGCTCCCTGGTCGTCTTCGAGTGGCGCGGCATCTGGCTGCTCCAAGACCTCCTCGTCTACCCCAACAACAAGGACATCAGCGTCATCCTCAGCGTCTTGATCGGCTACTACGTGGCCATCATGGTGGATATGGCGCAGAAACCAGCGGCCAGCTTCTCCGCCTACCTGGAGAAGCACTACGGCTGGTGGTCGAAACTGGTCTTCGAGGATCTGTATCTGTTGCTGGCCAAGATCTGTGTGCTGGCGGCGTGGCGGGGGCTGTGGGTGGCCTGCGAGATGTGGATCCGCACCCCGGAGTACGCGGTGTTGTTGGATCGATCGTTGATTTTGTGTGTCGTGTCGTATATTATCCCCACGGTGCTGCTGCACGCCAATTCCTTTTTTATCCTGGAGGTGCAGATTGACGGGGGCATGGCCGATGGCGCCGGGTGTAAGGTCAAGTGCACCGTGCTCAATCATTACGTCGAGGTCAGTGTGGTGGTTCTGCATGCCTACTGGTGTTTTTGAATATTTTCCGGATTTGGTTTGTATTTTTTAGGAATGTTTTTGCTCGGTTAGGTGGTAAATTTGTCGTTTTAAATTTTATTTTTTGAAACATTGATTTATCGATGTGGTAACTTTTTAAATGTACTTTTATCAAGTTTTGACATTTTTAGAAATTGTTCGAATATTTTGAATATCTCTTCTGGGCTTGACAATAAATTTTTCGTTTAATGATTTTTTACAACACCGCTGTTGGAAAGTCTACCTAAATTTTGCAATGTATCCATTTTTCCTTTTTGAAGAATTTAACAATTATAACATCCTGACTGACCAGCGAATCCCGTGAGTTGTGTCCAAGAAACACGACATCTGTGCCTAACAGTGACCTGAAAATGAATTTTCATTTATTGCTAAGCTAATTAGAAAAAATATGGAAAAAACTAGCAACACTGGTTTCAAACTTTTACTTGCTACTGAATCTACTACAAGCCGAGAAAATCATCAATTTTTACAAAGAGCAGCGCTGTACTACTACGGTACTACGTGCCGCTTTGACTGCGCCATTACACTACCATATCTTCGCACTATTGCAATGTGCAAGTGCAGACAGAAAAAATTAAGAAGTTTTTCGCCATCTTTATCATTATTTAAAAAATATCCCTTCTGAGATAAGTAACCAGTTTTTCGTTAAAAAAGAAATTTGTGTGAAACTCAGCTGTAATGCTCGCTATTGAGCAAATATGATCGCATAATGTTGAGCTTAAAGAACCGAGCATTCACTGCACATAAATAGCAAAAGGGAACTGCTCTTTAGCGTCGATTGCAGATAAATTAAAAATATTCCTGACCTTCATTTCAGTCGATAACAAGTATTAAAATTATAACAGTAATCGCATTATGTAATTTATGCCACGCTGCTTCCGTGCTCGGAACAATCGATGGAACGGCAGCATTAAATGAAATTTTGTTACTTTGATTAACTGTTTCTGTTCTGTGATCTTACCACGATTTTGTGAAATAAAAATTACATTATTTATAGTACATATTTTATTAATCGACTTCTTCTTATGAAGTGACAATCGCATAGTTCTTATAAAAATTCATATGCTTATTTTAAATTCGTTAGTTCTGGGATCCCGAGAGCAGGAAAGCCCGCGGGAAGAGGAGAGAGAAGGAGAAAGTGGCCATGCTGTCGCCCATGTCCTCCACGGAGTCCACCGCGACATCGTCCGGCGCGTCGTCCGGGCAGAATGACGTCTCACCGGATAAGATTCCCATTCCTTAAATGCATGCATTTCTGAATTTGTGGTATTAGCCTTTCGTCCTGTCCTGCTCCTGAATGGCATTCACTTGGGCACGTGTAATATTGTGATGCTGCCGAATGCGGCGATGGAAGTGTTATAACCGATAAAATTTTTTAACAAATTCCTCTAGTTTTTTGTTTGTTACGAATTGGTCGGGAATAGCGTCGGTTCGCACAGGTGCTGCCAAAGCGGAAGACTTCTGTTGAGAGTTAGCTATCCTTTTTTTGATGCTCTTCTCCATTGATCGTGATTGCCGGGAAATAATAAATACGTGTTTATACTGGTTCTGTTAGGCGGCATTGCCACGTTCTACCCCCTGCCCCATGAACCGCCATTGCGGCACACTTCCCTCAATTTCATGGACCTGCTTATGTTACCATTTTGCCGGAGACTACAGAAATTCAACGAAAATCGAGTAAAAGCAGGCTTTGAGTAGTGTGTCAGCTGTACTTATACCTTTGTTAACCGAATACAACACCGCGTTTTACCGCAAGCCGTATTCCAGCCGGCTGCCTCCTAGAGCAGGTCAAAAAGTACCGCGACTGTATTTTTAACGCGCCTTGTCATTCTTGTCTCGCGGTACTTCGCGCAAACGCGAAATACATTGTGACCTTTTAAAATTTTGTATGTCGACGCTTACTTACGCACTTTGTGCAGGGCCAGTAATGCTCTTACCACTTTAAAATTGACTACCGTATATGCTGACAAAACGTTAAAGAAATATGCAGCTGACCCAACGCTATAAATCCGCTTATTAGTTGTGCCACATTTTATGCGGCATCTGCCAGATTTTATCGTTTGCCAGTTGCCAGAGTCTCCAGGTTTTATCGCTTGCCATGCCATTGGCAGTGCCACTGGCAGGTGCCAATGCCACGTTTTACCCCCTGCGGTTCTGTTAGGCGACCTGAGAGTCACATGAGAATTGTATCGGGTAGTCTATCGTTTTGTAGGCTTTATATTGTTGAAATTAATTTAAATGGGATCCGCAGTTGTTGAGTAATATTAAACGGCAGTAATAGATAATCAGTCATGACCGCCTTCTAGTCTTTTTTTTATTTCTTGTTATTTTTTTATTTTATTATTCTTTTTATTACTTCGGGACAGACATTCGTCATTCGGCAGGGGGATGAATGAGGTATATCGCGCCAACAACCGACGCGTATATTTGTAAAACACAGAAAGCGGCGTATCCGTGCGTGGCGCTCCTGGATCGGTTGTTCTTCTGCCTTGCAATTGGTGTCAGCAGTCAGCATTCTCATATTCTACCGATGTGGCGCCTAGAAACCGGGTTTAGAAAGGTCACCGCTGTATCTAAGAATGTAACGTTGCATAAGACAAAACAATCCGAATCCGTACACTTAATCGTGTTCAGATACAAGCTCTGATAAGATATGTGCCGGGTTTGCATGGATGGTCTCGTGCGAAAGGTCATCACTGTGAAAAATCAGGCAAAATGTGTCATTGAAATGCACCCGTAAATAAAGAAAACTGCAACCGCGCAGCTTTCTTTCGAGACTGCTAATTTGAAAACCGCTTAAAACTTAAAAAATGATTTACGTCTATTCAATACAAAGCCGTTTTCAGTTGTGCGTGCACTTATCTGAGTGTGCAAAATTAAAAAAAAATCGGTCAGTAACGAGACATCCGGCGCATCTGTGTTGCGTTAAATATTTTTAAGTTTTTGTTCCACCCATAACTGGACAACCGGATGTTGCGCGCACTGACGCACAAGTGGAGCACCTGGCACACGATGGGCCATAAAACGCTGCAAAATTATGTTCTCAATCAGGATTGCACGAAAACAGATAGTTCCGTGCAGATACTTCCGTATTTCCGTACGTACACGAATTTCCTTACGTACACGAATTTCCGAATTTCCGTTTCCGTTTCCGAAAACAGATATTTCCGTACGTACACGAATTTGATAGCATGTATCGGCACATTTCCCTTAATGTATGAGGCCATTGTCTGTACTGCAACCCTTTTTGGCGCGCATCCGGTTAATATGGAATAATCGTAACTAAGGATGTCTTTTTACCATACCAGGTGAATCCAGGAAAATAAAATATGACGCTACAAGTAATCACCTAAAGCTTCCGTTACTAACGAAACCTTTGGCTTTCGGGTGCTACCCATTATTTTTGAGATGCGAGGTATTTACGCCCTATCCGGTATTCCAGCTAATGTCGGCTGCCGGGAAGCGGAACTCCTAATATCTATATCTGTATACTAACATCGTTACATGTAACTGATCATCATCCTCATGCTTCATGTCTCTTGACATCTCCAATGTTGTAGGTCCCGTAATAGTAATAAATGCTTCACAAGTTGAAGAAGCGCTTTTGTGCTGGGTATTTCCGTTGTTATGCGCCAACTGTCAGCTAGAAGATCAAATTGATCAGTTTGTACTAGCTAGTCCAGAGCAGCCAGCCTTAGACACCGTAAACAACGTCTGAATGACAAACGGCCAGGCTTGTTTATCTTTACGGCTCGCATTAAATTACTGCCTGCATTATCTGGTGTTCTGATGACCTTTCGCCGATTAATCTGCTTCCACAATAAAACGGGCTAGAACACGGAAATGTATTTCTTGGGGATGTCATTCACCAAGTGAACCAGAGCAGTATGCTCATTTTGTAACACATGACGGGTACATCAAGCATGCGTTGCTGAAGCGATATACGTACTCTGTATGTGTCAGAATGCGCAAAGCATACTACTTTGTACGAGTAGTACTGTCAGCACATGATGCGATACTGTCCTTTTTGGAGGTTACACATGCTATCAGCACTCAGCAGTTGGTATTCTGCAGTTACTGCGATCTTAAATTTCATAATTCATTTTTTATTAATGATGCATTCTGTTAATTTTCTTAGGTTCGCTAACGCATATGGGTTACATAAAAGATACTGCAGAAATACAGTTTTATTACTTGTTAGGTTTATGTATAGGTAAAAAAAGAGGCTTTCTGTACAATACACCTTGTTAATTGTGCCCCGGGGTGAATCATCTTGGCCAGATATACGGATTCGCAATCACTCCTGTACAGCTTTAATAAAGTTAGCAGTGCGGAACATACATATGGATTGGCGGAACATGTCGTGGTCCAATAATTGAGAGTCTGGCTTTTGTGTTATAAGTTTATAAACCATTAGCGTGTGCAACACATGTACAATACTTTATAGCAGCTAGTGAAAGTGCTGGTACTGTTATCGGCCATTGTGACGTCACATTAAGACAGTAATCCTATCCAAATTTCAGTTGTACAGTACATGTTAACTATAATATCATACTCGTGTTTCGGTACATTTAGTACATCGCAAGATACATCTGCAAAATCACAATATCTATATACCTTACGCACAGAATAACAGCACATGTGTGTTTTCTAAATAAAATCAAGAACAAAGAACACCATAGTAATTATTCGCGTAACATCAGCATCGCCTCGTGTAAATCATTGTCACGCACCAGCAGATCATTACATCGGTGCAATGGCATTCAACAAAGCGATTATTCGCTAGTCTGATTTCTCAACGAGCGTCGCAAAGTGCATCCGCCGTGTACACTTGTCGGATCCTCTGTGTATCACTCTTCAACACACAAGACGCCGAGTAACCGATCATGTAATAAATAAAAAAGCCGGCAATTATTTCCCATTGAATAAAACTTACCCTGCATATGTAATTTCTTTGATTCACTTTGCAAAGTAGACCACACTGTCCGCTTCAGTAATGGTCACCGTGCATTAACCGTACATTAACATTCAGACTGGAAAAATGTTGGATAAAGTGTTGGTATTATTATTTGTAATTTCGCGGATAAATGGGGAAACGTATAGTGTGTACAATCCCTCGTACAGTACGATCAATCTGCCCATCTTCGCAAGGAATATTCAGCCGACCAATCAGAATTATTTGAAGGTCTCGATGGGACAGCCGCAGTTGGTGGGCTATTTGACCCCGGTGCGGAAGACCGGGGGCACGGCGTACTATCCCATCCCGGTGCCGGTGGATTATGGAAATGGCGGCAACTATGGGAATGGCGGTAACTATGGGAATGGCGGCAGTACGTATTCCGTATCGGAATACTCACCGTCGGGTTATGATAACTCACCGGCGTACTCGCCGAGCCCGGTGTATAACTCCCCGTCGTACTCCAGTCCCTCGTACAGGTATGACTCTATTTTCTCTACGTAGTATCCTAAATATCCAAAGTTTACGTTACAGTTTACATTAAAGTTCACATCCGTCATACGAAGGTTTAACTTAAAGAATATTTTTAACGAATGAAAATAATACGTAAAAAACTGAATTATTGTACTAATGGTAATTAAAGCAAAAAGTGAATGCAAATATAAAAACGTGATAATAAAACAGAATTAAAAATTTTCTTTATTGCACAATTTAGTGTATTAACGAATGCAGCGCCGCAGTAACCTTTGCGTAAATACTAGTATATGCGTAGAAGTTTTATTGCTTTTGTACGACTATTGAAAAATAATAATATGTCGCACAATCAGTCCCACGTTTGTTCATTTTATTACACCGATTACCTATTTCAAGCAGTCTTATCACATAACTAAAATTAGTGCTAAACTGCTAATCGAAAATAACTGGGGTGCTTTTTATCGATGTTATAGGATTTTGTTGCAAATCTACATTATTTTGATTTGCAAACGCTTGCATAGGAAAACCCATGTGCGTTAAGTCACTGCGTTTCAGTACCGCGTTTTGCTTTTCATCATAATGGACATAAAATTAATAATTACAATGTGTCCGAGCACTACGAACTACGAAGAAGCATCAATTAAACGATAGTGAAAGTTTTTTTAGGTCATGCTGTCATAATTATACTGCACTCACACGTGCGGCACGAGGTGTAAAAGACCAGAGAGCGCTGTGTCGTTTCGCCGATACAGCCGCGATGACTGCTACATTAATCGGATTTGTAGTTTAATAATCGGATCACTTACTAATTATTTTAAGATATTTACTTATTTTTTTAAGATTCAATTTGTTACTGTTTAATTACCGAATGCCGTAGTTTAACAACCTGTTTTGACAAAAGCGAGAATAGTTTCCGGTCGGCATAAGATTTTCGTTATATACTGTATGCACAGTAATAAATTACATAATGTACAACGTACACGGTAATAAAAACATGAGAATAAATACATAAATATACGCCTTTTTGTAATTAGATAAATAGCAAAAAAGTTAAACCTCTGGTCTCTTAGGACAAATTGTTGTTGTCGTTGTCGCGCAATCGCACCGACCGGTCTAAAAGACTTGCACTGTATACATGCAATAATCGCCTAAGACTTTACGCTCTTGCTACATTATGCATCACGTTTTTGTTACATTACCGGTACATGATACATCTATAATAATTAATTGTTTTGTGTACAGCTCTCCAACTCCCAGCTACTCATCACCCCCGCAAACCTACAACGACAACACGTACAACCCGTCCCCATCGTACTCTCCCTCGTACGCACCCGCGCCCAGCTACATTCCCTCCGGCTACTCCGTCTACACCACGCCCGCGCCCTATATCGCGCCGCCCGCCTACAGTCCACCGTCGTACGCCAGCCAACCTTCTTATTCGCCGCCGTCATACAACAGTCCGCCCACCTACTCCGCGCCGGTGTATGACAGCCCAGCGCCATCCTACTCCGCGCCGCCTTCCTACAGCAGCCCACCTTCCTATTCCGCGCCACCGTCATACAGCAGTCCGCCTTCGTACTCCGCTCCCACGTACGATACACCGGCCGCCCCGACGTACAACTCACCGCCTAGTTACTCCGCACTATCGAGCTATTCATCCCCGCCTTCGTACAGTGCGCCTTCACCACCGTCGTACAGTGCGCCTTCACCACCTACTTATTCCTCGCCTCCGAGCTACGCGGCTCCGCCCACTTACACCGCACCCTCGCCGCCCAGTTATTCCTCACCGCCGTCCTACTCCTCCCCACCAAGCTACTCCTCTCCGCCCAGTGCGGCGATCACGTACTCATCACCTCCATCATACTCTTCCCCTCCGGCATATTCCTCCCCGCCTTCATACAGCGCCCCCTCGCCGCCCTCTTACTCCTCCCCACCGAGTTATTCGTCTCCACCCAGCGCGGCGATCACCTACTCCTCCCCTCCGAACTACAGTGCTCCGTCATCGTATTCCTCCCCACCGTCATACTCTTCCCCGCCGATCTATTCCTCGCCTCCCTCCTATAGCCCAACCTCCCCGTCCTACTCCTCGTACAGTGCACCCCCGTCGTACTCCTCTCCACCGGCATATCAAGTCATTGCCAGCTACTCTCCGCCGACGATCATTCCTTACAATCCGCCGGTGGATAACAACGCCGGCAAGTACGTCGGTTATGGAACAGCCGCGCAAAGCTACTACGGAGGTCGGAAGAAACGGTCGATCGTGCCACGGAAAACAGTGTACCAAAGGAGACGATAGTTTTTGTACTTATCTCGAGAGATTTATTTGAACCACGGGGAAGTTTACTACGGTCAAGCCTTTCCCGTTTCTCTCCCGACGGCTAGGAATATAATTAAAAGTTAATAAAGTTAACACATTAATACTAAAAACGTAATCAAAATAAATAAGCTTAGTATCCTGCGTATACCTTCTTCCGATATCTAAATGCCATAGCTGAGCCGAGATTGTTCCAGTTAAATAACCACGCCGAATACCTTTGTAACTGCAACAGTTAGTAGAGCAGTGCCGATCATAACGAAAACGCTGCAACAAGTTAACAAATACTGTAAATGTTCTACTGTAAATGCAGACAAAATGTGCTGCTAACAATCTCCATACTTCGTATGCTCTAAAAAACACTTCTAGTCGCTATAATTATTATTTTCTTGTTAAAGGAAACATTCGGAAATTGACGCTCTGCAATTTCAAACACAAAAATAGAAAAAAAGCAAATTAATTGGCCTACAAACCGTATACAGATATACGTACACACTACCCTAGCATTCCTCCTGGTCCGTAGAGTTTTTAATCACTCGAATATCACGTCTGGAAACATTACTACGCCGAAACATCTCTGACGTGTAGGGAAGTGGGCGAACGAAACAATACCGCTTTAATATCGATTCTTATCTAGAGTAGCTTACCTTGAAAGCTACTCTAGGTATATATAAGTGTCGATAACGTCCACTTCCCTACACAGATGGCACGCACAACGAGACAATGCATTATCCAAAATTAATGAGGTAAGAGACCATCAGCCCCAAGAACTGCAGCAAATGCTCAGTAAATTTAATTACCCGGTTCGCGTGAAGTAGCGAGACTGCGCCGAGCAATTACGCTCTTCTGGGCCGTCACGTTGTATTTTCTATTCTCACAGGAAGAGAAATGTTTAACAATTTACGTCCACGCTGGTTCCGCTATCGGGAACATGTCGAAATCAGCTCATATTAAAATGCGCACGTCGGTAGCCTGGCCTTATGTTCCGGCAGCCGCTCCCTGGTTGTCTTCCTTGAAGCCATACATCTTTGTGCAAGTCACGAACAATCAACAACTTACCTGCGGCCGTCAACGAATGATTCAATACTTTCAGTGGAATAACATTCGACAATGTAGGACTAAAGGTAAATGCCTCGTTCTAACGCATATTAACAAATAATCGCCAGTCCGTTCGGATCCAGTGCTGGCGATTTACAGATATGCGCATTGGATATGTTCCTGTTTCACACCATTCGTTGGTTTTATCATTGAATTTCTGAACGGAAGACCAACGTTTTGATCTCTGCTTTTTTAATCATACGTTGCATAATCTGCGGACTGCTAGTGCATAATGCCACGGAATAACACGACCTTTATCACACACGAAAATTTCACAAGCTCTGAGAGGGAGCAACGGTGGCCGTACATGAAAATCATCCGCACGACCTTCTGCGCCGCTCAACTCCTTCTCAACACCGGCATGTTGTTGGCCTTCGTCGTGCGGCGCAATCTCCGCACCTCCTTCACCGTGTACATCATGTTCCTGCTGTTCAGCAACATCGTCTACGCCGGCGCCGAGCATCCCTTCGAAATCCTCTTCCAAACCTACAAAACCGCCTGGATGCCGGCCACCCTGTGCGGCTTCTACCTGTATTTATTCTGGGTGTGGTGCGGCGTACCGATGCACATGCACATGCTCATCACCGCCAACCGTCTGTGGGCCATCAGTTTCCCGCACCATTACCGGCACTATCATACCATGAAGATGGCCGTGGGATTGTGTGTAGTGACCGCGTTGTACGTGCATCTGGTGGCGCTGCCGTTGATTGTCATTGACCAGACGGTGTACGCGGTGTTTATTCCGGAAAAAGGCTGTACGCTGAATTTCGATGTGGCCGTGATTAATGATTACACCACGGGTGTGCAGATCGTCATCTTCGATGTGCCCATCGTGTTTGTGGTGTTGGCATACCCGTTCTTGCTGTACAAACAACGGTTGCGATATAAACGCCGCTGGATGGACGACCCCTCGGCGTCCAATCGGGTGCAACCCAGCGCCATGGACAGCCTGCCGACCAAGGTTAGTCACTAAGATTGGATCGATCAATTACCTATTCAGATCTAAGGCAACGATGATCTTTGGTATTTATTAATTTTACGTTAACGGCAAAACGTTTAAGACGCTTGCAGTTGTTGCAGACGCTTGCACTGACTGCACTAGAATTGTTAGGATTCATTGCAATATCTCTAACAATTTTTGAAAAACTTAGAATTTCGAAGAGTTGTAACAAGAGCTGTTGGTAAATTTAACAGTATCTTCATTCGGCTTAAATGCAGTCTTTGGTTTAGCTACCTGTACATTAGCCGTATAATTACCTAGCGAGCGTCTTAAGGCCGGTGTCTTAAACATTCCGCCATAATTGGTGCTGTTACTAAGGATTTAATGAAACGGATTGTGTTTGTAGCGAAGCGAAGATACCATCACCAAACCGAAAGAATCAGCCCGACCGTTCCTGCTCTTGACTTTCCTCACAGTCAGCGCGTTTGTGCTGTGGACACCGACGATGACCTACTGGACCGTGGTCTGCTTCCTGGCGCCCACCTGGGATGTCTACACCATACCCATTCGACATATAGTGTCGGCTATGATCGCCTTCCAGCCCGTACTGGATCCGGTGCTGTTCGCGTTCAGTCTGCATGATTTCCGCAGCGGCATCCGGCGTTTCTTCCGTTGCTGTTGCAGAACAAATGTGGCAAGCCCATAACGGAACATGTTCTTTAACAGGCAGCTGGAAGAGGGTGACTCCCGGGTTTCCGGTATATATCGTGTATTTCTTTAATTTCTCATGTTAACGTTTTCGTTGATTTGTTTGCTTTTCCTCCAGATTATTTTTCTAATTGTAGATTTTTGCCAGATCCCTCAAAATCGAAATTATTGTTGTATTTATAATTAATTATATTTTTATAGTTGCATTAATAATATGTAGCAGCACCTGGCCGGCTCCGAGGCCGACCTGCACGCCGCTGAGACGGAGGATGCGGATGACGGTAATGTCTGCCAATTCCAGACCGATTAAATTCATTTAAAGTTCTTAGCCGACTCGTGAGATTTTTGTGATGGATACAGTGTGCGCCGATATTGTGACAGTTAATTTTAAATGGTTATTTAGATAATGTAAATTAATTTGTCAATTTAAATTATTTGTTGTGGCAGTTTATTTTACTTATTATGGATTAACTCGTGGTGTAATTATGCCACGAGAAACTGTGGTTGGAATTGTCGAGAAATTACAGAAAATTTCGATAGGAAAAATATTTATGTACAGACTGCCAGTTTCTTGCTTATGGCGCTCTTTATTAGGCTATTAAAATTACTCGTATCATCTTTTCCCGGCGTTCACGGGCGGACTGCAACTTCCAAGACATAATAATGTAAATACTTACATATGGAACGTTTCGTACCAAAGAAAAAAACTGGAACGTTTTTTTCCTTCTTGTAGTCACTGTAGTCATCTGTAGACAACCTGTAGACACCCTGTAGACAGCCTGTATACATCCTAAGAAAACCTAAGAAACCAGGTGACTACAGTATGTCTATAGTGGTGTCTACGGGATGTCTACAAGTGACTACCGGTGTATACAGGCAGAGTATCAAGCTGATCCTAAGAAGGGCTACCTGTATACAGCGGTAGACATCCGTAGACAACCTGTAGACAGCCTGTAGACAACCTGTATACATCCTAAGAAAACCTAAGAAACCTAAGAAACCAGGTGACTACAGTATGTCTACAGGGGTGTTTACTACAGTGCGTCTACAGATGTATACAGCAGAACATCCAGCTGAACCTAAGAAGGCCTGCCTGTATACACCGGTAGACATCTGTAGACAACCGGTAGACGCCCTGTAGACATCCAAAAAAGCCTAAGAAACCAGGTGACTACAGTGTCTACAGTGGTGTCTACGGGCTGTCTACAGGTGACTACCGGTGTATACAGGCAGAGTATCGAGCTGAACCTAAGAAGGGCTGCCTGTATACAGCGGTAGACATCCGTAGACAACCTGTAGACACCGTTGTAGACACGCTGTATACATCCTAAGAAACCAGGTGACTACCGATAGGTCTACAGGGTATCTACAGCATGTATACAGATGTCTACTGTGACTACAAGGAGCGAAAAAACGATTCACTTTTTTTCTTTGGTACGAAACGTTCCACAGGTGTAATACTACCTAAAACAGAATATTGACGTAATATAGCAAAATATAAGTAAATTAATTTGTGTAGAATAAATGCAGTTATGACGATAGAATGGAAAAATTTACTGAATAAAGTTACCGTAAGAAATTTTATGTAGAATAAACACGTAAATGTCGAATAAAAACGCTTAAGACGAGAGGTACCCAACATCTGGTTAAATTGGTACACCCCCCGTGCTACATATGGTTCGAAAGAGCGTTACGAGATCTACATACCCATACCCGTTTTACTAATTGATAATAAAAACTGAAAGAGCGCATGGGGACCATATGTTGGGTACCCCTCGTCTTAATACCTAGTACTCTATGAATAACTAAAATTGACTGAATAAAGTCACCGCAAAAACTTTGTGTAGATTAATTATTAAAATAAGTACAGAGTAAAAAATTATTCGTACTCCTCGTAATCGCCTACATAACCCGGCTGAGTCGTGAGACGTGCAAGCAGCGTCCGCACGTGACGTGCTGCACGTCTTACGAGTCTACGAGAAATTACCATAGAGGATGCGCAGCACGTAACGTGCTGCAATTCTCCTAATATCGGCCGGGACCAAACTACCACTCCGCGGGACGGTACCACGGCTCTGCCGTGGCACCGTAACAAGCGTGCCTAAATGCAGCCGGGCTTATTAGCGCCAGCACTGGTAACGAGCGGTCTTCGACCCGGTGCGGCAGCAGGTTACCGAACTCTCGGTCCGTGGAGCGTCCGCCGTCCGACGATAACAGCGCCAGTCTAACCACGAAGATTCGCGGTATCTGAACGCTGCCGAATCTGGTGGCGCTGCAAGTGGGCGAAGCCCACGGTCTGCACATTGCCCGCCAGGATTTCAACGGAATGCCCCGGGTCAAAGCCATTACCTTCCGTATGGCGACCATCGCAACCATGGAGCCGCATACCTTCACGGATTTGCCGCGCTTGGACAGTCTGCTGCCAGATGACGGTCTATACGTTCTGGCCCATACGCAGCTGCATACAAGGCCGGAGGATGCGTTGACAGCGTCGCGCCGCGACGACTTTGAGATGGTGTACCGTGTGCACTGCGACTGCGCGTTTGCCTGGCTCCGCAATTTTCTTCGCCAACGACCTAGCCTCATGGCAATTACAGGCGACAGACTTGGTGGTCTGCTGGTGGATTGCGCCATGAATGCCACGGCTGCAAATATGATTGCCCATCGCTACGGGGGAACTGAATTTTCTTTTAACGTCACTTGCTACAGTTCAGCATGCTAAATTTCCCGCCGGTCAACTCTGAAACTGCCCATATTAACCACAACAGTAGAGCCATGACTTGGCTACTCTAATCGCGTACTCTGAATGACTGCTCTGAGTGATTCGGCTACTCTAATTGCGTAGTTTATTAGCGTAAACCGTCCAAAATAAAATTTAAGTAGCGCGAAAGCGAAAGTTTTCGTAAATGTACATGAATTTGGTACCTCGTACATAGTGCATGTACCAAGCCCACTTCCCTTAACAGTAAGGTTGTTACCGTTGCGCTATTCTACCAGTGCACCGGTGCAATTTTAAAAAAATTGCGGTGGAACTTAAAGCAATTAACTGAGCAGGCGGTGCATTTTTCGGGAAAACCCTCTAGCACTGCCAAGAAGTTCTGGAGATTGATAAGTAGTAAAGTCGAGAATTGGTTGCTTTTTCGGTGACGGCCGTGCGCTACACCGGCGTTTGCCGGTGCGGTGTAAAAAATTGCGGCGTGGTTTTCGTTTTACATCGCACCGTCCGGTGCGGTCTTTCGCTTCACACTGGCAAGCTGATTGCGATTTCTTGTAAAAAACCTCACTGGAAGCACACCGGTGTACACCGCACTGTTAACAACCCTTGTTAAAAAATATCTGTACTCGTACAGAAAGCACGCGAGTCACGCTATCCATACAAAAACCAGTTCAAAAGTTATATCGCGAGTTACGCTACCATAGCCTGTAATAAGTAATATATTATACTGTATGTAATTTTCATGCGAGTTACGCTAGATTTAAGGTTTCTTGATAGCGAGTTACGCTTCGGGGTTACGTAATAAATCATCTGGCCAAACGTATTCGGGAACAGACTAAAGAAAACCGTGCCAAGCAGTTTTTGTTGCGGCGTTGCAGTTTAGAAATACAACAAGGTACTGTATTCTTGGTACAGTTGAGAGCAGCGTTGATGAACCGTTTTTGGTTTTCCAGAAGTTTGAACTGTTTTCACATTTGTAAACGAATAACGACTAAAGTGTAATAATAATTTTTGCCTTACTTGTTAATAACAAGATCTGTAAATACGGACATAGGATATATAAGTCACATGCTGAGTTTTCATCTACGTAGCCAGTTTAGCAAGCTGCATCCGTTCTTTTTTTCTTGTTAGCTACACTCTACACAGCAATGACCTAGCTAAACATAAAACACTAACGAATACTACCTGCAGGCTACAGAAGAACATGAGTATTCGGACATTACCCTCTTCCGGCAATCTACGAGCGGCACGTTACGAATAATTATCGCTTCCGTTACGAAGTATTTAAGTGTTTTGATAATATATCCGCGATTTGCGGCTAGCAAGTTCCGGTTTGTGCACAGATGGTCCACGTAGCATGCATAGACGTGATGAAATTTTGTGCAGCCAAATTGTCTTCTGCTTTTTGACATTGAATCCCTTTTGAATACATTTAAACATCAAGGAAACATACGCGACACCACGCTGCTCTCTTAAGAGATAAAGGTTGCGGATCAGTCAGCGCATATCGGTCTGAAATGTCGGTTTCGGCCATGTGGCTGTCCCGTAAAATGATGTTTCCGTTGTTTATAACGACAGCAGTCGTTATCCTGCCGCTTTCAGCAGACTTCCCACAGAGATCTATTGGATCAGGCAAATACGGCTACGGAATGTCCGACTCGGCCATGACATATGTAGACCCACGTCTCCAACCTGTATGTCGAACCTTCGTCATGCCGGCCTGCGATCCTCGATGGCTGTACTGTGCCTGTGGAAAGCCGGTGTTCAACGTTAGCGACATTCCCATAGACAAGTCTTTCCTGTACCTCGGTGAGCAGACAAGTGACAGCGGGTGGGGTTTCGCGGCCCAATGCGATTCCAACTGCTTGTTACCCGAGTTTGATTCTCTGCCTCCGCATCTTAATTTAAGCGACATTCGCCTGAGCAATATCTGGGTGGCGCCCAACGATGCTCCGTTTCCCGTTGGCCGTTTCCTGATTAATGTCAAGCGGACGGTACAGAAACTGCACCTGGTGGAGATTTATTTGCCCACGCTAACAAGGGATACATTCGCGGGATTCACCGTCCTCCAAACCCTTCAGCTAGAGCGCAACCGAATGACCGCCATTGCTTTAGATGCTTTAGAGGCATTTGTCCCTCCACCGGGAAACACACTACCGTCCCAACTAGAGTGGATCTTGATTAACGGCAACAGTTTGCAGCATTTTGATTGGTCGGTGTTCATGCCACTGGCTGACACTATAAAGGTATGTACGAGGTACGATGTACGACGGACGATGGACGACGATGTACGACACTCGTAGCTAACGCATTCTCCATGTCTATCATGCTACGTAAAACTACTGACAACATTGTTTCGATACTCGAAGATTATTACTCGTATTTGCCCTTTAAACGCTAGTGAGCTGCTTTTCGTAGCATATTGCCTTGGAGACCAACGATATTCATCAAGTGTATCCCAGCCGGTTGTTCGTAATGCGCCGCGTGGAATCTGTCAGTCTGGCTGGGAACAACCTGACCGTCGTGGACAGCCGCTTTCTGGACAGTCTGGTGCAGGCGGGCTGGCGTTCCGGCTTAAATCTGGGGTATAATCCGTTATGCACGACCGACGTGCTGTGCCGCTGTCCGTCCTTATTCAGCCTGTGGGATTGGCTCACCAACGCACGAGCACGGATCACCCAGGTCGAACCAGGAGTTAAGGTCAACTGGAGATTTACTGACGGGCTGACATGTGGCAATTACACCGACATTCTTCAGGGAGATGTTTTCCACCGCTTTAGTGTCTCCGAAAAGGGTGGATTAGGGAAAGCATACAAGGGTGTTGAAGTGGAAGCACTGGCTAATTTGAGTCATAATTAGAGGAACGTCGACAGGAACTGAATCTATGCTTCTTCGACTGGAGTTGCACCGGCATCTGCAGTATATTTTGTTTTGTAATTAGAGATCATATCCTTAAAAGAATTCCGAATTTATAACTCCGGCTATAATGTAATTCATGCTTTTGCAAGCTTTGCTGCATTCTCTTTGCAACGAATAATTCTTTTGTGAATGTCATTGTAACCTTTGCTTCATACGTAGCCTGTTTGGCAAGGCTCTTGGTTTTTAATGCATTATAAATAATGGCCAGTAAGGCGGTGGTCAAATAGGTTGTTCTTAAATGGGTTTTGAAGACACCCCGAGCCGAATGAAAGAAATTTGTTGCATTTTCTAATGGTACCAATATCATGGCGTAACGGCACTGGATGCGCTAGATGAACTTGCACACAATGCGGAGTGTACGGAAACGTCGCACGCTGCTCGATAGTCGATATGCTACGCGCACGCGATGCCCGGCAAGAGAAAGGTGGCGGCCGGGTTCGGCCTTAACTATGAGGGCAAGTTCATTTAGCGGCAAGCGTACTCCCATGCAGGCGTGTGTGCCAAAGCCGAAACTTTCCAACTGAGCGAATAGTCTGGCTATGCGCGAAAGCTCTCGCACGGAATGACAAGAGTATGGAATCTACGCAGCGGGAGTTTGTTGTTATGATGTCCATAAAGGAAATACGAAAGCATCCTAACATTCACGACACTGAATTTTGTTATGATGTCCATAAAGGAAATACGAAAGCAGCCTAACATTCACGACACTGAATTGTTTTCTAAGAGTCCCAAAAAAACTCTATAAAATTATCTGTGATAGTGCTTTTGCTGGTGACATAATACGCATCGCACAATGTCGTGACGTGATAATAAATGTACTTTTATTATCGAACGCAGGTCGTTGACTGACTGCCAGCAAAAACCAAAACATTGACTGGTATACATAACGTTGCTATGCAGAAAGGTCATGTGTATACACACATATTTCTGACACCTGCCCCAGTGGGGAAACCCACTCAACCAAAGCCAAAAATAAAATCAGCGTCCGAATTTTGGATCCGCGATCAGTCGATCGGTTCTTTTCGGTCTCTTCCGCTTCGTCGCACTTCTGCTTCTGGGGGCTTCAGTTGGGAACTGGTATCGGTTTTCGCTTCAGGAACGCGTGGCGTTTTCTTAGCATTCTTCGTATTCGCTAGCTTCACTGGTTTGGCGCTATCGACAGACGGTAATGTAAGTTCAGGTGTTTTACCAGTACCGATCTGTCCACCAGCATCCTGCTTTGTGATTGCTTCCGGAATGACATCGTTAAGCAGTGCCGTCTGCGCAGGCGCTGCTGGCGATGCGAGTGGTACGTTCGGTACATCCGGTGCCTTCAGTGGGACAGGTACGACAGGTGCAGCTGGTGGATTCGGTAACGCACGCTCGGCTGGGTGCAGCCAGTGCCTCGGTCGCATCTTATTTTCATGCCTTCGCAGGTCCGTTCCGTTGACTAGGACAACCCAGATGCGTGTACCTTCACGTTTGACCAGCTGTCCACGCTGCCAGTCAACTGCACGGTTCGGACGGTAATCTCGTACCATTACGTATTCACCAACTAGGAAATGCTTCTCCTTTGTCCGTTGGTCGAAATTTTGCTGGTAACGCTTCCGGTTACGCTCCACTGTTGTCATCAGGACAGGCACCAGCAAGTCCAGCTGACCACGCAGCTTGCGACTCAGAAACAATTCCGCTGGTGACTTGCCAGTTGTGGCCTGTGGCGCGTTCCGGTATCGGAACAGGAATTCCCGCAGAGCTGTGGGCAATGGCTTCCGGTCGGCCATCAGCTTGCTGATTCCGTCCTTAAAGGTTTGAACGTAGCGCTCCGCCTGGCCGTTCGACTGTGGGTGGACAGGTGGTGTACGCAGATGTCGGATGCCGTGTACCGTGCAGAAATTTGCAAACTCTTGCGAGGTAAACTGCGTACCGTTATCGGTGACGGTTTCGGTGCAGGCTCCGTAACGGCTGAACAGATTCAGGAGGGCCTCCAGAACGCCGTCGGACGTGGCATGTTTCATCTGGATCACCTCCGGCCACTTCGACATGGCGTCCACAATCACTAGCATCATTGTGCCGTGAAATGGACCAGCGAAGTCCATGTGGAGCCTCTTCCAAGGTGCATCCGGCACTTCCCACTGCGCCAGCGGGACTTTGGCCGTTTCTTTTGCGCGTTCAGTGCAAATTCGGCATTCACTGGACATTCGTTCGATGTCCTTGTCCATGTTAGGCCACCAACAGTATCCTCGTGCTTCACCCTTCATCTTCCCTGCTCCCATGTGGGCGCTGTGAAGGTAATCCAGGATCTCCTGCCGGTGCTTCGATGGCACGACGGTCCGGGATCTCCAGCATACGCAACCGTTGATGGTGACGAGCTCGTGCTCTAGTCGCTTCTAGGGACGCGCTAGGGTATCAACCGTCGACGGCCAGCCGTTCATAATGTATCCATGCACGGTGGACAATTCCGGATCTCTGGCTGTTTCCTCGGCGATCGCTTCCCCCGAGACCGGGCAACGCGGCACGTTGTCGACGTGAACAGCGTTGACCACACTGTCCATCCCCAGGGCGGGCAGGCCATCCAGCTGCGTCGAATGCAGTGGCAGGCGGCTTAGTCCGTCAGCTTGGCCAAACTCCTCGGTGCGGCGGTACTCGATGCTGAACGAATATCCCATCAGCATCAGCGCCCACCGTTGGAGGCGGTTTGCAGTCACCACCGGCACTCCTTCCCGTTGACCAAACACACTGAGCAGCGGTTTGTGGTCAGTGCACAAAGTGAACTCGCGCCCAGCGATATATTGATGGAACTTCCGGCATTCGAAGACCAGTGCAAAAGCCTCCTTTTCTATCTGGCCGTAGTTCTTCTCGGCGGTTGCGAGCGTCTTCGACGCGTGTGCGATTGGCCGTTCCGTCCCGTCCGGGAAACGGTGACAGATCACGGCGCCAACGCCGTACTGTGACGCGTCCGCGGCGAGGACCAGCGGCATCCGGGGATCGTAATGAACCAGGAACGTCGCGCGGACAATTTGCTCCTTCAAGGAGAGGAACTGCGTTTCGCAGTCCTTGGACCAAGACCATGCGACTCCGGTCTTCAGGAGATTGTGGAATTGCGCACACTTTCCGGACAGGTCGCGTACGAACTTCCCGTAATGGTTGACCAGACCCAGGAACGCTCGGAATTCGCTGATGTTGGTCGGCCGGGCCATATCGCGGAGTGCCTTGACGCGGTCCTGGGAAATGTGGCGACCTCGGTGGTCCACCACGAACCCCAGGTACTCCACGGAGTCCTGAAGGAAGAAGCACTTGCTGCGCTTCAGCGTGAAACCGTGCTCTTCCAGGCGTTGGAGCACCTTCTCCAGGTTCCGGAGGTGCTCCTCTTCCGTCGCCCCGGTGACGATGATATCGTCGAGGTAAATGGCGACTCCCTCGCATCCCTGGAGGATACTTTCCATGATCTGCTGAAACACGGAGAGACCGCAGGCGACACCGAAGGGGAGTCGGTTGTACCGAAACAACCCCTTGTGCGTGTTGATCACTACCAGGTTTTTGCTCTCTTCGTCGAGCTCCACCTGGGCGTACGCTTCCGCCAGGTTGAACGTTTCCCTCCGTTCAGCTTCGCGAACAACTCATCGGGCGTCGGCAGCGGGTGCTGCTGGACGTCGAGAGAGGCGTTGAGTCCCGTGCTAAGGTCGGCACAGGTGCGGATGTCTCCAGCCCGTTTCTGCGCCGTCACCACTGGAGCTGCCCAGTTGGCCCGTTCCACTGATGTAAGGATGCCCCTCTCCACCAGGCGATCCAGGTCGCGCTCCAGTGCTTCGCGAAAGGCAAATGGGACTGGTCCAGCTTTCCGGAATACAGGCGTCGCGCCAGGCTTTAAGTGCAGGTGAGCCTTGTAATGTTTACAATGGCTCAGTTCGTCCCGGAAAACAGCGCTGTGTTTCTTCAGCAGCTGTTCCACCTCGAGCGTGCCGGAAACTGTGGACACCATGGTCGACTGCAGATCCCGCAAACTCAGTCGGCTGAGGTCCAAGGCGCGGATCCAGTCCCTACCCAGCACGTTTTCCCCTGTGGCCACCACCACAATCGGCAGTGCCTTGCGAGGGCGTGCGTAGGTGACTTCCACGGTCGCAGTACCGATGACCTTCAGCGTGTGCCCCGTGAAGCTCCGTAAAGTGTTCGTATACGGCGACAGCTTCGGAGATCCGATTGATCGCCACGTGTCGGCCGTAATAATCTATCCAGTACGGGCGACACAGGCACGCCATCCAGCTTTACTGGTACGTGGATGGATCGTCCCCCCGTTGTGTCCACTGACAAAACGTCAAATTCCTCTTCCACGAGGAATGTCCGTCGTCCGTCTCTTCGCTGCTGGGTTGCAGGTTGCTTCCCACTTCGACACACTTTCGCAATATGACCCTTTCTTACACAGTTTTTACATGCTAGCTCCTTCGCCCAGCACTCCGCTCGGACATGTTGGCTAGAGCCGCAGCCATCGCACACTCTTCCTGTACTACTACTAGTTGCAGGCTGCCTGCCCGGACCAGCGCCGCGCCGCTGCTGTCCGCCTCGGCCGCCGCCGCGGTTTCTTCCTCTTGCGCCGCCGCGGTTTCTTCCTCTTGCACCGCCGCGGTTTCTTCCTCTTGCGCCGCCGCCACGGCGTGCATTGTCCACGCGAGCCACATCAGGCGCCGTACTGCCCTTCTTGTTGCTCCTCCGGAGCTCGTACTCCTCGCTAATCTCCAGAGCATTCTTCACGGTGGTGTAGGTCTGGGATTGCAGGTGTTGGCGTGTAGCGTCGCTTGCGATTCCGTTCAGAAAGGTCGCCGACATATTCTTCTCAAGTACGTCGGCTGGGAAACCGCAGGGAAATGCCTTTCGCCGCAGGCGATTTGAAAAATCCAGCACGGTCTCACCGGACTCTTGCTGCAGCTTGAAGTAGTTCGCCCACTCGGTGGCGGCGTTCGTTTTCTTCACGTAGGCATGCTCGAGCTTGTCCACCAGCTGCGCAATTGTGAAATTATCGGGATCAGTAGGTAAACACATGGAGAAAAGCATTTCCCCCGCATCGATCCCGAGTGAATCCATGTAGCGAACACTTCTGGTCTTCCAGGTCATTGATTTTCCGTAGCTTCACGTAATTCCTGTATTGGAATTGCCACCACCGCCATGTCATCTTCGCGGGTTCAAACTTGATCAGCCCGGATCCAGTCTTCTCGCTGGACGTCGTGGGGGCTGATGGCGAAGTAGGCGATGCAGGCGTTGTCGGCGCCGGGGTCGACATTGTGTGTAAGGAATCAGACCGTGTGAGGTCGCGTGGCCTTCACGCCAGTTTGTCGTGACGTGATAATAAATGTACTTTTATTATCGAACGCAGGTCGCTGACTGACTGTCAGCAAAAACCAAAACATTGACTCGTATACCTAACGTTGCTATGCAGAAAGGTCATGTGTATACACACATATATCTAACACACAAGCTAAAGTGAACAAAAATAAATTTAACGCAGCGTACACGCCAGAAATTCGCAATGGATCGTTCATCGGGTCTCTCGCATCTAAGTACCCGAAAATGTTTCTTTTAATAATTTTTTGAGTTCAAGCAGTTCATTATGTCCATTTTCATAACCGCAAAATCAATTATCTAAGCTATTTAATATTCGCGCTCCCGGGTACAGCAAATAAGAGCGTAATGTAAAAGCGAAATTAAAAAGGCAGAATTTCCACTAATAATGCAAGAGCTAAAATTCAGCAGCGACTACTAGCAGGGCTTTCGGTAGCAATCAGAGGCAGACGATTCCAACCGGGCAGGAAATTAAATTTATTGTTAGGCAAAGCACGAGTATGGGAATAAAAATGCAAGCGGTTGCTACTTTGTTGCACAACTCAAGCATTGTGGTTTATTTAGATAAAAGTATTATAATAAGTGCGATCCTTCATCCAGATGTCCCAGTCCAACGCAGCATAGGTTACCGCATTGGGGTTGTTCATCCACTGAACAGGGCCGTTGACACGATGATACATATTGCATGATCGCTTCTGGATCCGTTGCCCGTTTACGAAGTCGAAGGTATCCAGTACGGTTGCGGCAACACATACGGTTGGCATTATCTGACACAATTTTTGACATTCAGAATCATAGATTACGCTGGACACAGTACTCACGGGAACCCAATCGGATGGCGTGCCGATGAGCTTGTAAGGAAAGGTGCGCATTATTCGGTGAGTTTTCATAATAACTGCCACATTTTCCTGTCTGTGTGCTTGGTATTTGCATTCGTCCAAATGAAAAATAACCTGGCACGTTTGTTTATAAAAATCTATATTGGCTAATAGACCGTTCTTCCGGTCGGAGATCTCCAGGCATTGGTCAATGAGTTGCAAACGGTCTGCATTAATATTGCCCGTTGGGGATAACTACTATTAATATATTGCCCGCAGAGGATCTGGTTGGCTGCTCAGGTTGCAGTGGACCATCCAGTTCAAAAGATAGATTTGTTTTCTTTCTTCTAAAAATGAACAGCAACAGAAATTATAAGGATTTCATACTTTTCACCCTGGTGACATAATTGGGATTATGTTGTATGACTTTCCTGTGCGTTTGTACGAGTGTTCCCTGTTGTGATAGCGATGACGTTTGATCCGTGTTCTTATCGGTAGCCTCCGATCAGAAGCTGCGCTTCGTCGTCGGCTAGCATTCAGCAGTCTGCGTGTGACTTGTGTTGAGTGAACATCAATAAGATTAAAGTGAGTAACATCATTGTGATCCTGTTGGTGTTTGTGCTGTGAGTGACCTTCGTTTAGGGAAAGCAGTAGTGTGTACCTAGGCGGAAGTTACTGTGTGGTATTCCTGTAGTGTGGTAGTGAGTGTGGTGAGAGTGTGTTTTGTGGTACTGTTGTCTACGGAAGTAGGCAACAGAACCAACACCAATCTCCAGAGTTCCTTCTCTGCTGACTGCGGTCAGGTTGGTAGTAATACACGCGGTGCGTGTAGTATGTCACTGGGTTGCATTTTTTGTATTCCCATAAGTATTTAGGCAGATATCGTACTTTAAACAAGTCTGACTTGTTTTGGCCATATTGGTTCAGGCCGGTTATTAAAATTATCGAAAACCCATGGTAGAAGAGGTCAACGGCTGAGAACTATCATGATAATCGTAAGAAGATGAAACGATTTCGCAAAATGCCGCGAAGCTATTGTAAGAACAGAAAGCTTACGTTCGAAATGGATGAAGTTCGGATTCTCCTTGCACGAGTAAAATTTTCGCATTTTATGGACATCAAAAAACGATAATCCTTGGGATTGAGGTCCGATGCCCCACTCCGCGGGAATACCAGGTTGCACGTCCACAGTGTTGACAAACCGCTGTATGGAGTGGTCGTCCCAACCAGTGTGCATGATTGAGTGCAGATCATAAGGGAACTCCATGCTAGCTTCGCTATCAAGGTCGAAGTAGCCGTTGCGCATATTGCCACCTATCCCAAGACAGCACTTTAGCCCAGAGTTCCTAATTTTTATAGTCAAGCAATAAGGCCACATTAAATCGCGCACTTTGATTTGTCACTATTTACTATCATTACGTTACTATATCAATCTGAAAGTAACAAATGCGCTCGACATTATTAAAAATTTACCGAGGTTGCACATAAGATTCTTTTCTATGGGCTTGATATACTGATCGCGATCCAAACGCGTGTGCTCATGCCGTACATTAAAAACGGAATGCAAAAGTTCGTGAATAAACATGATGTCAATGGTTCGGTCTTCCTTCTTAGAGAAGGCATCAGAATTTACGCGGATAATGTTGTCCTGGTTTGGGTCGTATCCAAAGTTCTCACTAAATGACCCTCTACAAACAGCATTTGGCAACAGTTAAGTAAAGCACTATGAAAAGCTGTAGTAATTATGCACATACTAATTACCACGCAACACTGGCCTCAGGCTTACAGGACGTAATAATTCTGTAAATTTGGATACCTACCCATTAAAACACGAAAGTTGGCCTGCAGAGAACACATAAATCTCTAGGATTTGAACAGGTTCCGTAGCGTTGAAGTCCACAAGTTTTAGCGACAAGCATTCGTCCATCGCTGTATTAATTTCATCGATTGCACGCTGAACGCTGAGAACAAATCGGTAGCCTGCAGCATTTCCATTGTTGTCGCCTATAGGAAATAGTTATGAGAGTTAGTATCCATTGTGCAATACCAAGTTTTATTCAAAAGTAATCGAACCACGATGAAAGCGTTAATAGTAACCATTATATATATAAGTTGGACATCTGCCACAATACAGTAATATTTCAAAAATGCCCGACACTTCGGTTAAGAGCATTAGTCGTCAGCCTCCATGAAATGATTTACTTATCCGAACTGGCAGATAAGAGGGCCCATTTTGGTTTCGCGCCAAAGTCCATTTAAGATGCTGGGGCCTCCTTGGCAGAAGACCATAACCTGGTGGCGCCACCCAGTTTATCCAGGTGTCCAAGTCCCGCCTGAAGTCCGATGTTATGCTCCAAAGGTCATCTGAAGAGAGATAAGTAAGAATACAGTAGAATGTAAATATTTTCAGCAGGAAATGATTAACTCCATGAGTGTAGAGTAAACATTACTGTTTTAACCAAATATTACTTACATTAAAAAGAAAGTGGAAGAAGTGAAGAACATGTGCGAACGACTTACGCTAATTCCAAAACACCAAGCACTGTTTTTGTTAAAAAATTGCCTTGGCGTACCGAAAATCGTTCACCTCCTTCGTACTTCCTTGGCGTGGCAGTTTTCGGAAGAATTATGCGCCCTAGATCAAACTTTTCGCGCTGCTGTGGAGACCATCACTAACGTGAAAATGGATCACCCTACGTGGATGCAGGCATCACTTCCTGTTCGATTGGGTGGTTTAGGTATACGACGCACCGAGGAGCTAGCTCCCTCCGCCTACCTGGCATCGGCTTCCTCTGTGCGCCCGCTTATCTCTAAATTATGCCCGATACTACCACCGACCGATGTAATATCCGCAACACTGGCCTGGAAGTTGCTTACAGGTTCAAATGATGTGCCGGCTGAACCCCTTCACAGCGTCCAAAAAGCATGGGACACTCCTGCGACCTTGCGTGCCCTCTCTGACCTTTCTGCTCTCCGTGTCTCCGCCACAGAAGTCGCACATTTGAAGGCGGTGTCAACACCAGAATCCGGTTACTGGATTCACGCATTACCAGCTGCTTGCTTAGGTAATCTGTTAGAAAATATTGATTTTCAGACCAGCGTCGCTCTACGATTAGGTGCCCCTATCGTAACTCCTCATGAATGTAAATGCGGCGAATGGGTGGACGAGTTCGGGAGACATGGAATGCGGTGCCAACGATCAGCCGGACGACTACCTAGAAACGATGGCATCAGCAGGGAGTTCGCTCGCGCGTTAACGACGGGCGGTTTCCCTGCCAGAGTAGAACCGAAAGGATTGGCCATAGTGGGTAACAAAAGACCGGATGTGGTTACGCTTATCCCATGGGAACGTGGTAAACCACTCGCAATAGACGTAACCTGTGTTGACACTCTGTCAACTTCTTATGTTGACCGTACATCCGTCAATGTCGGTGCGGCAGCGGAACTAGCCGAAACAAAAAAGCTCACAAAACATGCGTGGCTTCAGCCAAGGTACGATTTTGTTGCCGCTGCCTTCGAAACATACGGACCTTTGGGCGGCGGAGCTAAGAAGCTAGTGGATAAAATCGGACACCTCGTCGCGGCCACTACCGGGCAACCACGGGCGAAGGAATTTTTCCGGCAGCGGATCTCCATACAGATTCAAAGAGGAAACGCTATGTGCGTGATGGGCACAATACCGGATCATGAGAAATTAGAGGAAATTTTCTTGTTATAGCTTGTTAAAACTTTAACCTATTTCGTTGGATACGTTTTTTCATAGCTTGTAATTTCTAAAGTATGTCACCGTTGTGCATTTTTATTGATCTGGATTGGTAAGCTTAAATGTTGTTGGCTTTCATTTGTAATGTAATGTCAGTAAACTGATTATAGGTAAACCGCCTAAACACCAAACTTTCGAATGACTTCGGTGTGTCATCACTGCGCCTAGCCGTCACCAACGAGACAAATAAGACACTTCGGTTGTTGTTTTATTGTTTAGGTCTTAACTAAGAAGTATTGTGTCGGCGCTTGCATTTGCTGTTATTTAAGCTATTGCCTCTTAAATTATATTTATAATAAAGCAGTCGTCGCGTCGCACTTAGATTTGGTCTGTCGGAGAGGAGCCAGCTATGTGAACTGTGCTCGTCAAGTGGAAGCAAATGGCACGGGAGGTGGTCGCATGTCACCGGCAGCAAAAATATATAGGTATAGGAACAGCGCCGCATACGTCTTTGATCAGTATTGTGTGCTACATTGCTGGTCAAACAGGTGGGTGATCACTGTGCTTTACAGCACAGCAAGAAAGATCAGTTTGCGAACCGATTCCAGGTAGTAAGTACCAAAGACAGAATGCGCACAAGGTATATGTTAGTGCATAACTAAGGATTCTTGTTTTGCTATGGGTTCGCTCCGTTTGACAGTCATATCAAGCGCAACATATAACCGTTTGCAATACAACATTGACCGTAACCGGCTAGTCTGCTTACCTCCAAATGCTCCAGTATCTGACTTCCCCTCTCTCATTATCCAAGACGTACACGTTTTGGCATTACCAGATAAGCGGCAAACCTCGTTAACTGTATGTAGGGCGGTCGACTCATCCGTCCGTTTGTGCGTTGGGGGATGGGTGGGTAGTGGCTTTTTCCCCTCAGACGAATGCGTCGATCGCTGGGACGCTGGCAGCTCCACCTTGATGGAATCTGTCGCAGTGGGTTTCCGTGTGGTTTCTCGTAAAGGGGTTTGATTAGTTATGGCAATCTCGCTTGGGTACTTGCAAGCACCCCACGTAGCGTCCGTTAAATTGCAAATCATTCCAGCACAACAGAAATAAACGTCCCAAAAATCCGCGCAACCTTCATCGTGGCTTCGGCAACGAACGGTGTTCGCCTGCATCGGCATAAACAAAAAATTTGTTGCATATCAAATAAAAGTTAACAGAAAACTTAAGTAAGTCTGCCGACAGGTATACTTCTGCCACTCATCAGCGCCTTATAATTAGAATACTTTGGAGTACTTCTAGTTTTATTTACAAACTGCAACATAACCATGGGTCACTTACCGCGGCACACTCTCGTATAGCAATGCCGCAAAACAGAAGGGCAAAAAGGATCATAACCAAATGCATGATGAGTAACAACGCATAAAGGTCAATCGCAAAAATCGCATTAAGGAAATCAGCTGGTTAAACCGGTATTAAAGAATTCATCGCTTAAACTATAATGCATTCAAATCGAAAATTAAATGAAAGAATTCTGCCTTTCGCGCTTTTATATTTCTGAAAAGCTGGCTAAAAAATTATAAAACCATTTCTAGGCAGGCTTTGCTGATCACTGGAAGTACTGACACATTTACCAAAAACACACTTCAAAATTTTCGTAGCCACCACAGCAGAGACTGCAACCATGCAACATTTCAAGCTTGTTTTGATAAGTTTTCCCAGCATGATCCTGAAATACCAAGTAGTGTCAGCAATTCTTGAACGATTAACTGGAAGTCCCTGGACAACTAAGAACATCAATGAATATGTATGCAAGGCGCAAGCCACGATCCACTGACGATCCTTCACCAGTCTGCCAGTAACGCTATCTTGCCGCAGCGAAACAGAATTGTCGTTGTCAGCATGCGATGAAACTTATAGTCATCACGATTCCGCATATTAGCAAAGCAGCCGGCTGTTTAAAATTGAAGTTGGACGGTAACATTCAAGTAGCCAATTTCCTAAGTACACTTTTATGCAGGATCATAGTTTAATACGATAACTATCGCAATAAATTTACAATTTTATAAGTTTCTGGAATTTATTACCGTAGTAAATCATCGCCGTTCTACGTGACAGAAATCAATAAAACCAAATTACAATGACAATAAATAATGAACGATCGATCTGTAAAGATAAATAATTTTTTTGATCGTTATAGATGCACACTATTAATAACCTAAACGCATGCTGTCAGAAGTGTGCAATTTCTCTGAGCTGTTTAGTGTTGCTTTTTCAACAAAGCAATTTTTCAATTTAAGAAACAGTTTCAGCTTGTATGTATTATTTTGTGTATTTGAGAAGATTGCAGTCTACTAAGTAACCATATGCGCTCGCTGACGTTGCTTTATAGATAATATGCTCCAGAACATTAGATCAGGTTTATTACGCATACCACAAAAATATTATTTCCTTATACGATGCGTTTTTTCGCATCGTATGCCGTACAGTAACAATATATAATTTTCAATTTATATACTTACTGTGTTCCTTCAAGGCGCTGTGAGCTAATGCCACGTTTAAGTTTTCCACGTTAGAGTTGCATTGTGGAAAATATGTCCTAATGATTGATTTGTGATAATACACGTCAAACTTCGCTTGCAGTGTCTTTTTCACAACAAACGTCGTACCGTATTACCAGTACTCTTCTACAACCTACGTAGTACCATTGCAAAAACAGTCGAGCGCCTGGTTACATTCAGTGCTGGACTATCGAATTAATTAAGTACAGTACTTAAGCAGTAATTACTAAATGACTTCCAAGATTACTGACTTCACTGCGGCTTTGCCGGTATGCGTATGCTACGTATGTACTATTTTCGTGCGCAACATAACGTGCGTTGAGACTTAAAAGTAAGTTTCCCTTCAGCAACAGAAAAGATCCAGGACAGTCACCGAAACGGGCGAAACCTGTGATGATATAATAGTGTAACATCCGTAACGCGCTTTCGTGACGGACAGAAATCAAGGGTTGCACTATCCCTGCATTAGCCCGCTACCCCACGGAAACAAGTAGTGACATCATAGCTGCCGGCAGCGATGACGTCATGGCGTTACTTCCGTAACGCACTTTCCTAACGAATTTCCGTAACGGACAGAAATCAACTAATGAATAACTATTTTGTTTTTTGGTACTGAGTTACTGTAGAAAAGAAGCTAATGCATTGGTCATGAATTAAGAGGACCATCGCTTCGCTCCGGTCGATCAGCTTTTTGGTCAGAATGTCGCCATTACATTTTACTAAAACAACAAAATTGTTTGAATGGTTTTTGTAAATTTTGGTGAGAATCCAGTCTAGAATGCTTACCATATTGGCTGTTGACAAGAAGAGATCGACATAAGATCCTTGATCAGTCGAAATTTCGCTTTTGTTTCGCTGACTTTAAAAGCAAGTCCGCTTCGATGTCTACAACCTTAAAAAACGACGATCCGGATTATTTTATGGTAGAACCGATGTCGTACCTTAGCGGGCAAGTGTGGAGAAACGGTTGGAAAAATAAAGAAAAAGGGAACAGACCCGCGGGAACCATGTCCGTTGCGCGAATTCTTATACACCGAACTGCAGCAATCCTTTTCGTTCTTCCCAACCGTTTTAAAGTGCTTGCAAAAGACTTTCCATGGCTTGAGCCAGGCGAGGGAGAAAACTTCTTCCCGAAGCACGATAATGCTCCAGGGACGCAGGGCCGAGAAAACAATGAAGCTGATTCGTGGAAAACTAGTTGTTCCATTAGAAAAATAGTTATCAAATACCCATGAGATGTTTTCGATTGATTTTGGTGACTTATCGGCATCGAGGCTCCAATCACCCGTTTTACTAACTAATACAGTAAATTGAAGGAATCCAGCATACAAGTACATCCATTGTAAATAAGGTGTAGGACGATGAACGTGGCCGCGACGCGCTGTTCTCATCACACGCGGCATTACACACTGTAGTATTGGACGGCGCCGACGCTTGCGTTACATTATCGTTTTTTTATGGCTGCAATTTGTTATATCCACTTTTTATCTTTTATGGCTGCAGTGTTTTCCACAGCAACACCGGATAGCAAACGGGAATGCAGAGCTTGGGCAAAGTAAGCACTACGACGGTGGTAAAGGTCGCCCACACGATCTGCCGTGACGAGTTGATCCAGCAGCCGATCTCCACGGGGATACGATAATGCGTAGCATCCAGGATGATCTGTATGTCCTCTTTGCTTATGGTTCCTAAAAACCAGATTCCCAGCAACCGGAATTCAGGAAGTCACCCTAACAAATTGCCTGTTACATTACATGTGCAGTTATGGGCTTGCCAGTGTTGCCACATTTGCTCATCATCTGCAAGGGAGGAAACATCGGATGCCACTGCGGAAATCCTGCAGACTGAGCGCGAACAACACTGGATCCACTATTGGCTGGAAGGCGATCTTACCCGACACTATTTGTCGAAGGGGGATGATGTAGACATCCCAAGTGGGCGCCAGGAAACACACAACGGTCCAGTAGGTCATTGTGGGTGTCCACAGTACGAATGCGCTGACCATGAGGAGGTTAAGAAGAGGAACGGTCGGGTTAATGCTTTTGATTTGGTAATGTTGTCTTCTATTCGCTAGTATCGCTACAAGTGCAGTTGGTTTTCTTAGTGACAGCACCAAAGTTACCAGTTATGACAAAACGTTTGTGACGCCGACAGGGAAATGTACAGATAACTATACCAAAAGCAGCGGTGGAGCAGGAATACGACTCTGCTAAACTACATAGGTACAAGTACATACTCGCTCCAATTATAAACTCTTCAAATTTCTTAAAGATTCTTTGTGATATATCGCTCATCATATATGGATATGTATATAGCTACGCTGCAGAAAATGTTAGTGGAATAAAAATTCGGCGCAGTGTAGCTTACCGGTCGGTGCTCAGATAATTTTTTCGCTGGCAACTGTAAGCGTTTTAGACATTTTGGCCGATAACGTAATATTATTACAAAAACCACCGCCTTCTTAACAGAAAACTGGTGAATTCATATTGGCTACTTTGACCGGCAGACTGTCCATGGCGCTGGTTGCACCCGATTGGAAGCCGACGTGTCGTCCATCCAGCGGCGTTTATATCGCATGGGCATACCGCTTGTTTATATATGTAGTAGGAACGGATAAGCCAACACAACAAACACGATGGGCACATCGAAGATGGCGATCTGCACACCAGCGGTGTAATCATTAATCATCGTCACATCGAAGTTCAGCGTAGAGCCTTTCTCCGGGAAAACCTCCGCGTACACCGTCCGGTCAATGACAATCAACGGCAGCGCCACCAAATGCACGTATAACGTGTTCACTGCACTGGCACACAGTCCAACGGCCATCTTCCCAGTGGGATATTGCCGGTAATGGTCAGCGCTGAGTTTAAACAGGGAAGCGCTTCTTTCCCAGTATGCATCGAAAAACGTGGCGTCCACTTTCTTCAAGTCATACATTGCAGGAGGATGATATTAAGTCACTAAAATCATTGTATTAAATTAATCATTGCATTTCGCGGGCCGATGTTTAGTGTTCGGGACTGGCACAAAATTGTGAAGCATCAAAGCAGTTCCCTTCAGGGAACAAAAGAGATGATGCAGCAGGAGCTCGCTGCCGGAACATACGGCAGCGCTTCCGACGTGCACCTTCGAATGTAAGCTCGTTTTGGTATACAGGTGTTCCCGGTAACGGAACCAGTATGAATGTAAATTGTTAAAGCCTCCTTCTTCCGGTGAGAATTAGAAAACACAGCATGACGTCTACACGCGCACAACAAAGATGCCGCCCGTCGCGCATTGGTTAACACGTAAGACCGGTTAGCACGTATGGTAATCCGCGGTTGAGAATTTTAATACTGCGACAAAATCGAATAAACTCTGTGCAACAGGAACACAAAACGCGTGTAAATTAACTGCGAGCACTGGGTTACGAACAAAGACGCGCTCATTTGCGCAATGTACGTTACGATGAAGCATTGGATTGTTATAATAATTAACGTCTGCGTTTTACAGTAGTGGAAATTCCGACAAAATCAACAAAACCCGTTTGGCGAACCCATCTAAAAACACCCCCCACCAAGCGTGCAGCTGCGACTGAAGCATCCAAAAGCGAAATCCTTGTATTAAGAGGCAGCTGTTGTATTGCTTGAAAACTGTTCTCCATAGTGCTGCCTCAGTTATACCTTGGGAACATACGCTGCAGTCTGCTATCCGGGATACGGCATTCCCCCTGGAGGCGATTGTCCGGGCAACCCCGCCGTAACGTACGCTCCCGGCTGGTCAACCTGTTGGACATAGGGCGCCGCGTCCGGCAGGCCACGACACACCAAGACACACTTGACGATGCTGGCGGTGAAGACGACCGCGAAGAAGGCCAGCTGCGAGCCGATGACTCCGCCGACACCGGGCTTCAACCAGCCCCACCACTTGGCGATGACGAGGCCCTGCCAGCCCATCATGCCGATGGCTTGTAGGATGCAGAAGACGCTCATGACCAGCGATGCCACCATCGGACAGCGCGCGTAATGACTGCGCGCGGCGACAATGCCCAGGATGCCGGTTATCATGTAGAAGATGCCGATGGGATAACCCATGTAACCGGTCGCGGATCCTTGGCCATCGGTCAGCGCTGCACCTAGAAGAATTTATTAACATTGTCAAAAATAATATTCGTACTCCAAAATGGGGTGTGTTCTTTTAAAAAATCACATAATCATCTGAACAAATAAAACGTGCCACCCGTTTAAGAGGAGCAAAAAATCTAGAAGATCTCAAAAACGCATGGCAGTGCCGCGGTTTTTTATGATCACTATTTTTATCAAACCTACTTATCAAGTCAGTATAGCAGCCAAACTCCATTAATATTATAAACGGAGGCATTTACTTACCTGGTTGTTGTAAGATATTTTGTATCGTACATTTTGAAAACTGTACTTTTTTGGTTTGATATTAGGAGAAAACATGTTGCTTGACCTGGGAAACTCAGGACATAAAATCTTAAAGCCTTCCACCAGTCTACGAGTAGATTAACGCGAGGTTCCCAGCGATTCGACCATAAACTGTGATTACTATTATTCATGTAATCACACGCGTAGCTGCAATTAAACGGGTTTGAAAATGTATTAATAATGTAACAGCAGCGTTTTCAGTTCAGTAACATTATTCTTTTTATGAAACGAAAGAAAAACGGTACTCTTCATGCATATAGAGTGCAGTACGCGCAATACTGTATGTGTGCTTTCAGTACTACATTTATTAAAGGTCACTTACCAGAAATTTCAGCAATCAAGATAGCGAACCCGCCGATAATCTGGATGCCGGAAGCAACTATATAGGGCGTAATCTTAGCTCCGGCTGAGTTCATTTTTTTGGAGATTTGCGAATAAATTTTAGAAACACTGTTGTACAGCTGAATTACAACGGCGCCACTGATTTAGAAAATTTCCACGGCATATTTTATACACACCGCACTGTCCATGCACCATGATTGAGCAGTTTGGCCAAGCGATACAGGCTATTTCCGGGATAAGATATTAGCGCAAGGAACGTCACGTGTTGACTTGTTCATATAGAACTGACCACTGAGAGCGCTGTATAAACACGCCTCTAATTTCAAGCAATCACATTATACGTAAACCCTGCCGCATCCAAATACATCTGTAAAGCCATCAATTTCGGTACAGGCCGTACAGCTTACGTGCAAAATGCTATTACAGATTACAATAAACCGGCGATACACAGTACAGTACACAGTGCCGCTTCGGTTTTACGTTGATAAGAATTACTCATTTAAATGCCCAGTCATGTTGTCCAACGTTTTATCATTACTGGTTATCAGTATGTAATCATACCGCATTTGTTGTCAAGTGAAACTGTCGAATCACGTGAACCGTTTGGTCAACATTGGCTAAAGGGTTCACGGGGAACGCAGTGCCTATCGTTTTTCGCCGTACCAAAGTTTCTGCATCCTTGAGATCTAACAGATATACATACGAGAACAAGACATACGATTACGTTCATTTTTATATTTACATTATTATTGTTTGGATATAACCACGACAAAACCTAAAGGTACACGCCTCGGCAAGCGGCAAAAAAAGCATTTATAGCAGAGAAGGATGTTTCATCCTATGGTACACAGCAGATTTTTCAATACGCGCTTTTTCACACAATATTATAATATCAAATGTAGCAGAATTACGACACACAAACAGCAAAGACGCAATTTGACAAGATTCACAACTGGCATGGGCATAAATTTCACGAAAACGCGAATGCAACATGAAAACACTGCAAGGTGTCTGTTGCGCTGAAAAGGCTGGCAAAAATAAATTTTTGAAAAAGCCAGATGTTGGCGTATAGTGTGGCAGACGGTCTCCTGAGTCCTGCATTACGACGGCGTATTGTTACACCGCTACCGTTCGAATGATGTTTATCTAAATAAGAAGCCAGCTTATCCTTCCAGTCGATGGCATCTGCTATTTATTGTTCGGCACTGGCTGTCGCCTGTAAATTATAAATCTGTACGCGCTGGTCAGCTTGGTGGATGACCTTTCAAACAGTTAAATAGCGTGTGAAGCTACTTCCGTAGTCGGTTACCCTGGGAAAATCTTGCCGCGTCAAGCAGTACCTGGTCACGGTGTAGTGCCAATGTGCATCCGTGAATATACATCAAATTCGACCATATAAGTACGTTATTACTTGCATTTACTGTGGTACTTGTAAATCGTAAGTAAATACCACATTCGAACATATATCATACAGAGTACACACAGTATTGCAGCTGTCAGTTCAAAGTTTAACAGCTGCTCGAATCACCATGAGCGGAAAAAAGGATATGTAAACTGGTTTCGATGCACCGAACATTATGCCTTAACACTATCTTGTGCAGATAATTTTGCCTAATCGTAATTTTGGGTTAATATGCACCAAAATACAAACAAAAACTCAGCAGGCATTAAAACGTTTTCTTAAAATTTTGGAGCAGAAATATATTGTACAAGAAATGACGTCGGCTCCGATTCCGCATTTCTTGTGGTGCCAAACCGGTCTACATTGTATAATATTTCGCATATATGGTACAACATGTTCACCGTATAATATATCGCATAACGAATGCTGTTGTTTCCTCTTTATTTCAGTACGTCTCATGGCAAACTTCCAACATCGCCATTGGATCTATTTTTCACATTTACAACAAGAATATTCCTAGATACAAGAACAGCCTCTGATTCCGGCGACGTGATTATGCACGCGACAAACACTCTCTTCTGACACAAACACGCTGATTCAACCGTTTGCAATCCAGCCTCCTCTGTTTGACAGGCCACACTGCACTGCACCGAGTCTTCTTGTACAATTTGCTGCTGTGGTTTTTTATAATGAATTCCCTGGCTGCCGTTTACACTGAAGACATCCCCATCAACTATATCCACATCCTCCTCACTCCCCGACTTCGTGACACCATTTTCCTGGCAGGTTCCCGACCGCGGTAAATTGTGCAGTGCCCCTATGAGCTCTTCATAGTTTCCCTCGGTAACTTCATCGCAAAGCAGGGTATCCAGTTTACAGAATGCTGCAGCGCCCTCTGCCGACAGCGTTTTAATGCTGTTCCCCCGCTGCACGGGATTGTGCGGGAACGCCCATTTAAGCATCTTCTCCACAAGCGGAATCTGCGACGTCCCGCCAACTAATAAAATCGAGAACGCTGCTGCCTCGTTGGTCCGATGGATCTTCCACACCATCTTCTTCATCATCTCAATGATCCGGAAAACAATCGGACCGCACAGTGTCTCAAACGTCTCCTGCGTTATCCGCACCGGGTGGCCGTTATCTACGCAACACGCTGCCTCTTTTCTCCGGTATCTCGATAAACGCTTTTTTACCGTTTCGCAGACAATCCGCAATTGCGGTTCGTTTGCCCAATTTTCAGTTGCGCATTTCATCAGCGCGACATCGATGGTATTCCCGCCGATATTCTCGGAGAACGTCTCCGCTATCCGCAGTACTCCGTTGTCCATCATAACGCCATACGACACTTCCGTACAAATGGTCCCAATGTTGACGATCAACCGATCCATTTCACCGGAAAATAGCGGACTCGGTTGTAAGAAGATCGTGGCTAGAATAGCATGGATATTTTTAACGCAGTGGATTCGCGTAAACCCGGCCCTTTTAGCCGCGTATACCGTCTCCAGGAGGCGGAATCGGCTACAGTTAGTCGGGACGGTGATGAAGACACTGCTGATTGGCTGAACGAGTTTCTCGGCTTTCTGCTTGACATACTGCAGCAGAAACGCGGCAGCTTGTTCAGGGGTCTGCGAGATCGTGGCGCCGTCGTTTCCCACGACGAAGGCCGGTTTATCCAGAGCATCACGAACCACTCGATGGTGCAGATTATGGAGAATATTGTATTTTATCGCTTTGCGGTGCGTGAGACCGAGGAACCCAGGAACTCGGTATAAACAATTTTCTGTAGAAACGCTTGTATAATCTGTAGGAATAAGCGCCAGTTGCAACGTACTATCACAGTAATAAACACCCGCGACTAGCTCAAACGAAGAACCGTTTAACGGTACACGCTGGAAGGATATCCCATCGAATACGCACGCGGTGACTTTGGATGTACCTAGACAAATTCCCAGCGATGCGAACATTTTTATAAGATTGCCGCGGACCGCAATTAACGATCGCCGAGATTGCTACTGGCACGTGCGTGTATCAGTGGAAGTGTGTACTTACCGGTGCAAAGTGCGCTGTCAGCTGTTTAGATTGTTCGACTGCCGTCTGACAAGTGTTTGTAACGATAGCCGCGTTGTGTTGATAATACGGCACAGTCAAGACTGCGGTTTTGCCTGATTGTAGGTGAACGATGCGTCGAGTGGCGTCTGTTAAAACAAAGCCGTACTAAATGAAAATATGACTCATAGCCGATAATGATTAGCACATGGCCGTGTTACGGTAACACTGATTTATTTATTTGTCAATAAGAGCGTAATTATTTTGCATCGGTCGTCTGGTAGAAACTTGACAGAAAGCAACTTGGGAGAAATTTGATAGCTATTCGCTCGCCCATACAAAACGGACATGAAGAAACAACGCCCCGTCAATGCCGGTGTTCTTGACACTGTTACATACTAACGATTTATGATTCTTGTTAAGGTTTTATTTGCACAGCTATATGACTGTAACATACTCATAATTTAAACGAGAACAATGAACAATTACAAATCAAACGAATGAGCCTACTTGTCAGCGTACCGTTTAGTTCTGCTGTCATGTTATAGCAGATTAATTTATTCCTGCCAGTCAACAAACTATACAATAGTAACAACATGAGACACCGTAAAGCCGAAATACCGGCAACGGTGTTATGGATACTATGGTTTTTTTTAAACTCGCTACACGCCTGATTCGTGTTTGCTGTATAAACGGCCAATTAACGGGAAACTGTCTGTGGAGAACACTGTATGACGATCACCTTGGAGTTAGGATACCTCTCGGAAATTGAATAATTCCATGCGGGCAACATGGAATTAATAACAGGAAAACTGCTTTTTGCTGTAGTACTAATTGCTACAGTCACTCTGGGGCGTTTTGTCAATGCCAAGGAAGCACGTGTACCTCTCAGTTTCCGTATTGGCCAAGGGGAGCTGATAACCTCCATGCGCAACACAATGCATAAAAGTCCCGTTCATTCGGCCTTTGCCAGCTGGCCTGAAAGGTACTTCTACTGGATTACGGTAGAATTTATTAACGCAATTATGTTTTGTAGTTATCGCGCAGATTTGAGGGAAACATCTTCTGTTGGAAAACTAGCGTATTACGATGATAAATTAAAAGATGCGGGTTTATGCGATAAGCGCTTTGGGTACTGGGTTTCAGTAATAAAAAATTTCAATGACATTAATGTATCACTTTATATTAATTCAAGAATAAAAAAAATGAGGAAAATAATTTCGTTCAATTTTAACGTGGTTCCATTAATTAAATAATTTTTAATTTTCAATTTATTAATTTAATTTTTAGTTTTCAAAAACTTCTTTAAATTTTTTTTTATTTTGGGTAATAGCTTGGGGTTGTCGACCTTGCTAATATCCGCGTAATATGTATTGAATTTTATACAGTACTTATCAAAATACGATACTTATCTGTACTAATCGATGCACTGCATCGGGGCAATGGTGCCACCGTGCAATGAGTGTAATTCAACTTTTTTACGGTTTGTACACATACTTTTAGGCTCTTCCCGTACGCGATGACTCGGGATCTACGTGTTTTAGTACAGCGCTTTAATTTCTTGATTTCGGTTGTTTAGTTCGAAGAAATCCCCGACCAACCGGCACAAAATGTATTCCCCCGAATTTCAGTCGTTCATCAAACAAACCCTGGAACCCGTCAGTCTCAGCAGTGCGCTGATCCAGCCGGCTTCGACGGAACCCCTCCCCGTGGATTCCCCTGTCAGCCTGAGCAGCGCGTTCATCCCGCTGGCGTCCTCGTCATCGCTGGATGACTCCACTGTCGACTCCACAGATTTTCCTTACCTGATCAACTATCAACCGCCGCGACCGTATTATGAACGTCCACCCTACCAGAATACCGTGTACGATACGGCGGCCAATTATCCGGCCAGCGCTATCGGCTCTCCATCGGGAGAATGGGATACTCTATCACCGGGAATGTATGGTTATGGTTATCCGCAGTCAGGGTATGCGGGATACGGTGCCGCGTATGATCCATGGAGGCGGTATGATCAGATGCTAAATAACGGGGTACTCTTCGCGTTTCAGTAGTGGTTTTTTAACAGTGCTGGATATTATACTTGTAACTAGAACTCCAGAAGCGCTATTTGCGCATGCGCTATTTACCATTTCTTAGCATTTTCTTTCATATTTTGTGACTTCTTGAAGAAGCTACTTTTACCCACGTTTCAGCCACGCCTGTACTGTGCTAGTACGGGTGCACTTTATAAGATAACTAATATACTAATCTTATTTTGACTTATCGTCATCCAAAGTTCGTGAATTCGTACAATTACATGGGCAACAGGGATCTAGCGTACATGGGCTTGTTATGCGTTACGTTATTACGAGTAGATATCGTCTGTTCATAAGCTGAAATTTTTTTTATACTGCACAGGTGACTGTCAACAGTTGATAATAGATAGCTGGCATTAAACGGTTTGTGTTCTTGCTAACTGTCAAAGGACCATGCTGTTGTGGTGCGCAATACAGAACGATTTGTTTTATTATGATCAACGCCGATTATTGAGAACAAAGAACGATTGTGATTATACTTCATAAGTGGATGATTAATCGGCCTGGCTGACTAGACTACACTGTTGTACAATACATGTACAAACCATGCGCATCTGTTCACGCTGTGTATCTGCCATTTGGCATCCTTGCTTGCATCTACTTGTGCTCGTTCAAGGGCAGCTCTAAAGCGTTTTGTGACGACACTGCCGAATTTAAGGGAAACTATACAGAAGAATATACGGATATCACACATATATATTTCTCAATAACATAATTATACGGAAGTATAACTCAGGTATTGAATGATGGGTATTTAGGCATGCGACCTTAATCCCGATCGCTTCCGCGTTTGACAGCCAGTCTGTTCAAAAGGTCTGTTGGGAAAGCATTGCATGGTTTTTAATTTGCCTATCCTAATACAAATATAAAATAAAGTTTCACGTGCGTGTGAGATCATTATGAATAACAATACCTTCCGCTGGCTATAACGTAGCAGATTGTCCTATGACAGGCAAGGTAGAAAGGAAACGTTGACGCCTGGATTTTGCGTATTGATTCTGTTACCTGGATGTGAGTGGTTCTAGCATGGAATACAGCAATCAGTAAAATTGCTACGCGAGCTATAAAATTGATAATCAAGCCTACTATACTATAGAAAAATATTATATAATTATTATATGTTCTTCAGAGCATTTGCCTGTTATATTATTCCAAGCTCATGCCGAGGTGTAGTCATGATATTATTATGCCGGAAAAGGTCCAAGTGGACAAGAGCGCGTTCCGGGTTGCAGATTAACGGCGGCGCTAATCCTTCGGGAATCTTGTAGCCGAGTTCGGCAGTAATCCGGAAATGTCGGCATATATACAAGGAACTGGGAAGAGGATGCGCGCTTAAATTGGCCCCGTTTCGGGTTTGCTTGTTTCACGCGGCTGAGCGGCTCGATAAGTGGGAGATTAGGGAGACTTGCATTACATCGGTTAGTGCGAGTACTAATAATACGTCGGTATGGCCGATATTGTGATAAGTAGCAGTTTTCCATTACCATGTTCCTGTGAACATCTGCTCGCTGCAGCCAGCTCTACCCAGTTAATGGACACATTTAGGCAATCTACACGTTTTGTGTCGTTCGTAGTTTTGACCAACTTACTTATATCCTCGTTAAACACGTTGTACAAGAGTGCAGTCAGTGCTTCGGTTTCAATATTGTCATTAAGGATTCTACCAGCGCGAGGCAAGCGATAACGTGCTGCGCTCTACCGCTCAGTTTCCCGATTATCGAATTATTGCATAAACGTTACTGTGTTTTTACAGCATTTAATTTCGGGAACCGTTAACTGCTCTTTTTTTCAGTATTTATTTATTTCGTACTTGATGGAAAAGTCTTCGTTTCCATGTCGTCATATATGCAAATTCGCGTAATTGTGGTCGGTAGTTTAGGCATGAATCGGTCCGACAACTTTTCCATCTCTAATTCTACGAATACCATTGAATTATTGTACGAATCGGCTATCCGTCGCAACGTATTCCTGATTATCGCATCAATTCTATGCGGCATAACCTGTATCCTAACCACCCTACTAATAATCGTCTTCATCCGACAAAGATCACAAGGCCCCAAGCTCCTAATTCTCCATCAACTGCTAACCGAAGCCCAGTTAACCATGCTGCACTGGCCGCTGTACAACCTCGCTTTCCTGCTTTCCCAGTACGGTTACTATTTCCCCACTGTATTCTGCCGGTACTACTTGCTCTTGTACATGACCAATCTAACCGCCGGTCTGTGGGGGCTATTCATTCTAGCGCTAAACCGTTTAATCGCCATCGGGAAACCGCACTTTTACGAACGATGGAACAGCCCACCGGTCAATATCGCCATGATCGCCGGTTGCTGGTTAATCGGATTGTGTTCCTATCTGTATTTCTTTTTGGGTGGAGAAGGCGGTCTGGCGCCGGTAGCCCCGTTCGGGTTGTGTAATTTCGTCCAGCCGGGATTGCGCTTAGTGATCGCCAATATCTTTGGATCGTATCTTCCCTTGCTGCTGACGACGGTGATTTATATACCTCTGCTGTGCAAGCGGCGCCAGCGTGTCGCGGAGGCGACAACCGCCGTTGTCGGCGAATCGCAGAGGAAGAAACAGAAGCTGACACGGATGCTGTTCGGGATGGCCGTCGTCCATGTGGTGTGCTTCAGTAGTGTGCCGGTACTGAACTCCTTCTTCCCGGGATTTTATTCGCGGGATCCCATGGCCAGGGTGTGGATGCGGCAGGTGTTCTGCTTGGGCTACTTGTCTACACCGGTAAGCGCTTCCATTTGCCACAGTGCTTGCGTAGAAATACATTAAAAGAAGTTGCGTTTTCTTGATGTAATAAAAACTAGAAATCCGAAAATTTATTAATGAATTATAAATCGATAAACAGAGGAGCACATGCAGCGCGTATACACAGAGTACATCGCCAGCGTTGTGTTCGAAAAGAGAACTGCTTGTTTGCGCAATATGTTTTTAACGAAGCATGCACGTTTTTCGCTCCACCATGCACATATAAAAGTTTTACGTGATGTAGGTTTTATTTTTTGCACTAAACAAAGATTTCCGCCGAGGAGCCATGGGACTTTTTCTCCGGCGCAATCATCCGCTAAATAGCACTGGGCAAACCATCAGCAAAGTCTATCACTAATTTAACAAGTGCCAGCTTTACTGATTCGCATTGCGAAGGTTTTGTAAGCCTCACCTTTGAGCAACCTTGGATTTTTAAATATAATTTTTAAGCACCCTGCGATACTGTAAATTGAACCAGTATGCATGCTTACAGTCTCCGTTTTTTTTGGATCGACGGTTAGGAACATGCTGTGAATCGTGCGATCAAAATGAATCTGTTTGCGTTTGTGGTTACTATACTACACTTCATAGCGTAAAAAAATACAGCAAAACGCTTCGCTTCAGCCGTTTTAATTCTTCAATGCATACCGAAAAATAAAGCAAGGACAATTTCATTAAAAGAAACCAGAATTATGCAACGTAAATCTTTACAAAAAAATCATTGATTGTGAATGAATTCGCTGTAACTCAGTGCAAAACCGACTATCTTGTACACCGAAAATCGTGACAACAAAAAAAATTAGCCGTAAGCACCACTTATACAAAAAGTAGCTAACAGTTGAACAACAGTGCAATTCCTCCTTTTCCCTTGTTTACTGTCCAACAAACCACCTATCTACCATTCGCATCGCCACTGCACACACTTCCCAGGCTAGTTAAACAGTCTCCGATGCCGCAACGTGCCGAGCGTCCTGTCGCCCACAGTACTGAGCAAACGAGCCCGTCGTGCTGGAGTGCTGCTTCCAGTGCATTTCCAGCCCGTTATAGGTGTCATCCGGGAGGAATCACGTTCCTGGGCCCATTTCCGTGGGCTCACAACCGTACCGCATCCTGAAAATACAGAAACGGGTTAGTTTCCATCCCTGATCTACGTATCCCGGAGAAACGTCATTAGAAGTATTGTGTGGAAGATTTTCTCTTCGGTCACCACGTAGCCACGCACAGTATTCGGGCATTTCGTCGTAATATAATTCGGCGCAGGACTTTTCGAATTTAACAGTTATTCAGCCGAGGGATAAACGGGAGCTGTGAGATTTCGTTTAGGATAGATGGTTTAAGACTTGTCAATTCTGCGGCTTTTTACCTCAAGAATTCATGTCGCAGGCGGTCTGTTTAGTGGGCTCTCGGAGTAAAACAACAAATACGCAGCAAAACAGAATCAAGCGCATTCTCTGTATGGCGGTACAGTGATTTACCAAACGCAAAAGATTTTCTTAAGTTTCATCGGTTTTTCTTAGTTTTCTTAGCTCTCGATTTTTCTTGGTTTTTAGTTATCTCGATAAATTTCTTAAATGATTAGGTCTACTCAGGTTTTTGTTTTGGTACATAAGTATCAAAACGAAAACCTGAGGAGCCGTATTCTGTTATAGGTCGAGAAGAACGCTTCTTCGAAGATGCGTTCTTTTCGATGCGCCCACGTAAATACCATCCAGGAACGAAATGTCTTGGTGTCTAATATTCGCGCGCCGAGTTGAATTTATGGCGAAGTACCTGCAACTTACGATCAAATGCCCTGCGAGTCGCAAAAGGTTGTGCAACTGAATTTCTTCGTGGTATAGATCACGCTGTTCACTATCCGAACACTAGCCTACCAACTGTTTTACAGCCACTGTAGACACCAAACAAACCAGCACCAATGACATGAGTTACCGCTGAAAAGTGTTCCATTCGTGAGCATACAGCATGCCCATGATGTTGGCTGGGCAGTCGGCGATGCGGCGGATAATCTCGTTCTCCGGATGCTCTGCATCCTGCCTACAAGTACAAAGTGTTCGGAATCGATCCGTTAGGATCACGTCGACAGTGGATACCACCTACTCGATTTCGAAGCCATCGAAACGGATGAGATACGTCGGCACCCACTGCTCCAGCGGAATATCCTCCAGCTGGCGATTGGGTCCGAACAGGGTCGGAGGCACCGCCACCCGATAACAACAACGAATCTGTCGGAAGACGAGCAATGTTTGCTATAAACCAATCAAACTACATGAAGGTGGAACGCTAATACATAGCAGAATATTTCCAACAGATGACGTCAGAATGCGACAAAAACGCCAACAATTCAACATTGGTACTGCTGCAGTAATTGTACAACAAACGCAAATGACTTACTATGCCACTGAAATACAATCCATCGGCCATCACTAGAACAGCTTCGCCTACAATCAAAATAAAAATTAATGGCAGTTAAAATGTCCGAACCATACTCGGTACTACTGAAAACGAAATGTGTTTTCTGGAATTTTCCACTACAAGTCGGGACGTGTCTGCTTAGCTGGACGATTCGACAGACCAAGTTGTCGTCGACTTGAACTAGTCGAGCCCAAAACAGTCTCATCTGTTTTGCGAATAAGCATTTTAATTTTTCACTACCTAGGAAAACGCAAAGGGTAACAAACAGTACTCTAGCGAAGAATCCACGAACATCAGTGGACAGCTATAACACACCTACGTACAGCGGTTCGTTGTTGACGCCTTATACAGTACCTGCGGCGAACTTCATCATACGGCGGTATTTTCCGCTGCGAAAGTCCTCATTCAGCAGCTCCTGAACAGCGTCCTGAACGAACTCCAATCGATTCTCCCATGGCTGCTGGATATGTGGAGGGATACGGTCACAGCGCCGTTTCTTGCATTCACTGAATCTCTTGATGGCCACAGGTCCCCACGGAGGCATTGTGGAATCAGCGAACGCTAATGTTTGACTAAAACACAAGATACGCTAACAAGAACCCAGCAACAGAGGTGCAAGGAATGCAACACGGCAAAAATTAAAATATCTATGACTATTTTACCGAGAGAAAATTACTAAACAAAACAAATATGAAGTAAACGAAAACTTTAGCGATTTTGGCGACAAATCTTCTGACCGACGTCGCTAGTGAGTTACTAATCGCGCTTTCCAGTTTGTGCACGCTGATGATTCATAGCTCCCGATAATCCTCTATTTGCGCATGCGCTCCATGACAGCAGTTACGTGTGCACTGTGCAGGGAGCGTCTGGACAAATAGGTTTTCGTTAAGCAAAAATTGCTTACTAGCAACTACTATAGCAACGAAGACTGTCCCATACATTAGACAATTTGGGCACTCTTCGACCGTAGCATTGGCCATAGCCGTATCCTTTGGTCTTGGACCGATTGTCGGTCCGAATCGTCTTTAGCTACGGTTTCCAAGCTACGGCACGGTCAATGCAGAGCTGGCATTGACCGTAGAAAAGACAAACTACGGTCATCCTCTTTCTCCCTCTGCCTTCGCAGCTGAGTACAACTGCCTACGGGTAGCCAAAATCAGAAATGTTCAAAAAAGTTTGCAGATTTTTCTGGAATGTTTAAGAATGTGAACAGTAATTGTTTTCTATTTTAAAAATGACTTTAAAACGAACCATCAGAAGATCATGAAATTTCCATTTGTAGCGCATCAACTCAACTCCCTGTAAAAATCGCATCGTGCCTCGCTTCCGATCTGGCACGAATTTCAAAATTCAAAATACCCGCTTTTTATGTAATTCGACAAACTTCAACATAGATTTGCAAGATTACAGTCCGTGCTACACCTTTATTCTCCACAAGGAAAGGATTTTTATTGTTAACAATAAAAATAACTTATCCTTAGCCAGCAATAAAAGACCCTGACTGGCGTAGAAGGTTCGCGTGTCTCCAGTTTGGCAGTTGGCATGGTGCAGATAGATTAATGCTGTTATGAATGCATTTGATCAAGCATGGTTAGAGAAGCAAAAGGATTCGAGACTAAGATGAATAATAAAGTTGCAACAATACTAAAATCACAGTTTTGGACCAGAGAGTTTTGAAGTTGTGATTTTCAAGTTTCAGTTGACATTTCTTCCAAAGTAGACACTGGGCAGTTTTCGCTTTTGCAGTACAGCTGTACGAGTGCACAATATTTTTCTTAAAAAAATCTCCTACCACACTTTCCATCAAAGGTTTTTTCTGAATACACCGTTGGATTCACCGTAAAATTCTGAACAAAATGGTCGAGGAAGATTTTTGAATTTCGCTTTCTCCCTAAAATCAACTGCACGGGCGGTTGCACCTAGGACACCCGAGATTTTGAGGTATTGCCCCCTGAGCGCTGTGGAATTTGAGTGACTTGAGGGAAATCCCCCCAATATCACGTGTCGTATGGGCAACCGCCCGTGCAGTTGATCTTAGGGGGAAAGCGAAATTCAAAAATCTTCCTCTTATTCTGTTTAGAATTTTACGGTGAATCCAACGGTGTATTCAGAAAAAATTTCTGATGGAAAGTGTGGGAGGAGTTCTTTGAAAATTTAACCGGGATCTCGCTACGGGCCTGCAGTGCCCTGCACAGTATTGATACGAGTATTGCTATTGCTTTCTCCAACACCGGAGTTGGGCAGCCAAGTAACCGGACTGCAGTGCGTTTGGCCATAGCCGTGAGCACTGCTATTGCTAATGCTACTGCCAATGCTGGCGGTTGCCCAAATTCGCTATTAACCATTTTCTCTCTTACAAAGTTAGCGCTGGCGCGATAACCTTTTAAGAGAAACGCGGGCTAGACTGATTTCTCATTAAAGCAGGCCACTGATGGGCAATTGCTTGGACTATGCACGGGCGTGATGACTGCCTTATCTCTATCTCCATGGAATGCGAAATCGCCTTGTTTACCAAGCGGATCGCTTGTCTGCCCTTTGTCGTCGCGGTTGCTCCTGCGCTTTGCTGTCCATAGCAACTACCGCAGCGGGAGTTAACCTTGTTACGTTGACAGCATTCGCGAAAAGAGTTGTTCATGTGCGGTGGACGGTGGTCTGTCGTTTGACTTGGTTTTGCACGCGTGTCGGAATGAGTATATTTTGTGACCGTTAACGCTTGAATATGACCTTTCAAGTGCTGGAAGTTACCCGCCTTCCCACCCTTTTTTAGCATCCATTTAATACCATTTTAAACTTCCGCATTGGTACTCTGTAAAATATTGATTAAAGGTCAGTTCTCACTCGCGCAGCTCTCTCGCAATGGTACGCACAGAACCGAACCGGAAGGTGCACGCATACATCCTGACCACAGAATGGTGACCATCACCCTGACCATGTACCAGGACATCCTCTGGCCATGAATCAGGTGCTGCAAAACCTCTCTGACCACGCATCATGGAGTAAAACTGTCATGTATTGTCATGTGTAGGAATCTTATCTTTATTGTATCGTACTGGTCAGGAAAACAACTGAAAGGAAACTGAGGAATCGTAACTAGAGAACAGGGAAAACAGAAGAGAAGTTGCTAAGAAGACAAGGACAAAGGACAGAAATAGGAAAGTATTAGAAGGACAACAAACACGTGAACTCAGTATACTACAAAAACGGAAACGGTTCTGCACATAAAACGGGACCAACAGAATATTTGGTTTCACTACCTCAGTTTTTCTTATATTGCAGCCACCGCTTACGACCCATATGGTGCGCGCCAAATTAAGCCGCCAATTAACGCCGACCGCTACGCGCACCAATTAACGCCGCTACTTGAGTGTCCCTCATTTGCGTATGCATCGGGTTTCGAGTTTTTTTGGATTTAATGAAAAGTTTGATGGACTGTACTTGTACGCTTTAGAAGTTAAAGTTTCTTCAACGAAGTTGGTTTCTAAATAACTAAAAAATACCTCAAATTAATCGTGTCATGTCTACACTTCATTATGCGTAAGAATTGGGATATAAAGGGCAAATTTATGAAAACCTGCACGCAGAGTGACCGAAATATGAGGAAATGGAAAATTAATAATGGTGATATCGATGATAGACAATACACGGTACACCCACACACGCACCTTATTCAGTTTCAGTTTCGCTTATGGTGTCGCCATGGGATTGTTGTTGAGAAGTGCGAAGTATAAGTTGGCATTGTCATTCACATCCTCACCACACACCTCCACAGCCGTAATATTAACACGGCCCGTGCACCGCACAACACTAGTCAGGATGTCTAATGTTTACCGGCATCAGAATTCACGATCATCCAGGTACCATATTGTGCATTTGTTGACTTTTGCCTACAGCTGCTTCCTTTGTCAATACTATACACATTGTATTTTATACCTGTATCACGTGCTGCTAAAACAATGGTGTGTATCGTGTACAACGCACCCTAGCTGAATATGTAGCAGCTCTAGTTACCGGTGGTTTTCAGTGTAATTGTAAATATTGCAATATTTACGATAGGGATCAGATTAAGCACTCGGTATCTTCTTTTACGTGTGGATAGCAACACGTATCTGTATTGATATTGTTGTTCTACGGTACCCTCCATGAGAATTACTGCTTTGTTACCTAGACTCTGAACAAAACGCCAAGCAAATGAATAAAAGATAGCGTTGAGCAGAATGTGTATCAGGCGATTCCCTAAAATAATCGGATGATGAGAAATACCGTGTTTACTCAGTCCAACTGTCATTTAAATTTTCAGCGCCATGTCATATTCATAAAGGCCATTTAGCCAGCGTGTTGAATTCTTTAGCTAATGCTTTAGACTGTCGTCAGCAAATGGGAAAAGCAGCGTACCGGCACTGCAAAATTGGTCCTTAAAATGTTCCAGCGTTTAAATAACACTACAGTCAGTTTTCTTCCCAATAATACCGACGCAACCGCTGTTGCAACGGTCTCCCCGGCCAACTACGCTCTGGCTTCCACCGTCGCGGTGATCTGCACCGGAACGCTGATCTATAACGCCCTGGTGATCCTGGCGTTCGTCAAGGACCCCTCCATCCGTCAACCCTTCATGTTCTACCTCCTCAACGTCTCCCTCTGCGATTTCGGTTTAGCCGGCATCAGCATGACCGGGTTTGTCTGGTTCACGCTGTCCCCCGCCGCTAGCGCCACCTACTGTCCGTACTACAATTTCCTGGATAAGATCTTCACCATCGGGACGGGGTACACGGTCCTCCTGGTCAGTCTGGACCGGGCGTTCTCCCTGTTCTTCCCGCTGCGGTATCGGTATTTCCGCTCGAATAGGTCAACGCTGGCGGTGTGCGGATTGACCTGGCTGGGGATTACGGGGCTGTGTGGGCCGTACGTGGTGATGGACGCGCTGTGGTATCGGTCCATGACGCTGCCGTGTGTTATCAACGGCCCGGCGCAGAAGGGGTATTCCCTGGTGATGGAGTTTGCTGCGTATGATGCTCCGGCGGTGTTGGTGCTGCTCTGTACGACGGTGATTGTCGTGAAGTTGTACGGACGCAGCCAGCTGCGGCGTTTAATTAAAGGTACCGGAAAAAAAATGCCCATTACGGGCTCGGTACAGTAAAACTGTAAAACGTTACAGTTTGAACTAGTGCTCGGGTTGGTTACACGCACTGTAAAAAATATCGTCATAATTTTCGGTTATTACTTTTGATTTTTTTCTTTTTTTAATGCCTTTTGACTTTCTCAGTTTCTTAATCTTTTTTTTATTTCTCAGCTTCTTGGGTTTTTTCAGTTTCTTATTGTTCAATTTTTTTGCTAGCTCTTTTAAACCTATTTACCTGTAGTTTTATTTTAACTTATTTTAGTTCCTTTCAGTTTTTGTATATTTGATTTTCATCTTTATTACGTTCCTTTTACATGCTATACATGTAATTATTTTCACAGAGTAAATACTGTACTGATGTACGAGTACTTACTAACAATGACAATTTTGCGAAAAAGGTTCTTTCTTTTAAGCTTGAGTATTTCCTTGTATGACTATTGGAAGTAAAGACGTTCAGTTCAGGTACCCGCGTTTCCGCCGGTCCGACATCACAGATCGCTTCCTTCACCATGGAACTGACCGATAAATCGCCGGCACCGGGTGCATCACCCCCATCCAAACGCGAAGAGTTCAAGTTTTTCCGGGTCCTGGCGTTACTGGCGCTGGCCATTCTGGTGTGTTTTGTCCCCGGCAACATCTTCTACCTCTGCGCCGACTTTGCGCACTACTGGAACGATGACCTTTACGCCCTAGCGACGGTCCTGCAGTATTCCAGTTGTGTGTTCAATCCGCTGATCTATCATGCCACATTACCGGCGCTGCAGAAAGCCGTGCGGAAAGTACTACGCTGCAGCCAATAAAAGCGTTGCCGGTATTTTTGTATAAACGATCGAAAACTGCGCCGTTTCATGCATTTTCTTGGGAAACGATAAAAGCAGTATTAGCACACATACGGATTAATTAAAAAGCCGCTGTGTATAATCTCCTAACGCAGTGATTAAGTGCATGTTATTGTGTGGACAGATTCTGCGGAGAAATCAGTACACTTGTATAGGATGCTCAGCGCCCACATTTGCTCCCTTAACAGATCATCTTCTGCCTCTAATACAGCATCACCAATCGGCTGGTGTATCTGTAAACCCGATCAACCAAAATATCTATTCATGGCGAGCGCGTTCTCCTTTAAAAACCGCGGCTAAAAATATACCCAGCAAATCTGTATTACTTTGCAATACAAGCTCATTGGCCGTGGTTTAACATCGTGTTTTCTCGGTGCATCGGCTCAACGCACGGCATTCCGCTCTACACACGCGTGCACTTAAAATCCAGTTCAAATTAAACACTCTACATATATCCGCTGTCACGACCCGGTTTTTGCTGATTATCCAGATGTAGCAATTTTTGATCATTGCCTTGCCGTTGGATGTACGGGAATGCGTGAAGGTTATGGAACGCGTAATTGCTGATCAGACAGTATAGAACGATGCAGCCGGATTTCTCATTAATTGGCATCCTCATCCGCTACCGGTCGGTGATCCAGTTCATTGCCGTGGTGGATATTGTGTCGGGTGTCGCGGCATTCCTGCTTGATCTACTGCGTAAGTAATCAATCTTCACCGTTACATAGCATGCAGTATACCGCTACAGTTTGTACAAACGAGGAATGTCGCATTAGCTCCGAACAAGTCAGAGTGGAAGTGATCAAGATTTATTGACCTCGGCCGTAGCCACAGATTTTTAGCCGGGATCTTGTACGTTAGTTTAGACTCAGTGCACAGTTTTTCCTGGCCAGATTCCCTACAGTAGCATAAACATTTTGTGGTGAGAACGGCCAAAACTACACGGTAAACTTGATACTTCGTGGTGGTCTAGATCTGTTGCCGTGAATCTCCGTTTACAGTCTGTTGCCGGGAATCTCCGTTAACAGACGCACACGTTAGGCGCACGAAACCGGAAACGGCTGAATGTTGCTCTTGTTCGTGTACCTTTATTCCAGGAAAAAAATAAAGAGAACGGCTATAATATTATTACACTACAGCATGTACTGTATTCGCTCGCACATCTTGAACCACAGAGTCTGTGTACGGGAAAAACGCGCATTCAATATACACACTCTAACCGGGCCAAATGCGCGATTCGCGATTTGATAAATTTCTGATGTCTTTGCAACATCTGCTCTGGAGAACTTCTTGAATATTAAAAAAAATTAGAGCTCTAAGAATTTTTAATCATGCTTATGCTCGAAAGCACATACAGCTTTGCCGTAAGCACGAGTTACAAACTGATTTGTTGTGGTTTTTGGGGTGCCCCTGGAGGGGGAGGGGTACGTTCAGCGTCAACATTCTTGATGGCGATGAACCACAGACAATTCGAGCTTTCAGCTAGAGAACCTTTTTTTCCAGAGTGAACTGCCATTTAAATGAAAAGTCTTGATTTATTGGATAAATTCACAAGAAGAACTGTTCATCTTGAAACCAAATGAGCAATATTTCGTAGTCGTGCATTTTGCCCGGTTAGAGTGTGTATACTGAATGCGTGTTTTTCCCGTACACACACTCTGTGGTTCAAGATGTGCGAGCGAATACAGTATTAGTAGCCAAATCATTCAGCACACGAGAGCACAGTGCTTCCGTAACCCGTATTTCAGCATTACACGCCAAAGCACTGCATATAAACCAAAGTACTGCATAAGTTAAACTAGGACAAAATGATGTTGTCGTGGTATATATGGATTCTGGCTTTACGCGCAAACAAGCCGACATCTGTTCCAAGCCGACGTTAACATACAAAAAGCATGCCATGTGTACGATTGAAACCTTCAACAGCAACAGCTGAATGACACCATTTTTTTGTGGGACAAGTGTACATTATTCGGTACATCCACACCGGTACATGGCGCCTGTACCGCTGTACGCAGTACGTACTTTGTTGTATTTACGAATATTTCCTTATGAGTTGTCAATTTTGCCATCCAATTAGTATTTGGACAATATTTGCTCAGTTGGTCGACCGGTATGACATCCTCCGTTGTGCGGACAGTTCTTATGCTGGTTTATGGGGCAAATCCGTAAAACCGTGCAAACTGGGAATTAGGGAAACCGTAAGAACTGTTGCATAATGGAAGGCTTATTTGCTCTGTACCTTTTCTATTTCTCGTACATTACCTAGCGCTGGTTTGAGTGGGCTCACCCGCTAAGTCTTCTTCAAGTAGAAATCCTTGGATACATGTAAATCTCATTGCGACGTAAATGTACGTATCGAAAATATAATACGTGCTGGCGTAAATAACCTGAACATCTACACCAGCAACAATTACGGGGAATTTGCAGGGTTAACAAAATTTACGGCCAACGTCCTGCCGCTGGTATACTCCGGCATCTGGATCGGTCTCTCCTGGATCTCCACGGGCTGTTTCGCCCTGCTGGCCAGCACCCAGCCCTCCCACTACGGCCAACGCCTGCGCAAATACGTCATCGGGCTCCTCATCCTGGGCACGCTGTCCCTCTCCGTCTGCTGCATCGTCATCATCGCTATCTCCTACTTCCCGCCCTCCCTGGACAACTACCTGGTCTACAACCACACCAACCTCCACGAGATCGACCTGGTGCCCTTCCTGACCACCTCCAACCTCAGCGAGGTCCGCGGAATGGTCATTATTAAGTCCCTGATGGTCATCCTGTCGGCCATTAAGTTGTTCAACGCCTGCTGCGAGTTGACTTTCGGGGTGATGCAGTTCCGCAGTGGGTACTTTGATTTCATGGAGTACTGGACCAAGGTGCCCATGCAGAAGGTGGTGCGCTCACGGACCTTCCCGCATTCGGCGCGGACCATTAAGGAGCTGGCCAAGGAGGATTTCGTGGATGCCAAGGGCCGGACGAATCTCATGCGGATGAAGTCGGTGCAACCGGTAACCGCCGCCGGGAGTAGTCAGGAAAAACAACGGGCACGCAAAGTTATGAGTGTACCGATTTAGTGTTGAAATATTCAGCGACGAGTTGTGAATATTACTCGTGTATTCTGTGTACATAGACTGAGTAGCTTGCAGTCATGAGGATTGCGGACTTTACAATATTAGACATTCATCATTAAATATTTGATTTATAAACTGACGCCAGCAGGTACATGCGGATTTAAACTTTGGGATGGCTGAAAATTAGTTGTAACTACGTTACTTTGCTGTCCTCTAACGCGCTAAATAAACTGGTGATACTGTACATTCAAGAATATTCACATGTACTCGTATAACGTTTATTTAATGGCACTTAATTTTAAACATTTAGCTTTTTTAATTTTAAATACAAGACGTCATATACTGTATTTAACTGCTGACAGCCATGTTAAATATTCTTTACGACGTAATACTTACAAGTACGGTAATTTGTTTGAGTGACTGCACAGTCGCACTCATCGTTGGATATTTACAACATATCCGAAACGCCCCGTGGTCAAGCGCACATGCAGCAATCCCCCTTCAAGCAAATTATTACGTTCTACGTTTAGTTTACTAATACTGGTACGCAGATCCACTCTTTTTCATATTTTTTTCCTCTGATTTCTTCTCAAACCCATGTCAAGTGGACAACACCCTTCGCCATGTAAGGAAAACTCAAGGAAAACATTTGTTTTCTGAAAATTATGCAGATTATGCCGTTAATCGCAGTATTTCCGACCGCTGGCTTAATCAATAATCATCATCATATTCCTTATGCTCTTTTCGCAGCATTAACATGTAACGGAATTTTTTAAAATTTATTATTTCAAATTTGAAGTTAGCGCAATTGGTAACTGTATAATTTATATAATTATTCGTTATTTTTTTCTCACTTTTCTTTCTATCGCTTTGTTATTATTTTACTGTAATAGAATTCCGTTATTTTATATTTATTTTACTTGTTGTTATTGTTATTAATCTGGGTGTCAGTTAAGCATACTTCATTGCATTAACACATAATTGTTCAAAGTAAGGAGAGCAGAAAAGAACGTCCTGTAGAATAGCATGCCACACGCGTTACAGACTACATTCGTAATTCTGTACGTGTATGTATAGGAATTGGATTATGACTAACTAATTTATTTATTCTTTTGTTATCAGCATTCATTGGTATTGTAGTAATCATATAAAAACAGCACCAGAGAATCTTAATTTTTGTAATGTTTAGCGTACTCGTACACGTTTTTATCTGCAGCTCTTTGTGTCCAACCAATATCAACACTGGTGACAGTGTATAAAGTCGCCCGGTATTAATTGTTATTACCGCAGTCGCAATAATTGTAATTTTCTGATAATGCAAAATAACAGATTCTACTGGAAAGGATTTCTTGTAAAAGGTCACGTTGGCTGATCCAATAAATTACTCATAGTTTTCATGTTATTCGTATTTCCTAAATAAGCTATAGAGTAAAAGTAACCGAATGTTATACTGAGAAAACAATAATTAATTAAGTACTTAGTAATTCCATGGCTTGCATGCGTGCAGCAGCGTATGAAAAATCTAAGGAATACTTATTATTAATAATTATCAAGTAAGTACATCATTATCTGTTTGCAGTACAGAATGTACAGCATTAATCCTGTTTATACGTCAGCATAATTGTATGGCAACATGAAGCACCGAATATCTCGTTAAAACTACGCACCATTTCTTGCAGTAATATTAAGGATCTTGCAATGAGATGACACATCACACGATTTCGTGCTAATCTATAACCGTGCACGTAAACATGATGTACTTATTAATTAATGCCATAGAACAAGAGTACCACGTATATAATTCCAGTGATTTCCAGTTTTCCACTATACACACCGAGATTTCAAAGAAAACACATCCTTTCCCGCAGATAAATTATTTCGGTACCATGGACTCCTTGCGGTGGTCCTTGGCCCACATCCCCGAGGCGAAATCAATCTCATCATCCGATTCCTCCTTCGGTTCCTGGCGATTGGGCGGCGGCCGTTTGTGCAGCTCGTCCGCGTAGATGGACATCATCTCATCGACGGCCTGGTTCATGATGGGCTGCACGCACACACTGAACATATTGCGGCCCTCCTGGTAGTCCTTCCAGCTATTCCGCTTCTCCTCCTCCTTCGTGGGTTTGCGGATGTACTCCTTCATCAGCACCCACATCTTGGCTTCCGATTCCTTGAGAATGCGTTCTTTTTCCTTGATGGGGATCTTATCCCCGATCAGCTTCTTCAGACGCATCTTGGCGTCGTAGATGATCTCTTCCTGTAGGTCGTGGTAGTACTTCTCGAAAATCTCCCCACCGCCGCTGCTGCGCTCCTCATCCATGGCGGATAAATGAAGATTTAGACAGGGTTTCTTCCTTTTTTTGTGCGTCGCAGACAGGTGACAGTGATAATCTTGGGTGTCGTTCCAGGCAATTTGGAAGGTATAGGTCACGATGCTGCAGTCAGTGATATTAGAACCTCGTTAAACACAAAGTACGGTTATTGTTGGGTATAATTTAACTGGGATTCTGAAAAGAGCAGGTGTGATTTGGGGAAATAATGGTCCGTAAGGTGTATGTAGATGCGCGGTTTACCTTGTTGACTGGGTCGATAGCTTGGCACTTCAGGTAGAACACTGCCGCAGTCGAATGTAAAAATCGATTATTATTGCCATATACTCGCTCGATCGTGTAGGAGGTTGTAAGTACTGTATCTTATCAGCAATAATTCATTAAAAACCTAAGTGCTATGGTGCGGCAATGTACATAGTTACAGTGTACAAGTACATACGTCCCGCTAAATGACAAATCTGCATGCACTCATTGTACGGGCAGTGATAATTATATTCAAGTTACATACATCAATACAATGTATACAATGTACAACATAGATATGCTATACTTAAGTACTTTGTATGTAGCTTCAATATTTCAATACAGTAAAATTAATACTACCGTACCGTATTGTTGCAATAAGTACTGTACGAGCACATCTGCTTTGTATACGAGTAGTGTTCAACATAATTAAATTCGTCCACAACAATAATAATGTAGTTGCAAACCGCAATAATAAGCGCATGTTACGTAATACATACGAAAAAACGTATTGATAGCGATATTATTAACTACCGAGTAACCGATATCCATGTACAAGTAACAGCCAGTTAGTAACTGAAGTACCATAAAATGCGCTAAGCAGAAACACTAAACAATACAGTAATGTAAATATGTACAAAATTAATTAGTAATGATACTTCTGTAGGTACGTGTATAGATAATGCAATACAGCACAAGTACTTCAGTGAATAATCAATACAAACGAGACACTTCCCGTGTACCGTATCTCGGCAGCGCGCAGTGCTAGCTCATGGAGATCTTCGAGAAAGCTGCGAAAGTATTTTTTTATGATTACTGAAAATAAATTACAGTACCGAATGAACTATAAAATTTCCCATACAAATTAACAAAAATTGTTAAAAAAAGAATTAACGATGACCGTAACTGAACTTCTCACCGTCAAATTTCATAAAACGTTTCCTTTCTTTACCTACTGTAGCATGGTTTTCCTTTCTTTAAAAATAATTATTTTGTGTGTACTATTATTATTTATTTAGTGTGTACTATTATCGGTATTTTGTAGAATTATTTTGTAACTATGGGAACAATTTCTACACCGAAACCTGTCGCGATCTGGTACGAATGCAAAACACGCTTTCCCGACACACGCTTCAACGCCTCTCACACTTTATTCAACCCGTCATCGTGTCCCATCCGAATTTTCGCATCTTCGCGCGCCACAACACACCGCAAAACGACACAACCAACCGAGAGAAATCATCATAAACGATTATTATTCCAATATATATTGTCCGGTTACTTATTAGAAATAAAGAGAGAAAAAAATAATCAACATATTTCCCAATTATCACGGAAACCACTGCCACGATTCCCATCAACCGTTACGCACATAGATCCGCCCCGCAGAAAAATCGCCCGCGAATCCAGGAATCATCGCCCAGATTAATACAACACAAGGAACACTTTAACGCCGTACTTCCTCCGACACAATCCGCGGACCACTTTCAAACGAGGAGGCAAATGATTAATCCCGAATACAAAAACACAAGAGCGGAGGAAACAACACACAACACAATCCACGCGTCCCTCATCATTATCCGGGAAGATGATAAACGCAACTCTCCCCCCATCCGCCCACCACGGAAACACAAGAAGAGCTCCATTGACATCTTTCCGAAACCAGCGGATTCCCCAAGGTTTTCTTGCTTACACAGCAAAAAAAGCACACAAAATCAGAAAGACGGACGGATTTCGCTCGCTCCACGCGGAGAAACATAATAAATGAATTAAATAAATCATCCCGTTGAGTCTCTTTCCAACGCCGAGGCCAGGCGTGCTTTGGTGTGCACGAAAAGGAGATACAAAAAGAAAACAGCGCCATTCCGGACCGGTTGCGACAACCGGTACAGAATCATCCCATACATCAGCGTCACGCAACGTTTTTTGGCCCCAACAAGAGAAAAACACACACCGGAATCACAGCGCCGCTGCTGCTGATTAGACTGCGATCCCGGCGCAGCGCAATAAACAAATGAATCGGCGAAACCATAACACAACCGCAGAAAATCCATCCATCCTTCTTACAAAAAAAAACCTACGACAGAAGTCTGGCGTAAAAATACGACAATCCCGCATTAATTCAAAAAATATTCGTTAATTCAGAAATAAAAAATTCTGAATTCGTAAATAATTAAAACGCAGATACACATTTACGGATAAAATCTCTTAAGTGCCCCAACAGCAGCCATTGCTTAGAAAGACAAATAACGCAAAGACAAATAATGCGAAAGAGACAAATAACGCGCGAGAAAGACAAATAACGCGAATTAAAAGAATATCAACTAACAAAGCAAACTCGTGTAAAGATTTGTGTATAGGACACACGAAGAGTAACCTGTTATCTGCGTGTACGTGCCGCTACACTACGACACAGCATTCAACACGACACGGTAAAGTAATCAGTCTGTCCAACAACAGAAATCAAACACAAACACGGCTGAACCTAATAGAGAAATTAATCTACAATACGACCCACAAATCACGAAATTTAAAACATACAAAAACCTGAGTTCTGTATCAATTTTAAAAATTTCTGCAATAAAAGTTTAACATTAATTTGTAAAAAAATGCTCAAATACAAAGAACAACCTGGAAATATTCGACAAATTGTAATTAAAGTTCTTTTCGTCCCACTGTAAATTTCAATCCACAATTATTTTCATTTTTTATTTTGCTTACCGCATGGTACAAGGGACGCGCACACTGTCACTCCCCCCGAAAGAAAACCCCCGATGATGATCGTTAATTCCCAACGCGAAGATAAATAAAAAATGAACCAATATCCAGCGAATAATCCCCATCGTCCGCCACTCATCCCCAACAAATCCACTCCATCCGCCACACGAGAGATAAACAGGAGCAACGGAAATCAACAACAAAAGTAGTACGAGGAAAACGGAAGAGAAGAGAGTTCCAAAAATGGGGAAACACCGATACTATCCAGGAGAGAGAAACAGAGAACAGAAGAAAAACAACACAGTCCGGCACACAATCATGAGCTGCCGGTCCACCATGGTGATCCCGCGTTAAAAATGAAACAAAAACGGAATATAATTCGATCAGCGTGTGTGTCGTCCACATTTGGCGCGTCAGTGTGATTTTTTCCGAAAACACAAGGCGTTGGATTTTTCACAAATTCCCCACGAAATACGGTTAAACAGCGCTCCCCTCCCGTCCAGCATGGTGGTTTTCATCCCCACCAGTCGTTAGAGCCGCCACGTGCTCCCGAGGACCCGTTGTCGGCCGACTGGCGCCCGTAGCCGCCGCTGTTATTGTAACTGCCGCCCGCGTTATTATTCCCGCGATTGAAGCCGGCGCTGCCGCCGCCGCTCCCGCCCGCGCCGGCGGCGTTAAAATTCCGCTGCTGGCCGCTGTTGTCGAAGCTCCGGTAATCACGTCCCCGAAATTGGTGAAACCGCGTCTGCAACGCAAACGGACGGTTATAAAATACAAGCAGAAATGAACTGCGTTGCATTACTACGAAGTATTTTATTTTCTGATTACCACATCTATTTTTTATTTCATTATTTTATTTTCTGATTTCAGTTATTAGAAAGCCGTCAAAACTGACAAAAATTAGGGATCATTATTTTCGGAAATTCATTCATTTTAGAAAATGTATTCACTGTTCACTGGTGATAAATAATTCTCATTTCATTCATGAAATGCGCTTCGTTTTCAAATTATCTGATTAAAATCCCAAACCACTAATGATTATAAATAATAATTGATAATCCCCAAAAAAAAGTCTGTGCTCCATTATTCCATAACATGTCGGTAAGGGATTGACTGCCGGCAACGTACCCACGACCGCGATTCCCGTAGGATCCCTGGCGCTGATACGTGACCTTGGCGCCGAGATATTCCCGGGCGCAGGACATGATAAAATCCGGCACCGTCTGATTGCTCTCCTGCAGGATGTTCAGCAGATCCTTGGCCAGATTCTTGTTCTTATCGTTGAAGAAAGACATAGCCTGACCTGCAACCACACACGACACATCAACGCCTGCAACCACTGAAACACGCCAACATGGAAATACAAGCAAATGAAGCCATCAACAAAAAATGACGTCAGTCAATTCCTGTATTTGTTTCTGTGTACATGTCGAAAGAAACACTTTAGCCATGCTGAAAAACCAAACATTTCTACCATCATTAGCAGCACACTGGACAGAAAACGCCTGACATGTGACGAGATCGTACAATAATCGCTTCAAGATGAATGAGACGGTCTCGAGCCACTGCACTACAAATCGCTACAGGCGGCTAATATCGATTAGAACGTACCCAGATTGCCCACGCGCCCGGTACGGCCGATACGGTGGACGTACTCGGCAATGTCCGTCGGCAGATCATAGTTGATGACCAGCTTCACATGGGGAATATCCAGACCACGCGCTGCCACCTGCCAATCAGCCCCCAACCACACTGTCAATAATTTTCAAGACAAATTCGACGGGCAGCTTTACACCATCAACGAAAGTACCACAATTATTACCACATTAGAATACAGAAATAAATCATCATAATTACTGACATGGAATACCGATAATTCTTGTCCATCACGGACAGTATTACAATCAGACGTAAGCAATATTATTGAACGCCAACTGTCGTCTTACCGCGGTGGCCACCAACACGGGCGTCTCCCCGGAGCGGAAGGAGGCCAGGGCGTCCTCGCGGTCGCGCTGATTCCGGTCGCCATGGATGCAGGTGGCGGCGAAGCTGTTGCGCTGCAGATTGTAGTTGAGAATATCCGCGCCCTTCCGCGTCTCCACAAACACCAGGATCAGGCCCTCCTTATCTGCAACACACGCCACGATACCGGTTAAAAACGCGGCATACTACCAGCATTAGAATTTTACGCAGCCATTTCCAAAGTCAAGAATACCACTCCAACAAGTAATTTCCTTTTGCAAGGAACATTCACCATTGCGAAATAAAGAATAATCACGAAAAAAAAAACAGGACAACCCGGTACACACCAGGAAATTAATATCATGAACAAGCTATGATTTCAACGAAGATAAGTAATCCGACGCCCATACTCACAGCCATCGCACTACAAATCACACCCATCTAGACGTGAACAAGTATTCAGTATTCAAGTGCCGCATTACATACAGTATTTACACAATTATTTGCGGAAAAATGAAAGATCCTCCCTATTCCCTGTTCATGGTATATTTCATACACAGCAAATCGGATATCAAACATTTTTATGAATACTACATATTTTCTCATTTCCTAAATATGTTTACAACCGGAAACTGATTACTGATTAATAATCAACACTCATTAAATCAATACTTATAAATGGGGAAACAAATTCAATATATCACTACAATAATTAATGATGATATTCAACTATTCGCCAATTCACAATGGCGACAGAAAGCAATCAAACGGATACATCAGTGAATGTACGCTGGCCAAAAAATCCCCGACTCACCGCTATTCAGATTAGTATGCAGGACATCCAGCAAATAATCCAGCTTCTGCTCATCGGCCACCCACAGCACCGACTGCGTGATGTTCTCGCTGGTGGAGCCCACCTTGCCGACAGCCAGAAAGACGTAGTCGTACAGGAAGTCCTTGGCCAGGATCTGGATCTCCTTGGGGAAGGTGGCGGAGAACATGAGGGTCTGCCGGTGGGGCGGCTGCGGCATGCCGTTCTCCTGCACCAGATTGCGGATCTGCGGCTCAAAGCCCATATCCAGCATGCGATCGGCCTCGTCCAGCACCAGGTAGCGCACATAGTCCAGGGAGACCTTGCCGCGCTCCACCATGTCCTTCAGACGGCCCGGCGTGGCCACGATCATGTGGCAGCCCTTCTCCAGATCCCGAATCTGTCGCGATACAAACGGAACCGCCATCAACTACGCTGTCATCAATTGTTATGGCCATTTTTGATAATTATGGGAATTGAAATCGTCAAAAAACCCGATACGAACGGAACCACAATCAACTATGCTGTCATCGATTATTAGAATTTTTCTTATTATTCTAAGAATTTAAACTGTGAAAAAAATAAACACGACATTTACAGCGCATCCAATAAAATCCTCACCGTGAAACAAATAAATGCACGTAATAAACAGTCGCGAATAAACGGGTGCACATCACCGTAAATAATACTGACTGCTAGAATGATCAAACAAAAGAGACAATCGTGAGAAAAAACTGTGGAGTAATATTTAACTGAAATAAATAAACAGACCACATAAATAAATTTTTATGAACAAATCAGCGCAATAATAAATTACAACAGTCGCATATAATTTCGAGAAAAAGCAAACAACTTCCGACTGTGGAGTAAATAAATAAGGCACAATAATAAAAAAACAGAACGAATTCTGGGAAAATATTATTACTAGAAAACTGGAATTACGGTAACGGCGCAATAAAAAAAACAACTGTAAAGAAAGTAGCAAAATTGGTTTTGCTCACCTGCTGTCCAATATCCGCGCCACCGTACACCACCACCGAACGGATGCGCGTGCGATAGGCGAACTTCTGCGATTCATCGTAGATCTGGATGGCCAGTTCGCGGGTGGGCGCCAGAATCACCGCCAACGGATACTGCACACGCCGGCGCTGCTGCTATAAATTACGAAAAATAACCGTCAATGAATTCCTCCGAACTAACCACTAAAACACACATTAATTCCTTTTATTTTCACAGTATTTCCGAAAAATCGATTACAATTTTGTACAGAAGACTACTGACTCGCCAACACTAAAAATACCAGTGCCACGAGCTAGCGTTCTTCTCTTGATCACTTTTCATCTGGCACAGTTTTGTCCGGCACAATTACATGACACTTATTGGGTAACTCACCGAAAGATTCTGTGCGCCGTAAAATTTTCCAAAAATTTTAAATTTCAATTATTTAAAACTTTTTCCAAACCATCAGTAAACTTACCGTCATGTGGATTTGTGGCGGGCCACCGGTCAACATCTGCGATAGGATCGGGACCAAAAACGCCGCCGTTTTGCCCGAACCTGCACAATTAAATAAGCAATACGTAAATTTTGAACAAAAAACCCTGATAAATAAAATAAATGCTTCAACAATTAAGAATAAATCAGAAGCGAAATTAACGATTACAAGTCGCACAAAAAATGATCATATTTACCTGTTTGAGCGCAGGCCATCAGATCGCGACCGTTCAACACAATGGGGATCGCATAACGCTGCACCGGGGTCGGTCTAACATGAAAGGAAAACAAACGCCGCATTGGAAATTTACTGTCATGTTTTACCAAAAACAAAATCGATATTTCCTCAACACAGAAAAAACTCCTGATGAATTTCTTACCGACTGTAATCGGCCAACTCCACATTCTGCCGGATAATGGCATGCAGACTGACATCGTTAAAGCTCTGCAACCCGAAAACACAGAACATTAACACACATCTACGTTGACATTTCAATCTAAACAAATTCAATCAATTCGCAAAACATGGAGAAATTCTTCAGCAAAAATTGAAAAAATATGCCACAATCACAATTAAATTAAAAAATTTATTGAAAAAATGTAGGATACGTTTATTTCGATTTTGCATACCGATTGAATGGGTGCCGGTGCATCCCGCCCACTGACTTCCACTTCAATATCCTCATACTTGTCGAAGTTGATGCCCGTATTGACTTTCTGGAACAAAGTCCTGGAAAAGCACATAAACAATTCAACCTACTGCGGAAAAAAAATTCTCCTCGATTTTCAGTAGCTTTTAAACGTTTATATTAAAATGCACAACAAACAAGCCTTTAAACGCGGCATGCGCAGCAAGATGATCCGTTCCACTGCACTACCATAATATCAGTGAAATTTTTCAAACGGACACTCCGAACATCCAATATTATGCGTCCAGTTCCAAAAAATCACTACCCTAGTTTTTATTTACGTAACCTAATTTCTGCATGCAATAATAAACCAGTAAATTCAGAAGTACTGAATACTGAAAAGCCCCTCAATTTAATTTCAATTTAGCCGAATTTCTGTTAATTTATTCGTGCAGTCTTCCAATAATTAAGCGTTTTTATTTATGCAGTTTATATCCTTTTTATCAACAAATGATTCATATGTATTCTGATGTCATTATTGCAATTTACCTGCTTTCTGCAATGCAATTAGAAGTGGTTTTTGCAAACTATTTTAAAAACATTAATCTGGAAATCAATCAAGTGTAGGAAAAATCGTAAGAAAAACAGCTAAAACCCCGTAAAAATTCCGCAACTACGGCACGTACCCTTCCAGACCGGGATCGCGCGGCAGCGCCGAATTCCACTCTTCCGGCGTGAAATCCTGCGCATTGCGCCCGTACCGCTGATTATTCCCGCCGTAGCCGCCGCCCCGGTCCCCGTACCCATCATTCCGGCCGTAGTTATTATTCTGATAGTTGTTCCGGTTGCCAAAGTTGTTGAAACTGCCGGTGCTGCCCGAATGCTGCATGCCGCGCTGCCCGAAGGCCATGTTGTTGTTATACGGCTGCTGTTGCATCTGCTGCTGCTGGCCGTATCCGCCGCCCGCCACCCGGACGTCGGTGCTGGTGGCGGTCGTGTAGCCCGCGGCGGCGGCGTTGTTGAAATGGCGCTGCTGCTGTTGCTGGGCATCCGCGGCGCCGCCGGGACGCTGCGCCTGCTGGTACATTTGCGCCTGGGAGGGCTGGCTGTACGCGGTGTACGGCTGCTGCGCGGTGGCCGCGCCCTGCGCCAGATAGGCGTTCTGCCAAAGATAAACGCACCACGCTGTAGTTTCCCATTGATTTCGTCGACCAATAATCACAACAAAAGCAAAAGATCAAATTTAAACGCATTTTCATCGATTCAACAGGAGTATACATTTCCCGTTGCTTTTTTTATTATTATTATTATAGCAACTACAGTAGCCAAACTTTTATTGTATGTAGAAACCTATTTTTAAAAATAACTCTAGTCGCTAGAGGATAATATTCCTGATGATATCTCGCTTCCAATCACAATCTAACGAATGATATTTGGAGTATTCAAGAAAATTAACCTGGCTAATATTAAACTTTATTACTAGTCCGTAGCTGGTTAGTATTCGAATTTAAAAAGTCTTAACTGACTGAATTAGAATTTTTTATCTTGTAAAAATACGCAAGAATATGCAAATATCTCACGCTTTTCTTATTTTTGCATAGATAAAACGTTTAATAAAAAACAGCCTTTATAAATTCGGAAATTTTCGTATTAATCTTCTTGTTTTTCACGATAATCACTGAAAGTTTTAAACGCTAATTTCACCCTTGATCCGCTCCAATTTTAAATCGCGCTTAACAGCTTTAAAGAATTATTTTTCTGCACAGCGAAACCGGTCTACCTTCACCATTTCTACGAAATAAAAATCATCTTCTCAAGATCTTTCCCAGCAACCGGGCCCGCTTCGACTCATCTGGATTCTAATTTACAAAACTGGATAACACAATCATATTCACTTCCTCTCCGCGCGCCACTCAACAGTACAGCACACGGATGTCCGGTATCTATTTTTAAAACCTCCCTTCCCTTGCCTTCATCCAAACGTACGCTACTGTCACGCCATTTGTACTAGAGCAAATTACCGCACAAGAAATCGATTGTTCTCCCGGCGTACATCGTAATGCCAAGAGATTACTCGTTAACGTTAATTTGCATTAGCACACGGCAAATGCGCCATGAGGGAGCCGCGCATGCGACGATTACGAGGTTCCACTACCACGCCGGATCGTAAGACTGTACAAATACGGTAAATCGATGCCCGCTGTCGGTTGTTACACGGGCTCCAGTGTTTAGATTACTGTACTCTCCCGTGTATACACGCCCTTATTCCCATCGACCCACTTTCAGATCTCTGCTGGTGTAAAAATGCAAATTTAATTCAGTAAAAACATTAATTAATAATTATTAATCCATCACAGGTTCGAGGAGTGAACAGAAAGAAGAACAGATCCGCCGCAGCGGAGAAAAATGACCGAATATTAGTCAATAAATTAATTCGTTCTTTTAGTCTGAAAAGCTACAACATTTGGCAAGTACAGCGGTGGCCACATACGTTAAAAAGAGACGAATAATTTTCTACACACAAGAGCTCTTTGAAAGACCATACAAATCACCGTAGGAATAAATGTAAGAAATACACCAACGCTAAGAAAACTACTTAAACTGAAAATTCATTTCAGAAAAAATGGCTTGCTTCTATCGTATTCAATCGCTAGAGTTAAAATTCTCAGGTTTGATAAAGGTAAATTTAAAAATTCAGTTCCTACAAATTCCCGAAAACTGTTCAGAGAATTATATCCCATGCTACAACGTCAAGTAAACAGGTTAATCAAATTAAAAATCAGTTTTCGAAAAATTAATCTCCCTCCCACTTCTGCCACCGACTTGCAAAATTCTCTGGTCCGATATTGGTAAACTTAGAAAATCAATTATTAGACATTTACAAATAATTTATACAACATCACATCACACGTCACAGTGACAGATAAGGCTTTCAACTTCAACACGAAACTGGAAAATTCAACAATTCCATTATTCCAATAAAATAAATCCAGCATCACGGGATAGCATGTATTTGGTAAATTTCAGAATTAAGCTCACTTTGAATTTTTTAAATACCGTACACAAACATTAGACCACAATCAACGATAAGGTTTTCAGTGTGAGCAGAGAAATTGATAATTCCCGAACGAAAATTCAATGAAAAATCATTTAAAAATTGCCAAAATCCACCCACCTGCATCCCGGGATAGAACATCATCCCCGGCGCGGCGCCCTGCACCATCCCCGGCATCATGGCACCGTTGACGGCCTGCGCCGCCCCATACCCGTCGGCGGCATAGCCCCCGAGGGGCGGGAAGGCCCCGGGAGCCTGCTGCAGGGGCATCTGCTGCATCTGGCGCATGTGCGGCGGCACATACTTATTGGCCCCGTCCACCACCCCCGCGGCGGCCTGCTGCAGGTACTGCTGCTGCTGCTGATGGAGGAGCGACTGCTGCTGCTGTTGGGCGGCCGTCAGAGCGGCCGGCGATACCGTGGCGGAGGCATCGGACGTGGCTTCAGCGGGGAACGCGGAAGCACCCGATGCATTGGGATCGCGACGCCAATTACTCATAGCACACACCTACGGGACAAAACTGGGTTATTTATTTACAGGAATGATCGGAGAAGATTTTCGTATCAAGGGGATGACGATGGAAGACGGTCTACCCACCGAAAAGGAGATTTAAAAATGACTGAGATGCGGGAAACTCGTGTCAAGGTCTTCGACTGAACGACGCTCAAGCTCTCTACAAGCAAACGGTGAATTTAGTTCCTGATGCTGCGGGACGGGAAAATTTTATGCTTACAGGATTAAAGAGAGTATCTGGGTTAATAAATGGAATAATAATGGACAAATCCCGAAGAGAACCAAGGAAACAAGGAAATAGACCGTTTCTCCGTGGATCGACTAGAAAACTGCGCTGATCATCGCAAATGTTGCAGAATTTCTCAGTCTGCTGCCGTGCTGCGTGCCGTTTGCCACCACGCGGATTTTAGGCGAGTGCGTGGTCGAGTCAGGGCCAGTCACAGTGACTCGGGCGGTGAGTCTGGATGCATTGAGAACCAGCCAGTACACTGACCAGTGAGTACAGTAATCCCTTCGCTGCAGTCGCTTTACCGAGTCTGGGTCGGCTCCGAGCCGAGTTCATCGAACGTTTGCGGTCACTAACCGGGACTTAACCGGCTGCGCTGTATTTCTCCTGCATTGCTGCAAGTGGTTGCCATTACAACGCGGCGGAAAGTGAGCCGCTCCTCGTTGTAAACTGTTGCGAGAACTGGCAAGTTGTTACGCACTACTTACGCGTGTCTGTGCTCTGATCCAATCCTGCTGGAGGGTTGGGATCTGAGTTATTCACCTAATTCGGTTCATTCTGTGCACTTAACGTCTCGTGCTCAGTACAGCAATTACAATTCCACTCTCGCATGAAATCCATTGGAAATTGTAGCTGTGCCGCGTCTATGTTAGTGATGCAACAAGGTAAAATCAAAGTTTTTTATTTCGGATCTCAACAAATAATATCATCGCCGACTGCTTAATCAAATTTTTGAATTATAATTGTAAATGCGCATTTTCAGATTAGTTCTTATTTAAGTGTGAGGAACCTTCATGTGTACAGCGAAACTTATACACTGATCCACAAATTTGCATACACTGTTGCACTACTTCATATAAATGTTTATTGAATGTTTATTTTACCATTACTGTGCTATAATATTTCACGAGTAAACAATTTATACAAGGCAACCATTATATTTATACATTAACGCACAGTATTTATAAAAGTTATGCTACGCAATCAAAATTTATCCCTGACGGTTCTTTTCCAAACCAATTAAACGGACATTGCAAATCGCGCCCGCACAAAATAAAAGTCAGAAATTCCAAAATGAGCTTGAAAACCCAAATCTAACTTACAACCTCCAGTCAAGTAAAACTTTTGACGATACTAATGTGTGCACTCGGGTTAAGACTTTGATCTGGACTAACAAGATTACTAAGGTTTATACTCGGTTATAAACTAAAAACAGCACTGTGGTTAAGACTCTGGTTAAAAATACGGTCAACAGACGAATCAACTGTTTTGTTCGGCTTTAGCTTAACCCCTTTCGACAAACTGACTCTCGATCTTTTTCTGCAAATCTTCTTCGGAACTATAACTCAAATAAACTTTCGCATTGAAAATGTCTTCATTTCTTTTTTATCTTCGTTTTTTTTTTCATTAAGAATACTGAAATCAACCTTTTCGTTGAAAATGCTTTTAGTAACATCTACGCAGGGGAAGGCGCATGATATACGTACATTTCGGAATAAGAACATAAGGGCATAAAACTCTTCCGCATATACCAATTTTAGCATAGCACAATTTGGCTTAAAAAACAATTTTAACAAAGCTTGAAAAGTTAAAAAACATACTGGATTAAAAAAAAACTAAAGCCAGCCAAAAAAGCTAATAATCTTATGAACACCACGAAAATATATTCAGAAAACACAAGAAAAGCTAACAAAAACAAGTAAAATATAAAAAAACTTAGGAGGAAAACATTCTAATGAGATTATAGATTAGAGCGTAAACAAAAAAGACAGTAGCATGCCGAATGTCTGTGTAGCGATTCAGCAAAATGTTTTTGTACCAAATTTTTCTCATGCCAAAGCGTCCGCGAAAAATTGTTTTTTCATAAGCATTTTGCAAAAAATAATTATGTGTAGCGAAACAGTTACGATTCCTGAATTATTGAATGATATTTGGTGTACAAATAAAGATGTTCGTGTTAGCTTTAACGAGAGTGTTAACCCGAGTACTAATGCTAGTTTTGATCAACGTATAAACTTGAGTGGTGATACTAGTTCAAAGCATGGTCTTAACCCGAGTGCTCATAGTAGTGTTGGCAAAAGTTTCAGACCAACGGAATAATTGCATATAATACCTATAATGCGTTCTAAAACAATTTTGCAACAATTTCCATTACATTTGAAACGCTCTGCTACTCGGCAGTGGAAGTATATAGTAGCGTAGCGCTAGCCTCTTTTATTTCCAACATCAGCTAAAAACAAAAAATATACATTTTTTTCGAAATATTTAACCAGAAAAATGGTATGCTAAGATAACTTTTATTTTCTGCTTTTTTTCTCTAATAATCTTTCTTAATTGAAATATAACTGTTTGGTCAACGCATATTTAGTGTTTCAAGACAACAGATTTAGCAAACGTGCAAGATGAAAAATTGTTGTGAAAAATGACGGCGCAAAATTAAATGTGCAAACAATTCAAAACTCAGGCTTTAAATCCTCGTCATTAGTAATGTCGTATATTTTTTTGCAATTACGTCATTTCGTCATTTTCAGTTTCTAGTATTCCTTTGGTTTGCCAAAAAACAGATATTACAAAATAAAATGTATAATACCATTAAATTTTCTTTGAATTTTTAAATTTGAAGTTCTGTTATAGTGCCTAACTTCTGTTATAGTGTATTTCTGGCTGAATAAACTTCACTGGTGAACATAATAATAAATTCAATTAGGTTTAAAACATTTTGTGGACGGAGGAATTTTTGAGTTTTTGGGAGAAATAACCAGAGTTCGCAAACACTAAGCTATCTGAGGTTTGAAAACCTGAGTATAAATATTAGTTTTATCAGAGTATTATCAGAATTACTGATCTTAGTTTTAAGCGTAGTCTTAACCCGAGTGTTCATCTTAGTTCTGTCAAAAGTTTCTGCTGACAAAAAAATATGTTTTTTAACAGTGTTTTATGCTTAAAATTTTAGCTATTTGCAAACGTGTCCTGGCAAGCCGAAGCATATTACAAATGGAATGAGGTGTGCTTTATCATCTTGATTTCACTACCGCTGTTGTAGGACTGGGGAGCATCATAATGAGCCTTTCCAGCAATATGTCCAACAATATTCCTTATGTAGTTTTCAGCAAAGAAATACAAAAACTACGAAACCTTGTGGCTCAAGATCCACAAGCTACTGTTTCCATGTCGCTGAATTTTCATAAGGAACTTGTTTTTACGATATTGCTGCAGGTGCCAGTATTTCATATTATATTTTAGTTTTCCCGTGGTAAATTGGAACCTTTCGGATATCAGTGGATGTAAACATAAATTTTATCAAAAAAAGAACATTGTGATAACTTGGATGACTTTTTTAAAACATTGATTACCTGATTGCGAAAACCGAATGCAACACACACCAAGAAACCACAAATTCCAATGGATGTCGAGACGTGTACAGCTGTAAACACTGCTACTGAGCGCGAGACGCAAAGTGCGTAAAATGAACCGAATTAAGTGAATAACTCAGATCCCAACCCTCCAGCAGGATTGGATCAGAGCACAGGCACGCGTCGCACTACTTCCGGTCTGACTAATGCCAGACATTACGAAGAAAAATAAATTTAAGTTTTGTTTCGCGATTACGGCCAAAAGTAACTGTCATTTCATAGGTAAATTTTTTGTATTTTTTCCCGCATTATCCATTGCATAACACAGTAAACACACATCAGTACTGTAATAAAATAACAGTGCGAACTAATAATCAAAAATTAGATTCTTTTTGCGGTCGTAGCGCACCGGCAATCGTCATCCAACTAAAACATTTTTTAACATTTTTTTCCTGCGTCCGCCGTCGTATAACACACACCGGTTAAAAATAATAAAATAAAATCACTAAAAAATAAATCAGTAGATAAAATTACAAACAATAAGTAAAAAAACCATACAACATTATAATTACAAAACTGCTAAATAAAATAAGTAAAATATTCTAAATAAAATAAGTAACTGCTAAATAAAATAAGGTTTTTTCTGCGATCGTAACGCGCCGATAAGCCTCATTCACATAACAGACCAATTATTTTATTTTTTTTTCAGGCATCGCGGAAAGATAATACAATACAGATTTGTTTAACGTAAGAAAGCATTGAGCCGTTCACAATTCCCAGTCAATTCGGCGGCCAGAAAAAAACAAACAAGCGGTAATCCAAAAAAACGGTGAATAAACATGAGTAAATAACAGAAAAACAACCCGAAACGCAGTACATACCGAATTTGTTGAACAAACGCTAGTACTGACCGAAAGAGACCAAATTGATATCCACAGCGTCATCAGTCGTCTGCTCCACCAGGCAGTGCGACTTTGCGGGAGATTTGACTTTGTTCCGGTCGATTTTGGTCTTTATCGGACGGTGTGCACGATCCGGGTTTTCCTACAAAACAGACACAATTATTATCGGAAAAAGCGTCAAAATTAACATTCCTCATAACACGATTCCAATTGTCAAAAAAACACTTCATCAAACCGACTCACGGGCGGTACGTACATTCAAATCAAACGAAAGCCCAGAAATAAACATGTACGTCAATTGTACCGGTACGACTACGTACAACGTTACTAGCCAAAATATTGCAAATACTGCGCTGTATTAGCGACCAAACAGAAAGTCAAAGCTCACCTTCCGCTCCTTCGTTACATCCTGGTGGTTGATTTCCGGTGGTTGCTTCTCCGCTTTTTTCGTCGTCGAATGGCTTTCCTTGACAGCACCGCGGACTTCCGGAATCGGCGTAGCGGCGCGCACTAACGGGAAAAGCATGCTTCAATATTCAGTTCTATGGTGGTATTTTATTTATCCAGTATACCGCAAAAATAAAGAAAAATTAATAGAAAATCGAGAAAGAAAAAAATTCAAAAAATATACAGAAAAAAATTAGGAAAAATTACATAAAAAATATCTATAAGTCTAACACGTCACGGACCTCTGACGGTGGTGGGCTTGGCTGGTTTCACGCTGTGCGAGCAGTCCGTGGGCTTCTTGGGAATCCGCGGACGGGCCGGATTGTGGCCGATGGTGCACAGCTTGCGGTCAGCGCCAAGGCTTTGGCGGCTCGCCCTTCCACATGCGCCCGCAGCTTCTCCGCATCAAACACCGGAAGCACCTCCGTGCCGGCTCTCTTCTTAGGAGTATCCTTTCCCGTATGCAGAAATTTATCCTTTTTCTACGACAACACTACCTCTTTCTTTGCTACGCCGATAAACAGGTTTTTTTAGCAACTTGTCCAATTTTAAATTGTTTGCATTCTTTTTCTCTTTTTATGTTTTATACCATGCGATCATCATCGTACTGCAATTACGTATTACTTTTACTTGGCAATTTATTACCATTTTATATAAATGCATACTGCATTTTTTAAGCAGATACTGCCCCGTATTTTCATACCTTTCCCTGGCTGCCATTAATCGCATGTGGAGACTGCACCGTTGCAGCACGACAGGGCAATTTAACTTTACGAACCACCTGCGCCGTTTTGGATACCACGCGCTTCCCATCCTGTTTCCCTGCATTTCCGGCTTTCTACGATTTTCCGCAGCGAAATACATAATCTGCATAATTTTCTTTCAATTCATAAGACGCTGATTTGTCAGTTAAAATATTAGTTTTCTTATTAATGACAAAAGTCACAAAACCGAAAACAATATAGCAGAATTAATCCCGGTTTATCGTTTCACGGTTAGTTTTCTTACCAGATTTTTTATCCATGATTTATTTCCACAAAAGCAGTCTTTCCCAGTTAAAATAATTCAGTTTTCCTGCATTTACCGTTAGAGTGACTCGTGCAGCTGTTTCCGCTCGCAATCCCTTGACGTATATTGTCATCAACGACTTTTTTCACAGCCTTCGAAAACGAGTAAAAATTTTAAAATGGTAAAAATAAATCAATAATATTTATGGTGTATAACACAAGGATCTTCTATGATGAGTGATGTGCTTTTCTGCTTACAACAGTGTTGCGTTCTATGTACATATATTATTAAGTTTCGTATTTAGGAATTAAAAAATTGGTCTTCAAACCTGGTTGAAGCTCGTATTTTTTTGCAGGAACTTCGGCATTGGTGAGCCGAAAATGCTCCAGCAGGGAATGGTGACTTTCAAATTCGGTATGCAGAACTTCCTGCTTTTTGGGTCACAAAGTTTTAAACAAAAAGAATGTTTTAAAAAATTAATCGACAGTAATATTTTTGCTCATAAAATTAAACGAATTAACGAGGCAGATTATCAGTATATTTACTGATAATTTGCATAAAGAAAGAGCGCGATTAGAAATTCACAGGAGTTGCAGAAGCGTACGCGATCGGCGGTTATTCAGATAGCGCGCCAGATGGTTGGCGGCCGGTTCGAGAAAACGTATAATTAAATGACTGAATTATGAGAAAAACCGAAGTACGTAATCAGATTAATTACAGCCCTGCTCCACCACACGCGGACAGTTTCTCCCAAAAATCACCGTAGTTTACCCGTCGACAAATGGATAAATCTTTAATTTTCACATGATTCCCATGTACATCCAACATCTTCTGCACTTATGATTTCAGTGCTGAAAGTGTGTTTCAAGTTATGGTGGAATTAAAACTAAAGCAGACCTGCTTAAAAAAGCGGCTCGACCCTTCTACCTCGGCTGTCTTCGTCTCTTTCAAAATTTAATTAAAAATTCTGTTGCTGCCTCAATCCAAAAATGGAAACTTTAAGATGTTTGCCATTTAATGCTCTTGTAAAAAACACTAGACAGTAGCCTAGTTCCGCCAAACCTCCTTGACCTTTGCGGGCACTGTCAAATTAAAGGAGGACCTTCTTCGGTCGCTAGCTGTACAGTCATGTGATGTCGCTGCTAACTGATTCTGACAAAATTTCGTTTGCGAGATAATAAGAGCTATATAAGCGTTTCCTAATCTAGGCTCAGGCTCGAAACATCCAGTTACAACAAATTTCGAAAAACGCGCAGGACTTTTTTGACAACAGCTTTATAGATTTCTTCTTCAATTTACTTGGCACTTCCAGCTCTCTGCCAGTGTTATTGATATCTGCCGAAAAATTAAAATCATCTAATCTAATTCATGTCTCATCTTTTAAAAATAAACCTTGAGGTGACTCTGCTCTATGCGCCAGGCAACCACATTTTCCAGTAGATGCCGTTTAACATACAAGTCTATTATGGGACATGCATGTTGCTTTGAGGTCACCTCGAGCTGAGCTCGGGCAAGAATTTTTTGCTAACCCCTACCGTACACCTCTTGAACCATTCTAAACTTTTCAAAAAAGCCCACTCGAAAATATTGATTGATGCAGGTTTTATAGCTGCAGCTATACGCACGATAAAAATGGTCACTACCCCCTCCTCTTGATCGCCCCTTGGGGAGTTACCGGCATATCAAAAGATTCAGATCTTAGTATTACTGAATTCACAATAAAAAGTTACATCAGGAAAGTATAAAGGATGAAACCTAACGACGCGCAGAAGTATTTTTAAATTTATTTTGTGCAACTGTCCGCGTGTCGTGGAGCAGGGCTGTAGTACATATATAAAAATAAAATAGTTATTAATAGTCACCGGTTAATAGTCACTATTAATAAAATAGTTACATAATCTTGTAGCAGTAGTGTCCACTGTCCGGTTAATACTGTCTTAATTATGAATCGAAATAAAGAATTTATGTTATTAATTATTTTATTGTTAATTGCTACGATAAACATTAAATAACTCATTATTTTCTTGTGGTGTCATATTCCATATTGCAGAAGAATTTAAAATGGACCCAGCGGCTTACCAGATGGGTAAGAAAGCCATTGAATCCCGCGACGCAGAAACAATTGCAACTTTAATCGGCTCGGAGCCAGCACTGACCCCATTCATCATCACCGCCATGCCGGATGATATCGCTCGGACATTCCCCGAATACCAGTTCCCCGAATACAAAGTGCCGGTGTTCGGCGTTCCAGGAGAAATCCAGGCTGCGTGCAAGTGAGTTGTATGTTAAAAAGTACCGACCGAAGAATATGGTTGTTCAACGCTTACGCAAACGAAAAATTATTTACAAGCATAAACAGTTTTTGTCTGTTTTTTTCTAGTAAGTGTCCTTCCGCTTGGCGTCTCGTGGACCACTAACTTCGATGATGGCAATTTTTTCGCAGGAAATTTTGTTTGTGACTCTTGCTGTTGTTAATAGTTTTATTTAATTACTTTTTCTATCATTTGGTTGTAGTATGTAGTTTTTCTTTTTTTGCTGCAGTCATTACTGAAACTTTCGGAGCTTATTACCGTAACACCGCGCTTGGTGAACTGGCTCGTATCACGGATAAAGTGGAGTACAGAAAATTAATCACGATGGCCGCCTCCGAGTCGGGGACTGTGCTGGTGAAGGCGGGGCAGCGGAAAGACACTACCAAATGCTCGTCGGACGCCATCGTGAAATATTTTTTTTAAAAATTTTTATTCCAGAAATAACTCGGCTGTGAAAAAATTAAAAAAATTAAAAGGTTGTGTACGGAATGAAAGGTAGCGCAAAAAGGTTGTGCACGGAATGAAAGGGAGTGCAAAAGGTTGTGTACGGAGTGAAAGGGTGTGAAAGGGTGTGTACGGAGTGGTCACCAATACATTTATAACGGCTGTGGATAATCGAAGCAGCTGCAGCTTATACTGGGAAACCAACCAGATCTCCTCCAAATGTTCCCTGTCTTCACACCTCCCAAATTATTTTGATTTCTCCACCACTGTGACGATGGAAGCCGATGTTTATCCCGTTAATAAAAGCGAGAGGTAGCGACGGTGCAGAGCGTCACGCTTGAAATACTGCGTAGATTCCGTAGATGGCAGTTCTGCTTATTGTGCTGACATCCACTAGCCGCAGGTCGACCTTAGACCACCTTTGTGGTCGGCCGTCGAGCTCGAATGGGCTGAACCTGCGCAATGCAACAGTTATAAGACAGGTACCTGCGCACATTTATATGTATCGTGAGCTGGTCAAGTTGTGAAGGCTGGTGGTTTTGGACTATTGATTATATGGCTTTAAAGGCGGACTGCTTTCTAGTTCTGGTAACAGTAAAACCCCTCGTTACAAGCTTGTCCGGTAATTTCCTACGTAAAGGTACAAACAGCACATATTTAGCGTTGAGTTTGCACTATGGCAATTGCCACTACACTACGTCGTAAAATTGTGCGTTTCGCTGTATTGATTCGTAAGAAATTACCGGACAAGCTTGTACATACACCCTTACACAACATTCACCTCTTTATTACATACGTGCGGCTGGGAACCGAACTCTTCGGTGGATTATAACATAGGGGCGGTTCTCTATATAACATTCACCCCTCTATAAGTATAACATACACCTTTCGTGGAACCGCCTACAGTATTTAACATACAGTCAACCCCTGCGTTACATACAGCTGGCTGAATAAGCGCAGAAAATTTTCAAAGAAAGTTCCGGTTTCTGTTTCAGATCTGTCCAGTACCAGATCTGACAATAAAAGCAGCAAAAAGGCATTGAAAATTAATGGTTACCGGTTTATTCTGTAGAATGAACTGCCAGTAACACAGCAGCTTTTTGAAGAGGCATGCAAAACAAAGCGCTGCAGAGCCATTTTTTGGAGGATTAACATAAATTTGTAAGCAAAACATTAGCGGCACCGTGCTTAGTTGCTATTGACCAACATATGGCCAGCCCCCTGGGGGTGAGTCATTGACCACCCCCAGGGGCAGTGCCCCTGTGTAACATACACCTCTTTACAACATTCAGAGAGCTAGGAACGGAGGGTGTATGTAGTAGAGGGATTTTACTGTATAAAAAAACAATCAAAGCTGACTTCGTGACCTTGCGCCATTTCTAGTCTATACTCGTACCGTCGTTTTTAAGCGCTGAATAAAATTCGGGTTGAGATACTTTCAGTTTCAGTCAGCAGTGCCTTCGCCTTTTAACCAAGCATTATACAGTAGAACGACTTGGCCTTCCTGCAGCTGTGATATTCGATGCACTTACAGTAAAATATTTGTACTACTGTAGTACCCGGAACGATGCCTAGAGAGAAGTGCCTAGGTATCTACTGTCTAGTTAACAAGTCTGCAGAGTGCAGACACCGTAGTTGCATACAATAAATGTCATTCCTGCTCGCCACAACGAACGCCTTGCTAAGTATATGCCGAAAGTTCAAACGAATACAACGGCTACTTTGTGTTCAAATACTAAAAGTGTACTCACAGTAAGAGAAAATAGCGAATGGGCTGCCAATCATCTGGATAGCTCAGCGTGCGCACCCAGCGGGCGTACACAGCCCTGACCTTTTCTATCATGTCCGCCGTGACCGGTGGGAAGTTGTCGCTCAGGGCGTGCATGACGCGGCTGGTCATGTGCATTTCGCTATCGTCGCAGCGCAGCAGCAGCCGCGGAATAGTGATGTACAGCTGGTCGATGGGCAGTTCGTGGGATTCCTTAGTGAGATTCGTCATGAAAGCCTGCTCATGCGCTGGCAGAGGATGTAAGGGTCCACGATCGTAAAACCCGTATTTGAACACGTACCATATTAGTTTACCAAAAAGATTACGCACTTTCCAGTTACAGAGGAAGATGAAGTCGCATACGTCCCTATAGAATGACGTAACATCAGTTGCAGAATGCATCAAACGCGTTGGATCTAAGCAGCCCATCCATCCGGGATCCGTAATAATATGGTCTTTGAAAACAATAAAGGGCAATGTGATTCTCATGGCTATCAGCACATCGTATAAAAATAAAAGGTTGTGTGGAAGGAAATCTCCCAGTACTGTGAGACTTCTGGTCGTTGTGCTGACGGTACGGCTCAAGAGCGATGCCGCCCGGAAACAGTTATTGTTATCGGAATGAATTCCGCCACAGCTGTCCAGTGCGATGCTGAAGTGCTCGGTTAGGCGGGGACTGCTTAACAGCAGCTGCCACAATGCGCACACGCTATCAATACAATCAGTCAGTGAGTTACCATATTAATCTGTTTTTACCGCAGTGAGTTACCGCAGCTAATCTTTTTTGTCCCCTGTACAACTGCAGGAAAAAAATTGATTTTACACATGAACCCGGTTCGGTAGCGCTACTGACATAGAAATGCACGTTGGCGTGCAACTGGCAGACCGGAGCGTAACAGCTTTCGCTTGGGCGAGTGATAATCAATCTTTAACGTCCTACCGTTAGCACTTTTAACAATTACTTAACTTAACACAGTTATTAATTTTTTAAGCTTTTTAACTGGAACAAAACCTGTCAACAAAACTTCGTAACGACCTTTCGTAACAAGTTCGTGACGTACATAAATCAACGAAAGCATTAGTCTTTGAAGTTTGAGTATAGAGGACCTTCGCTACGCTCCGATCGACTAGCACAACCGGCTTTCACACGCTGTGACTAATTAGCAAACTTCAGCTGCCTATTTCCTTTTTGGTCTTTATCGTGCGATGCGCTAGTGATAAACTTCATGATTCGACTTGACACTACAGTCAATATGTATTTGTTATTTGCAAATGACTTAGGTATGTTGAATTTGGGGATACGAAGTTGTGTTCATGAATCAGGCGGGCTAGCGCTTCTGTTTTCATTCTGCAGTTTTTTTTTCAGCATAAAACCTTGTTTCCGGCGGACAAGGTCCACCATTCATGAATCGAGAGTGTGCTGTATGGCGTTCGACGTTCGATATTATAACAAAATTAACACCAGTGTCCCTGATATCCAATACCAAGCAGTCCTTGTCAATTCTACAATTTTGTGGTAGGTTGTGATAAAAATTTTATGGGGATGAATCGGTTTTACCCGAAATAGGGTGGGTGCGCCGTGTAATCATTGTCGTCGCCATTGTACTGTACATGGACCACAATGCTTTTTGAACAAAAGTTTATGAGACAGCTATGGTCGATTGGGACTGTGAGTATATGGGTCCAGTGTGGGACTAAACAAGAATCCAAGATATAAAAATGGGCAAGTTACACAGCGCTGCAGCTGTGTAATTGATGCTGCAGCAGCTTTACCATGTGTAATCACACCGCTATCCTCAAAGGGGTGGGTGCGCACCGTGCACTTGATATCCCTGAAATTGTACGGGGACTTGTACCAAATTAAATCTTACCGTTTCGCTCGCATTTGTGAATGTATGTCCATATGGGGAAATATTTGGCTGAGAAGAAACGGGGGCAAGTGACACAGACTAGCCAATGTGCATGAGGAATCGCTTTCCGCATCTGCAGAAAGATAGCTGCTTAAGACAGGATTTAGAAAAACAAAACGTGGCTTGCGATTACAGGAAGTACACAAATGCGTCTCTTCGATCCACAAGTCATATTACACATGCGGTCAGACGGTTCAAGTGGCAGTCTTATCGTCTAAAGCGTCTAAAGCGTTATTCTACGCATTCATATAATTATTACCTGGGTCGTGCATACTAACGTCAATTATGGGTAAAATTCGGGAAAGAATGGGTGGGAAGCACGCTCGACTGGCTAGATGTGTCTCCAGCACCTCTGTCAACGTAGCAATCATGTGCTGTGCCATCTCGTCGTCCATTGCCGGACTCATGACAATAAACATACACACATCCCGCTCGGTTCGTAGGTGAAAGCGACAATTGTCCGACAAGATATAGAATGTCCTATTTTGCTGCGCTGCTTGGCGAAACTGCTTGCCAATTGCAAATTGACCGGAGGAATGCAAATCACAGCAGGCGAACCGAAGGCGACCCAATGGCGGAGGATTTTGAAATGCTTGGCGAAAATGCATGACGATGCGAAATTTATCGGAGGCGTCACTAAGGACCGCATGGGCTCGGGGAAACGGTACCACGTACTTGGTGCACAACAGTCTGCTGCTGGATGGATGGAGTAGGGGGGAACCAGGGGGCGGCAGCTGTTTGCTAATCTGGCAGTTCTGAACCAGTTCACCGCGGACGATGTCTTGGTTTCCGTTTGCGACGGCAATAGTGGTCTGGACATAGAACACTTCACACATCTTCTCACATCCCCGAAATCTGCCCAACATCGTGACCGGTCGAAACCGAAACGGGCCGTCATCTTCGTCACGAAGTGCCGCATAGATTGGCATACCAGCCGAATACGGTTGGGACCTGTCATCCCAGTAGAACAGCAGCGGCCAAACGCTTCCCATGGGCACCCAGCGGTCAGTGACCTTTCTGGCGTTAAAGTGGATGAAGACCTGGTCGCCGTCAATGTCTTGGATATATCCCAACCACCAGCTGTCGTCATCGTTGTGGACAGCCACAGTATTCTGGTAATTCATCTGGTTGGCATCCGCCAAGAGCGACTGGAACTGAGGCATCACGAACGGCGCCCACCACTCCATAGTCATACCGCAACTAAAAAACAAAATGCAATGTACAATGTGGATTAGGCCCCGCAATAAGTCCTAATTCGGATTATGCCGGCCAGCTAACAATAAGCATAATTTTGTAATTAATTATTAATTATCTGTAAATATTTTACGCCTACGGCATGCCTCCGCGTTCCTTATGTTTACGACCATACATCAATAACCTTAATGTATTCGGTGGGTAGTCAACGGTGACCCTTTGATACTATACCTATAGACATCTGACACTTTGCGAGTACATGTTTACACCATTTATTTATGGCTTCGTCCGCTCGCTAAAAATCAACATTTCCAGCTTAAACTGTACAGCAGCTCACGAGTCAGCATACCGTGCATATATATCACAAATATTTGCAACAAGAAGTCCGTTACGCCCTGTTGCAGCTGTGCGGCCTGTGCCTGTAGGAAAACATCTTAATTACAGTTGTTATTACAGTTACGCAGCACTGCAATCGGTCCATTGCACAATTTGCTTCCGTTTTTGCAAAATCACACATTTATCTTGAGAAGCTGATACATACTGACATTGATTAGCGGCTACTAATTCAGCATCGCTAAAGCATTTACCGATGCAATCGCCAAACACTCCTTACGGCTTACACTGCCACGATGCGCTATGGATCGTCAGTGCCGCCATTTTTAATGGCAATGTGCACGGTGACATCGAAGTCAGTATAGTTGGACATGCGGTGATCCTCGATGACTTGTGCTGCACAAGTAGCGCATGTGTCCACTGTCCACAATCGTTTGTGCTCGGAGATTTCACGCTAAAAGCGTGTCTAACTGAGCGACCGCAACGTCAAGACTCGAAAGTAAAACATACCAATCTAGCGGCTCGACGCATGTACCCATATGCAACCTTCCTTCCAGTTACATTTGTTTGAAATTTAAATTTTGTTCACTCACAATCAAAATGCGATAAATTAATGACTAATGCTAATTAATGGATAATTAATGGCTATGTTCAATGCAAAGCTCTCGCGGAATACACAGTACCAGACATCAGTTATCTCAATTTTCAATCATGCCTGCATGACCTGGGTTGTATGCGTGCACTGCCGAAAGGATTTTCACCAGCTTGTAACGGACACCTTTTGGGTCACTCAACAGTTACAGTCCACGCAAAAGATCAGCAAATGAATATTTAGAGGGCATATACCTATGGGCATCCCAAAAGTGGCTACTAGTAAATACTCCCCCATCCTTAAATCTGCGTTCGGCAAACAAACACGTATCAGTTTTAAGGTTACTGGATTCGTAACAGAAAGTTACATCAGAAACGTGCAAAAAACAACAGAAAATTAATGATGAAAAGAGATATTTTAAAATCTGTTTGACGCAACTGTCCGACCATGGCGGTGGCCACGGTGTATACAGGTAAATACACCGTGGCCGCTGTCATGCCGCTGCCGCTGCCATCATTAAGAAATCAACAAAAAATACCGGTATATTGAACACCGTACACCATGGTAAACTTTTCTTTAATTTCTTAATTAAGGGCGTTCGTAACAAGATGGAAAGATGGATAATGTTTTAGCTAATCAGTATTAAAGTGCGTTCATGCCAGGAGATACGGAAAACGGAACCTTACTTTCGGAATGCCCTTTAAATGCACATGAAAAATTAACGCAGCAGTACTAAGAGATTCTCTCTTCACATTATGTGCATTACAGATTATTAGTCTGTACATTACTTATTCTCGTACATATGTGCAGAAAAATGTCTATAAATAAAACGGGTATTACTACAGACGAGCACGAATATTTCAAAAGCTATTCTAACGCAGCAGGGGCGGTTGCAAATTTGCATTGTCTCAGATGAAACTAAATCATGTTGGTGTAATATCGTACACAAAGCGTGCCTCAGTTTGACTTTCTAAATAATTGTTACAGTGAATTTAATCAGATCATCAGACGGGAGATTTTTTGCGCACTAACAACTAGGCCAACTGAAGGAAACAGCTCGTTATACGTGTTGCGACGCTCGATTGAGGCGCTTTCCAGTTCCCACGCAGTAAAAAATATGCAGTTTGTTAATCTGAGAATTTAAAAGAATAATGTGTGCATTCTGGTGAGAGAATTCCCACTGCACAGGTGCTATGTTATTGACAGAATTCTTTTGTTACTCAACAAGAAAATATCAAAAGATGCTCGATGACTAGAGATGAGAGATCACGAGATTCAATAAAAAAACTGATAGAACTGTCAGTGTAATTGTTCAAAGATTTTAAAATTAAAAGCAACGACAACCAGCATAGCCTGGATCCGGGAATTCAACATGCGGCAGCCATCTTAATGGACACACTGAATATACACCCGAAGTTCACGAAGGAATCTCGGAATGATAGTAATGATATGATTCTAGAAATGTTTCCAAAGTTAAAATTGTGGTCATTTTAATTAGTTTTAAAATAGCGTCAGCGCCACGAAACCTTGGCATGGCTGGTGGACGCCCAGTACTGATATAGGCAAAACTAAGTAAATATTGGAGTCTGGAGGTGATAAGTAAAATACGTAATTATCAAAATAAAAGAACGTAAAAATATATTTCAGGCTCAATATATTCGTCACTGCGAAAATTGTAATGCCAGTTGCTAACATAGCGCTCAGTACGCACTAGCTGCAGCTTTACGCGTCATAAATCTCCGGACAAGCTTGTGCTGTACTGGGGCAGTAAAGCACTTAGAGACACAGAGACCCAAAATAATTATGATATAAACGACCTTCTAAATTTGAGCCGGGCCAGTTTAGGTTGTCGTAGTTAATTAAGAGTTCACGCCTTCAGCATGGCTAAATGAAAATCTGCACTAAATTTGGTAAAGCCTTCAGTAAATTCATTTTAACTCTTGAGGAATCAGGTCGTTTTTGAGTTTTGATTTATGAATTTCTATACAGTTTCTGTATTTAATTGAACTGGATATCGGTAGACGACGATTAATCCAAATTAAACCCTAAGAAGTTCAAAAAATGGCATATCAAATTTTAACAATTTAATTTAAGTCTTTTTGTCAGGTTCGGAATTACCCGTTTATATGCAGTATTGATAATCAATTTGGTTACTTACCATCTAGGAATAACTGAATATTATAGAAATATTAAATGGTTCAGTAGTCAGTAATAAGGCGATTGCTAAAAATTAAGTGAAGTCAAAGGAGAATTTTCTAAAACATTCAGACCGAAGCAAAATAACAAATAAAACGACCGCACAATTTTTTTAAAAAGTCCGGGAGCTTTAGACAGCGTTGACACTGTAAACTGTGAAACAGGAGGGTATTTAACTGTATGTGTAAAATAATTTGCAATGTGATCATTCACCTTCGTTTAGTCTTCGAATGCAGGCAGGGAAAAAAGATTAAAAATTTTTCAGTCTTTCTCTGGAAAGCCGAAAGCTGAAAGTTTTACGATGGTTCTCCGCGTTGGCGAGCATTTTCTACGTACTTTAACTTACTGTAACTTGCAGCTGATTGTAGTGAAAGTGATAACAATCCCAGCAAACTTATATCATCTTAAGAGTAATTTGACATCGATAAATAGTCCGGTAGATGCGCCCTAATGAATTAATAATTTCCAATTTTAGGTTCCTTGATTATAATTTACAGTAACAAGAATACTGTCAATATGCAGTGTTGCACTATGCCACCGAGTGCGGGGAATGAGTGAAGGAAACAGGAAATGTCAGCAGTTGAGCACTGAGCATGCTGTATCATCAGGTTGGAACCGAGCAGACAGCAGGGCGGCCGCGGTGTGTACAGCCCAGTCAGCAGGTTAGTGAGTGAGTTGATCAATAACGAGGGAGAATGCCGACAGCAGGCTAGCCTTCTCCATGCAACCATGCACCGTTTACTATGAACAGTGCATGTACCGTAAGTACTGTACCGGCATTTTACCAATTACACTTTTGATTCTAATATTTTAACACTACCGACCGTATTTTATCAGTTTTTTGGGGTAGGCAATTGGCATGTACCACATAAACACCAAAGTTAAAACTTGCGGTATATCTATAAACTGTTTTCGGTTCGCACGAGAGTTTTCCGGTGTTACAAAATTAATACCGAAATCACTATTGATTTTTGCTTTGTCGTGCCCTGAGAATCAGAAAACTACTTATATTTTGCGAAACACGCTATCGCGGACCGGGGAGGATGTTACGGCATGTTCCGAATAGTAAAACTAATATCCAAGGGCCAATGTCAAAAGAAGGAAGGAAATTTTAGAGGAAGGAAGTTTTGTGTGGTCAAAAGGAGGAAGGAAATTTTAGAGGAAGGAAACGTTTCGGGGTCAAAAGGAGGAAGGAAAGTTTTCGGGTCAAAAGGAGGAAGGAAGGTTTTCGGGTCAAATTGAGGAAGCAATTTTTTGTTGCTAAAATCAAAAATTTTCTGGTGAAAAGACGATCGCAGGCATTAGAAATTTTGTTTCTTCTCTTCTGCTATTTTAAAGAAGGCATACCTATGTTTAATTTTAATAGCAATCGTAAATGTCCGAATAGATTTATTCTTTACTTTCTTTTTCTAAGCACCACACGCATGTGAAACACGCATTTCACAAAATATTATATAAAAATATTAAAATAGCAAACTGTTGCCCAATCGCTATTGAAGTAGCGCATAATACTGTAGGTCTGCCGTGCACTTTGCCACAGCGAGCACTGTATGCAGAATGACATAACATAATACGGGCGCCGCAAAGCCAGATGCAAGCGGCAAACAAATTCACGAACAAAAGCTTTTCACGATAATAAGAAAGTGTGATCTTGTCTGATCCCTTTAGTGCTCCTCAACACAACCAAACTTTCCCATGTCCAGACCCACACAGCTGACGAGAGACAGCAGCAGTCTAGCCGGTAGCCGGGTAAAGCGCACATGGGCGCCTTCTACACGCAGCTTTACTCATGCTGTATTTCTGTTCACAATGAAAACTGTTGAATTTTACCTATACGGAACAAATGGAATTGCTTTTTACCTGCTCATTATTAAAAGTTTTACCAACTAAATAATGCTAGGGAGCTACACATTTATCCAGGATGGAAGGTTATGAAGTAGTTGAAACTGACGACGACAGCGGCGGTGAAGATCTACCTCCAGCCTAAGGACATTATTTTGGCATTATTTTATGTCATTTTCTTACATCATTTTAAAATTTACTGGCATAAGTATAGATTGAGCCAAAATTTACCTGAATTAAGCTTTTTATTTATTTATATCTGCAATGCCGAAGGCAGTATATAAAGTACTATACTCGTACTAAACAAAGTTAACAATCAGGATGTACTTCGAGGCAAACAAAATCTACATAACCATAATAATTTTGAGTAGAATGAAAATGCACCTTATTACTTGTCAGTTTTTTTATTTCTTTATATTATTGATACGTACTTTCCTGATACTGATTCGATGAACACAGCTCGAAAATAGCAATAGCATGCAGAGTTGGGTGTTAGCAGTTACCGTACGACCTATAAATTTACATATGTTTCGAAGCGTTACCGGGAGTTGGGTTATTAAAATTTCATTCGATAAAAATTCTACTGTTGCATGTATTGTACAACGAGATAACTGGCGTTATACTCGTACGCTATGACCACTGATTACTGCCGTTATGCATTAGAATTCACGCACGTACGATCCACAAAGTTATTTATCCACTTACTAAATTAAATTAAAAATTTTGCCATATTTTTTTGAAATTTTCCTTCCTCTTTTCGACCCGAAAAATTCCTTCCTCCTTTTGACACCGAAAAGTTTCCTTCCTCTAAATTTCCTTCCTCCTTTTGGCCACACGAAATTTCCTTCCTCTAAAATTTCCTTCCCCCTTTTGACATTGGCCATATCCAGTGGCGAATTTAAGGGGGGGCTCCCGGGGCTAATGCCCCCCCCCCCCGTAACTCGGACGTAAAAAAAATTCGCAAGAGGGGGGTACGTTGCGAACTTTTTAAGCCGGAGGTCGCCGAAAAAGCGAGAGAATACTCCCCCCTTTGGTGTGAGTTCTCTAGCCCTCCCGTCCAAACCCGCCTAGATTCGCCACTGGCCATATCCACTGGCCACTGTATTTCAAAGTTTACTGCGCAAAAATCTTGCGTACAACTATTTATAACTGATCCGCAGATAACGCAACACGAGTTGCACGACACAGTTTGGTAGCGAGTGGGTGCACAATACACTCATCTCCTAGAACCCCGTTGCAAGGCGTCTCTGCTCTACTAAAGCTTTCCTTTGCAACATAATGGTTCTCGAATCTTCCCGCTTTTTAAGTTACAATTTTTTAGAGCGAGTAAGCTATCGTCACACATCGTCAACCTACTTCACACCAGCGCAAAACAACCAGCGTTACACCACAAACCACTGAATCAGACTACATTGTAATATTTTATGCGACTAGCTTGCATAAGCAGAACCGAGCGTATATATTTGAACGTACATATTTCAGCTGACGTACATATTTTAGCTGACGATTTAGGCTGGAGACCGCCACAAAATCTTTTGTTTACACAAGGATTTTTAGAGTGAAACTGAAGCTACTGACCCATATGGTACGACTGATCTCCGGCGTATACTGCATTCAGCTACGCTAGTCATAATTCGGCTGTCCGCAAAAGATAATAGTTGTCACTTTTCTATCGTATCTGCCGTTAGCTTTATAATTTACGGTACCGACATCCCGGCGCTAACCGACCTTTTCCTCAGCTTCATTTGCAGCCGTTGTGGCATTAGTAACTAAAGATTATCAAGAAAATGATCCGACAGCTTCATGTAGTGTCGGTTACCTCGAAAATTTATATAAATTAACACCAAAGGTCACAAATTCTTAGACATTTGTCCGGTGAATCCCGGTCCTGCAGAGTACATCGCACTGAATCGAGGCTCACAGATTGTGTAACCAAGGGAATCCTAGTTGCAAGATAATCGTTAGTTCTCGTTGGGATAATGGGGGAAATCGTCAATTTTATCATAATTTTTAGCCGGTGAATCCCGGTGAATCCCGGTGAATTGAGGTGCATACCGCATCACAGCGTGTGTATCCAAGTGAATCCTTGTTGCAGGATAATCATTAGTTATTTATCATGATTTTTTAGCCAGTGAATCCCAGTGAATTCGGTGAATCGAGGGGCACACCGCAGTCAAAGTGATTAATATTAGACAGTGGCGGGAGAAAATCGAATTTACCGTAAAACAAGCGTAACCGGTTTTTAAACAGGTGGTAGGAGACAGATGGGAGTTGCAGCATACAGAGGATGTGTACTAATCTGTGCTGGTATACTCTCTCTATGTTGAAGCATCGGGCGAAATCAAAGCGGTCCCCGACCACCTATCCAAAAACCGGTTACGCTTGCTTTACGGTAAATTCGATTTTGTCCTGCCACTGTCTAATATTAATCGCTTTGCTGCAGTGAATCGAGCATCATAGCGTGTGTATCCAAGTGAGTCCTCGTTGCAGGACAATCGTTAGTTTTATTATCATAGCTTTTTGGCCAGTGAATCGCGGTGAATCAAGCCGTAAAACAAAGTGAATCAGGCAGGAAAGGGTGTGTATCTAACTGAATCCTCGTTCCATTATAATTCTGTAATTTTCCTTATGGTATCAGTTTTGTTACTGCTCTGGGCCTGGATCTCCGTTGTGCAGTTAGAACGCTGCAACGTATACTTGCAAGTAGTGCTCGTACACTGCATGATTTGACTTCAATACATTGTCATTGGCATTCCACTGTCAGCAGCTGACCGACCACGGTTCGAGCCGGCGGAACTCGAAGTAAAATGCACTGCTCGGGTAGGATTTAACCTGAAATACGAAAGACGTAACGTATTTAGTGCTACTTTATAAGAATGACCCCATCTTCTTGTCACCTTAAAAAGCCTAACCTGGTTGCGCTTATAAAAAACAGCGCGCTATTCACCGCGACCAAAGTGACCGCCACTTTCAAACAGACACACAGGATCCGTGCAAACTTTGATCAGCCTACAGAAAAATCATTTTCAAAAAGAATTGTGAAGCGTTTCTGTGATAAATGTTTGTTCATCTCAGTTAAAATAAATCAAAGTAACTTCCGGTGTCGAAAAGTTGGTTTTTTTCGGGATAGGGTGAGTTTTCTCAAAAAAACGCTCCACAATACTTTAGTCATTTGAGTTACACACAGCTCCGTGCTTGAATAACATTTTTCAAAAATCTGCTTGAATTTTTATTACTTCCGCAAAATAATGACTTTCAATTAGCAACTTTTACACTTTAAAATAACTTAACCGAGTTCAAACTTCAAAAACATGTTGTGAAAACATCACTGTGTCATGTCAAATGCGCAGTTATGATGCATCACAAGCGCACGCATTGTGCCAGCGATAAGAGTCCACAGAGGTCGAAATCAGTAGAATCTCTAGTTAATCGTTTGTCTCAGGGTTTCCAGAAACTCAGGCTCCGGTGAGCCAACTCCAACTTTGGTGTTGGTATTGGTAATAAATGTTGTTGAAGCGTTTATGTAGCGCCGCGAAAACTCAGTGCAAACAAAAATTATCTGTTTCATATATGGTCATAGTTTTGCACTTAACGCACATGCTTACAATTTGGCTTTGATCGCTGTATTATAGTAGAATAATGGAGACGTATTGCTGATTATTACCTAAAACCAGACGCTACG